ATGTATAAATAGAACCTACTGGGTTCATTAAATCAAACATATGAGACATTATAGGATTGTCTCTTTTGAACTTAAAATATAGTGCAACTATTTCAGGTTTCTTCTGGTTTAAGTCAGAATATTTTTTATAATATAATCTTATGTTTTCAGGGTAGGTAAAGTCTTGACTATAATATTTGTTTCTGTCATCTTCATAATAGTATACTATTCTCGTTTTTTCTATTGCATTATATCTTTTATATCTATAATAATCTAAATATAATGTTAGCTTTTGTTCATCTACATGTGGTGTTCTGACGTCATCTCCATAGTCATAATAATGTGGTGCTGGAGCTGGGTCAGGTAATATCATATCTGCCATTTCATAAACTCTTAAATATTTCTTTTGTTCGTCTCCATATAAGTTTAAGTAGCAGTTGTTGTCTAATGGAACTTTAACTTGTGTACCATCGTTCTTTTTATAGCTTACATACATTTCATTGTTATTTTTCGGAATGAGTTTATACCGTGTACCATTTTCTAAGGACTGTACCAACTGCCATCTAAAATATTTGTTTTCTTCATTGACAGAAAAGTCACCAACAATAGTTTCAATATTTTTTGTTCCTAGCAAACTTTGGTATATTTCATTGACATATGTTTTATCTGCTTTATTTTCAAGGCTAACGTTTAAGTCTGTTATTTCAGAAGATGTATGTGTATGTCCAACGTCACTTTTCCTGTTTAAGGTTTCTTGTAAGTTTGCAATATTTGCAATGGTATGTGTATGTCCAACGGTACTTTTCCTGTTTAAGGTTTCTTGTAAGTTTGCAATATTTGCAATGGTATGTGTATGAGTCTTTTTAGAATATTCGTTTTCAGCTCTTGTCACTTCACTTGACATTTTATTGTCAACATATGTTTTGTCTGCTAGTTCAGGATGAGTATGTTCTTTTGTTGCATAAGCTTTGTTAGCTTTTCTTCTTCTTTTGCTATTGCATCGTCTACATATTCTTTGTCAGCTTTGTTGCCAACATCTGCTTTCAAAAGAAGTTCATTTATAGGTTTCTCGTTTAAAGTTCCTTTTGTTGGATTTATACAGACAGTATGGTTCTTATTGTCTTGAAACAGAAACTCATCTGTCATTGGGTTTAATGTCAGTTTTAAGTTTCCTTCTTTCAATGACTCAGATATCTTAGAATAGTTTGAAAAGTTTGTTGTGTTCTTATTTAGAGCTTGTATAATGAGTTGTCGGTTGTGTTGTATTTCTCTCATAGACGCTGTTTCATTTGACATTTTTATTCTAGATAAAATATGCTTCCAATAGAAAAAGAAAATTCAAGAGTTGCTACAACTAAACCATTAGATGAACTTTTTACTAATGTCGGTCAAAAGTTTGAGACAGAGACCGTAAAGCATGAAGGCTATCGTTTTGACTACCCATTGAGATGGCTAAGAGACCCATCCGTCACAAAAGCTATTGGCTTTCGTAGAATGAAGTTCATTTCAGAAGCCATACATGGTTTCCCATTTACGGTCGCTTTTGAAATTCGATACTATAACAAAGAAAAACATACGTATGAGAAATTTGAACAGGGAAAACTTTTACAAGTGAATTTGCTTGTAAACTTAGAAACAACTCTTCAAGCTTTTCAAGAAAAAATAAACGATATCTATCTCGAATATGCAAAACAGTACAACATTGACGAAGGAGAGTACCATCTCGATATTTTATATGACAGGAAAAATGCAACTGTTAAAATCAATAGAATAGAAGACCTTGGAGAAGACGTTTATATTTCTACAAAATATAACAACTTGGCATGGTATAGATTTTTGAGGATGTTAAATCAGCCTGCAGCATATCCAGTACACCCGAACTTTTATGAAGTCGAAAACCCTAATGGAACATATGAAAATGTTTTCGACTCAGATGCTATTATCGTTCATGCTTCATTTTCTGGTGCACAAAACTCTTTTTTATGCTTGGCAAATGACTTTTACGAAAAACCTACAAAGCTATATGAACCACCAAGTGGAAGTATTTCAGACTTTCAAGTATGGTTTACTACAGATGGAAGAAAAAGAATAATTCCATTATACCATGTGTTTTACTTAGAACTTAGTTTCATATACAACTACTATCGAACGGTAAAAATATAATTTTTTAATACGGTTGAGGTGTTGGATTTGGTTGCCAACTTGACTGTGGTGCAGGTTCAGGCTGTTGTATTACAGGAGCTTGTTCTTCTGGTTCAGGGTCTTTAGGTATAATACCAACAAACTGACCTACTCTTTTACCAATATTTTTGACACCGTTCCATACTCCTCTTCCTACGGTTTTTATTCCATTCCATATACCTCTTCCAACATTTCGAAAGAAGTTTCCTATCTTACTGAAGAAACCCATTTTACTATATGTAAAAATCTAATGTCCGCCTAGTCTCTTACGTTTCCTGTTGAGTTCCATAGCATTCTTTAACTGGAGCTCATACATTCTGTTTCTCCTCTGGTAGAAAACATATTCTGGGTCAACTCCTGTGTTCGCGTCATCTGCATAAAGTTGTTTATATCCCACTTCAGGGTTTGTATAAAACTCTTTCCATCTCATATTTGCATACCATGGTGGCAAACCTAACGCAGCGTCATTTGACATGGCAGTTTGCATTTGTACATCTGTTGGCACTTGACCATAGTTTGCCATTGCAGTTTGTATTCTAACTTCATTTGGAATATTCTCTGGGTTTGGTTGTCCAGGTTGCTGTGCATTCGCTAAGTTCTGTGCGTCCATTTAATATTAGATAAAAATATCTCTTACGAGTACATATACTGAACATTTGCAGGCATTGGTTCATCTTCATATTCTCTGTACTTTTCTGCCACGTCAAATAAATAAATGACACAATGGAAAAAACCTAAAACAAGTAGTCCTATTTCAAACCACATTTACTTACTAATAAAATTTCTTTGTTATGACACTTTCTCCGGTTTATAGGACCTCTCTCATATTCTATCTTGTCATATCTAAACTCATAGTCATGTATGTCCTCTAACCATCTCATAACGGTTTCCAAACCACTTTTATCGGATGTAAAGTAAAAGCATGGATGGTTATGTAAAACGTCTAAAGTTTCTAAAGAGTCTCTCAAAGTCCAGTCTACTTGGTATTGAAAATCCCATGTGTTATAGAACGGCGGGTCCACTATAAAGAAAACATTTTCCTTGTCTTTATATTTTTCATACAACTCTGTCCAATAACATCTCACAAACTCTATACCCTCAATATATTTTTCTATGTTCTCTTTGAAAACATTTGTATAGTTAAGATATAAAACTTTTGACATAAGTGTTTCAATGTCATGAACTCTTATAGCACCACTATATAATAGTCTAGCAGATATACTATCCCAGTCTATATATTCTGCTTTTTTCAAAACCTCTCTCACAATATTTTTCTTATCTAATGGTATACGTTCCATCTTACCTATAGGTATCTTTTCTTTTAACTCTTTCAATATATTGTTTGTGTCTGGTATATGTTTGAGACGGTCCATATAGTTGTCGAAGTCATTGCATATAATCTTTGAGTCTGGGAATATTGTATGGCACAAATGGGATATATAGAAACTTCCACCGAACAAATCTACAAATGTTAGACCATTCGGTAGTTTCTTAAGTTCTCTCAATATAATATCTTTACATCTACTCTTATTTCCAAAGAACGGTAACGGTGGTTTTGTAAAATTCATTTATATATAATAATAAAAATGTTTTTTTCCTGAAAAGTGACAGAAAAGTGACAAAACATGAAAACATATATAATTTGTGAAAAGCGACACATTATATAATGTTTTCGACCCAGAAGAAGGCTTCTTCCCAGAAGCAATGGAGGAAGAAGAAGAGTCCTCCGAATTCACACCAGAAGACTAACAATTTTCCGAATAAAAACTTCATTTATACTAAACATCTTCGGGGCTAGAGGGCACGAAGTGCCTGGAAGCCCCACTACCTTTTTTTTTTTTTTTTTTTTTTTTTTTTGGATGATAAATAAAAATCAAAAATAATTGTTATAATTTAAATGAAGAAGTAATTTAAAACGATTTTATTTATGATCAAATTTTATATATTTTTTTGGATCAAATCCATTTTAATAGAATTTATATACTATTCATCTATTAGTAAACACTACCGTATATTATTTTTTAAGCTATCTTATTTTTTGAACTTTTAGTCAAAACTTTGGTCGCAAGAAGAATTGCATGATAAATAAAAACATTTAATCAAAGTCAATTTTATTTTTCATATTCAAATGGACTGAGTGTTAACATTTAACATTTTTTGCTAATTGTCGTCAAAAATTATGCGTAAAGCAAAAATTGATATTTCATATGGTTTTATGATAGATAAGCATTATATTCCCACTCATTATATTCGTAAATTTTGAGGTTTATCCTTCGCTTTTAAGATCATTGAATTTGATTTTTATATAAAATAGTTATATATTAGAAAATAATATGAGTTTATGTGATATTATTTTTCAGAAGATTTTGTGTTCTTCTTCAAAATTTTATTTTTTTATTAAAAAGAATCTTTACAAAATATACATTTACTTTAATTAATATTTAAAAACGTGCTCTATCAAAAGTTCCAAAAATTCAATATTTTAACTTTTCTGAGGTGTCACTTTTGATGAATTTCTGTTTACAACACACCGAACTTTTTCAAGTTTCTGTTCACGATATACAATAACGAACAGGTAATTTGATTGTTTCAGCGATTGTTTGATAAATTTTTTTATTTCAGGCTTATAATTTAATCTTTAACTATCTATCATTTTAGTATGAAGTTCAAATAGTAAATTATCATAGAAGAATGAGTTGATGCCCCACTAATGAGCCAAGATGATTGCGATAAAGTCGAAACTTTGTAATATATATAATTAGTTTACAAAAAGTATTATAAACAATATAAACAAACAAAAAAGATAACAAACAAAATATCAATTGTTAAAATTTCTTTTTTCAAACAGAATATAATGGTTGAAGCTTTCTAAGATTCTTCGGTGCTATTCCATAACTCCTTGTGTTTTCATTCTTCTTTAAATTAGGTGTTGGCTTCGAAATTTTCTTCGAATTTAGAACAATAACTTTCTTAGATGCAATCGTTTTCGTTGGAGATAAACGATCAATTGGTTTATACTCTTCTTCGAACACTTTTGCATTAAGAAGACCTTTAATTTCATTCGGATTCATTGGCTGAGTTATTGTCATTATAGATTTGCGATCTGTAACAGGTGAAGGATGAAGTATCAACAAACTAGTCATTGGCACCTTCTGCGTTGCCAAAAGAAGTCCACCGACTTCAGAAAGAACAGAACGAAGCCAGAAGATATCTGTATTGTAGAGAACAATGTACAAGTCCAGAATTGATTTCGCACGACGGAGGAACCTTCCATTGCTTATTGCTGCACCAACAAAATTTGCGGTTTTTCTGATGTATGGCGTTATCCATGGGAAATCGCCTGTATAATTTAATACTTCGCCAATAACAGATTGCGCTGTTTTAGAGAACGGTTTACTCGAAGCTGCAATGTGAATTAAAGTTTGAACTGCAGGAGAAACTTTTCTTCGATCGGTATTCTTGATGGTTTCAACAGCTAGTAAGAAATCATCTGATGAATTTGCGGTGGAAAGAAAAGACGATAGAGCGTTCATTCTGATTTCATCGTTCTGAATGATTTTGAATAGACGACTCATACTGCATGAAATTATAGATGGTGAATTTCTTACCGAAGTTACGAATTTTGAAACAAGAGCCGAATAATTGTTCGATGAAAAAGCATGTGTTAATCTGTCAAGTAAATTAAGGCAACAATCGGATGCGTAATAAGCAAAAGCACCTTTGTCGCCATTGATGAAAGAAAGTAGTCGCTTGAAAAATTTGGCAAATCTTTCTGGAAAGTCTGTAATTTGAGCTGGTCTTGATGTGAAAAGATCTGTAAGTAACTGCATTATCGTAATAACAAGTGTTGTCTGACGATAGTCCGGTTTTTCGACATTTAATTTTAACATTGGAAACCATTTATCAATAGCTATATCAATTGATCCCGAAGAGTTCATAAATTCAATCCAAAGGCGATGCTCACTTTTAGACAACTGAAAGAGTAAGTCGAAGTAATCTAATGTATTATTGATGTAAGAAGGTAAATACCATAATATTATGTTAGAATCTGATTCAGCAGGAAGCATTTCGAGGAATTTTATTGCAATTTGTGGAGATGAGAATGTTAATGTATTCCTAAGATTATAAAGTGTCTGAACAAAGCTTCGAAATTGCAAAAAAGGACACAGTACAATTTCATTAGTGAGAGCTTCGATGATTCGTTGGGCTTTACGCCAAAATTGATCACTATTTTGTATCGTATTGAGATATACTAACATAGGCGGGAAATATTCCTCCCAGAAACGCTCAGATTTAATATGATCAGGGACTTTATCACCAGCGTTCCGCCCTTCTGGAGGAAAATACCTCTCCCACCATTCTCTAGCGGCCATTGAAAGTTTATTGTTTTGTGTTGAAAAGTTTCTCCACATCAATTAATATTCTAAATCGTCTATGGATATCAATTTTACTAACTAATCATCGATCTGTCAAAACTTTCCTTTTGTTTGAATTTTTCTTACATCAATTAACGATTTTTAGAGAAATTATTTCGCTTATCAACATTAGATTAAATTTTCATTCTTGCTGTTAATGTCACTTTTTAATCTTGTGGGATAATTAATTTCATCTTTCGCTTTTTGATAGAGCTATAAAACAGGAATAACACAAGAAACAGAAATAAAATTGAAAAATCTTAAAGAATTGGAGTAGTCGTCCTTTAAATCTTCATTTTGGAGCCATAAAAACTCAGTGCTTGACTCAATAATATCTATAGAAGTCTATCTTTTCGTAGTTAAACCATTATAAATGAGTATTAAACTTGAACTCGATGAGATTTTCAGTATCTAAGGCAATATGTCATATATTTTCTATCTATAGATAAAGTTCATCTTAATCCTAGGATATCACATAATGAAATCTATGAAATTAGGAAGAAATTTGACTTGAAAGATATTTTTACAATGGAAGATGCTAAACTCTATATACAAAGTACAAATAACTTGATTTCGAAACGCATCAATGCCAAATCGGTTCAATCAATTGAATTTTCAATTGATAAAATTTTACATAAAATCTGATGGAAAAGCCCGACTTAGACACAATTGAAGAAGCGCTTTCCATCACAGATGATAGTACAGTTGATAGAATTAATGCTGCTCACGAAATTTTAGCTCAATGGTATCAAACAAATTTATTATCTGATATTATTGAAATTTTGAAACGAACTTCCAATGCAACAGTCAAACAAAAGCTATTATATTTATTTAAACACGAAATTATACACACTCTAATCAATTACGATTCTAATGACGTTCAAAATTTTAAATCAATATTCTTAGAAATATATTTTAATGTTCAAGACACGATAAAAGTTAAAGAATTACTATCAGAATGCATATCAATCATCAACATTATTGATATCGAGAATATAGAGAATAATTCTGAAATTTTCATATTTACTGAATCAGAAGAATACGAAAGTATCAAGCTTAAGTTACAACTAATGCATGATTTCTTTTACGAAAAAGAAACATGGTCATATATCACTGAATATCACAAAAAAATCGTAAATCATTTTCTCCTATACAATGCTCAAAAGATAGTCGATTCTCTCAATATTGCATTACAATACGAAGACTATGTCCCACTTACCTTGAAAATTTACAAACTTATTTTATTAAATATTCCAATTTATGGCGTTGTTGATCTAACTCTTATACAATTCTTATGTACAAACTACATATCTGATGAACGTACTATCACAGAAGCAGCCGGATGCTTAACATCTGTTTTGATTAAAAGAAAAGATACTGTAAATATATTTCGCTATTATTCATCATTAATTGTTGATTCACTTCTCAATTCCAAGAATCCTACTAGTATTTCTCAGTCAATTACAACTTCCACCAGTGTTATGGAATTTATTCTTCCATTTTTAAGACAGTTTCTTAATTATATCGTTAGTTTATTCTTTAATACAGATAAAGTATCTGATCCTGATGTAGCCAGTTCAATAGAAGCAGATACAAACGAAATTTTGCAAGGAATGCAAGATTTTGGAATTAATCCAGATGATTTCGGATCACAAGCTCTTGAATTGTACAAAATATCATTGTCTATACAGCCAGAACAAGCAGATTTCGAATTTTGGAGATTATGGAATGAAATTTTTATGAAAATCATGAACGAAAGATTGGATAAAAGCAAACCACATCCATTTACAACATTCTTTTCAGACATATTACCTTTCGCTAGAGAATCAATGATAAATTTATTTCCTTATTCATTTGAAAGTGAAGCTTCTGTTTCATTTGACGCGAGAAGCTGCATCACAATGATAATGCAGATAGATGTTGAACATTCTATGTCATATTTGTCACAACTTGAGCCATGTCCTGGCTTATTTTATACAATAGGATGTTTGGAAACATCGATTGGAGATAATGGACAGTTATATGAGATGTTTGGCAACACAATTAACTTGATTGATAGTGTTAATGAGAATACTGATGAAGATTATATAACTTCTTTATTGTTTGCTGTTTCTCATTGTGTTTTATTCCTTTCTGCACATGAAAACAGACAAAATTTAGGAAAAGTGTTGAATTTCATTGTTTCTTCACTCCAAAACTCAGAAAAAACAGCAGAAGCAGCTGCAAGAGCTCTCCATTATATAACAGTAACAATGATAAATCCTTTGTTAGAAAATGATATGGAACTCGCTTCCCAAATTATAGAACAAAGTGAATCATTCATTACTACATTAGATCAATCAACAATGTCTCTTCTTTTCAACTCTTGTTTGAATATCATTGCGGAATGCAGCTCAGAAGACATTGTAATTTCATCAATCAACCAATTATTGTCTCCTTTAGTTGATACTCTTACAAATTTCGTTGAATCTCCACAAGATTTTGCCGAATCATGTATCACTGCATTAAACACAGTTAATAATATTGCTTCTGGAAGCAAACCTGAAATAAGAAATACAATTTCTAACATTTTCCTTCCAATTTATTTCAATATTATGAACATGGTTTTAGGAGTTGAAGATTTTTCTGAAATATCATCAGCTTTATTTGCTTCTTATGCAACTTTGATAACATTCCTACAATATTCTGATGTTCAAGACTTGATAAACACAATAATAGAATCATTTGTAGGTAAAACAGAGTCATATACAATATTATATAGTTTTGTAACACAAATTAGAGCACAATTTAAAGAATTAGATCAAAAATTAGAATTTATATTAGATAATTTTGTTTCTCCAGTATTAGAAACAAGTACAGACTTTATTGAAGAAATTATTTGCATGATAACATCATTTGACATTTGTTTAATTGATATAGAGTTCATTAAATCATTATTTAAAGCAGGAATTGAAGATTTAAGACCAGGAGTTGTAGTTGCTTCATTACATCTTTGGCAAAAACTTCTTGAACAAAATAGTCAAAGCTTTGATATCTATAAATCAACATTCCAAGAAGTTTTTACTCAAATAGTTACAATACTTACTGATGAACTTCACAGACAGTCAATGAATGAAATTATTTCATTCTTTAGATATCCATTAGTTTATTTCCAAGTCAATAAAAAAATTATGCCAAACCAAGAATTTGATGATAACTTGATTTCCATTTTAGAATCAGTAATAGGAAAAGCAGATGATGATACATTATACCCAAGATTTGTTACTTATCTAAGAGAGTCTTCTTTTTCTACATCAAGATTCTGCAAAGCATGCGAAGACTTTCTAATTGTAATTAATAAATTGGCTCCTGCAGATCCAGCAATGTTCAAAATTGATAATGTAAGACAAGGAGGAAGTCATTTAGTTAACACTTCTACACAAACATTAAGAGCTATGAAAGCAGAAGGAAGGAATGTTCAAGCAATCGCTAATTAATTTTATCTTGTTTGTATAAAAATATGTTTAAATATTATTTTTTTTTTGGAATATCAGTAGAGGGAAAATGGAAAGTCTCGAAAAGTGTATCATGCAATAAATTTATTTGCTAACTAATGAGTCTGAATGTAGAAAGGAAGAAAAAAAGAAAATAAAAAATGGTCACTCTGGGGTTCGAACCCAGGCCCTCGCGGACCAGTGCCTTAAACTGGCGCCTTAGACCACTCGGCCAAATGACCTTGACATTCATTTATAATTATTTATTAATAAATTGAATCATAAATTTTCCTCAAATCTTGTAGTCAAAATTTTTTTCCACAAATACAAAATTTCTACATTTTAAAAATTCTCGCCAACAATCCACAGATCCCTTTTAATACAGCCCAAGCCCCTTCCCCACAACAGCGGGCCACTATTTTAATTAACAAATTTCTAACTCTCTTTTATAATTGCATAGATCCTACAATTTTAATCACTTTCTTCAAGCTTTTCGAATTTTTAAACGAATATCATCTTAGTGCTACTGAAAACAAGATCGAATTCGCCAAGAAGATAGTAGAATACATCCAAAAAATTAAGGCAAACGATTTTGTAAAGCAAGAAAGTATCTTGAAAGCCTTAGGATGCTTATTTTTACAATTAAATAAGAATACAGAATTTAGATATACCATTGCTGTAATCAAATATCCACAATTTTTCATTCCAAATACAGATTCTTTGGAAAGATATTATTTTGTACCATTTCATGAGGAAGAGTGGATCGAATTTACACCAAAACCATGCGATTTAAAGGATTCTGTTCTTGTAGGTCAGTTTTTCTCGATTCAAGCAGAAGGAAACAAATTACCTAAATTAGCAACATCAAACTTCTCCCTTACAGTTAATGGATCTACACCACAGCATTTCATATCCGAAGGCGAACAAATTTTCTTGATATCAAATAGTTTAACTTCATCTCCCATCAGAATTCAATTTTTATATAAAACAAACTACTTCTTCACATGGCTTGTCATCAGATCCTTTAAAGTTTCTAGCCAATTCAGCGGTGTTGTCGAAGGAACAAACGAATTAATTCCGATTGGCAATGTTTTCTTCGCCCCTGGTCAAGTTTCACCATCTACAGGTAAAGAATACAAGATATCTGACCTGAAGTTCTTTAAAAATGCTGTAATAATCCCAGGAATTGTTAATAAAAAAGTTGTAAAACAAAGTTTTAGTAATAAAAAGATTATTACCCAGCAAAACTCAGTTAATGACCTGAGCACATCCCAAAACCAGATACAAGAGTCTTCTTCGAATTTGAATTTACAACATCAAAATCAGATAAAGACTCCAAACACTCCAAATACCCCTCAGATTGCGGAACCTCCGAAAAGAAAAAGAGGAAGACCACGGAAAACAGATAAAGTTGAAGTTAAACCGCCAATTAATCAAATTCCTCAAAATCCAGTTATAAACCAACAAAGAAACGTAATGCAGGAGACCAAAAATATCATTACACAGCCTCCGATACAGATGAAACAAGAAATTCCTCCTACATCTCGAATTGAACCACAAGTTCCTCAAGGGCCACCTGTTTCCCGAGTGGAACCTGTTGCAAAGGCTAATGTTATGCAGATTGAAGAGCCAAAACCAATGGTTACTCCAGATATGTGGAGCTGTTTGTATTTTGTTGCTCCAGTGAATAGGTTTTACATGTCAATTCCTTTAGACGATGAATACGAGTCGTTTTGGGAAAACCAATGTAATGAATATGATTGTTTGTGATTTTAAAATTTTAATTTGTTTGAAAACTAAATGATTTTATTTAATTATTTTATAATACAATACAAAGAGTTTTTATAATGATAATTAAATTTGTATTTTGATTATTTGAATCTTCTATTATGGATTGATAAATAAATTAAGTTTTCGAAGAGGGTGCATAGCTCAGTGGTAGAGCGCAACATTTGCATTGTTGAGGCCGAGGATTCGATCTCCCCTGCATCCAATTTTTTCTTTTCTCATTCAATTTTTATCGTTTGACATTCTAGATTTTATTTTTTTGGAAGTCAAAACAGAGTTAACTCCATTTTCTTCCAAATTTCAAATCAGTAGCGAGAATAAAACCAATGCATTTCCATCCTTAGTTTATAATGTTATCCAAATTCAAAATGTTATTGAAATTTTTAACAAAATTGAACAATCAATCAATGCTAATGATAATCACTCCACAATAAAATCAATATTAGAACTATTTTCATATAATTCGAACTTCAATCGTTTAAGTGATGAATCAATTCAATTTTTACTTCAGAAAGGTATCTTCAATTTGATTCAAGATAGTATTATATATCAAGAAAACCAAAATTTTACATATATTATTCGAAATATGACCGGATTTGCTGAAATAGAACAATTTTCAGAGATATTAGTTGATTCAAGCATAACTAATCATGCAATAGATATACTATGTGCATTGTCACATGAAAATACCACTTTTTGTCAAACAATTTTTGAATATTTACTGAAACTTTCTAAAAATTCATCAAATTGCATAACTTTATACAAATTCGGTCTAATAAATGTTATAGAAAGCATAATCCAATCAGATTGTCCTATAGAATCCATCAAATCTCTTATTGATTTTTGCTCAAAATATTTTCCAGTTTTATTTCAAGAAAACGCACCGATGACGGAATCTATAAGAATAGTACGCTTACTAGAAAGAATATTTGATCAAGCCAATGAGTTAGAATCACCACAAAAATCATTTATCATACAAAATACAATTTTGACCATAATAAAGTGTTCTGAGAATCAAACAGTAAGTAAACTAATACTAACTACAGGAATCACAGCTAAAATACCAGAAAATATCTGTAAATTCAACAGAACTTCTCAATTATATTCAATTTTAGTTTTAAACAACGCATTTCGACATAAAGAACTTGAAAATCATTTAACTAAACTAGCCAATCTCATAGACATACAAATCTTTGACAATTTACTGTTAGAATTAGATGATGAAATTCAATCAGAAATTTTAAAACTATTTAGTTATTTATTCAAATATGTTGATGGACTTGCTGATGAACAAGTTAAAAGTCCATCATTTATCAATATAATAAGTTCTAATTCTAGTTTTTCTTTTCAATTTAAACAGAACTTGATAAAAGCAATGAGATCAGGTTTTATGAACTCAAATGACATTGGAAGTAAAAGATTATGGTCAATGAATGATTTATTTGAAGAAGAAATCCAAAATATTTGCACAGTTTTGATTGATGACCAAGAAAATGTAGATGATATAAAATTTATCCAAGAAGTATTCGAAACATGTGATGACAATTCAGAATTGAGTGATATTATCTATCCTCTTGTTGAACAAAAAATTATCAATGATAGAAAACCCTATTCATTCAACTTTTGTTCTAATACTATAGAGTAAACAAATAAAATTGTTTGTTATGCGTATTTATTCTGCCTATTTTTGATTAATGAACAATAAATTTATACATCGGTGAACATTTTCTCATAGAATTTAGCACGATTTTGCGTTACCCCAAATCAATTGTAATGAATTGAATTTGAAATTCAAATAGGTTTTATTTATTGTTTCTATTTGTTATGAATGAAAAAGCAAAATCAAAATATTCAAAACAAAAATTTTAAATTTACAAATTATTTTTTTGGTTCAAACTTCTTCTTCAGGTGCCAAATCCTCAACTGGGCGGTCTCTATCATTCATTGACATCAAAGGCAACATTTCATCCAATCTCCTCTTTACGTTATCAGAATAAGAAGAACCTTTTCTTTGTGTGCAGCAACACATGCAAATTGTCAACAAACAGCAAGAAGCAGCAGTTATCAATCCACCTATTATTATCATTTCTTGTTTAGTGAATCTTTCATTAGATAAAATGAGTTTTTCAGACCATCTATCTGAATCGAAAGAAACAGAGACATCTTTAATCTGCATGTTCTTTGGAACTTGGCAAATAACTCTGTTGCTACTTATAGAACTTGCAGGGATAATCAAAGATCCGAATTTGCAGAATCCTTCTGTCGGATCAAAATCATTTGAATTGATTTTAATCGACATTTGTCCATTATCAACAAAAGATTCAATCAAATTGGGGACAGGAGCATTGCAAGTATAACCATCTCCTACATAACCACTCTTGCATTGGCAAGTTTCCTTTGCAACGCACATCGCGTTTTTACTGCATTTATTTGAGCAAGTCCAGCAACCATCGATTTTATCAATTCTTGAAGTATCAGAGTAATATCCATCTTTGCAAACCAATCTTCCGAAATCATCCAAAACTGTGTTTGGTGGTAATTGGTTCTTTTTCTTTTTATGTGTTTCTTTTGGTTTTGATTCTTCTTTATTTAATTCTTGTTCTTTCTTCATTTCTAATTGTTGTTTTAATTCTTCTTCTCTTTGTAATCTTTTTCTTTCTTCTTCCTCTTGTTTCATTTGCAATTCCATTTGTTTTCTTTCTAATTCTTCTTGTTTCCTCTTTAAATCTGCTTGTTGTCTTTCGAATTCTTCTCTTTCTAATTGTTTTCTCGCGTATTCTTCTTGTTTCCTCTGATACTCTTCTTGTTTTCTTTGGTATTCTATTTGTTTTCTCTTTATTTCTTCTTTTTCAAGTTGTTTTCTTTCTTCTTCCAATTGCATTCTAAGGAGTTCTTCCTCTTCTTTCAATTGTTTCCTCAGTTTCTCTTGTTCAAGTTGTTGTTGTTGGTATTTGTAAATTTGTTCATTTTGTTGTGCTTCATACAAAAACATGTCATTGTCATTTCCTGGCTGATTGTAGTACTGATCTCCGTATTCTCTGTTCATTCTGTTGAAGATTTTCATGATTGCTCTTTGATGTGACAAAGGAAGACTTTCGAATTCTTCAGCAGATTGAGGGAATCTGTATCTCATCATTGTTGTTGAATCCATGTAATACTTTGGAAGACTGCCGTATTGTTTGTAATAGTCAAAGTAATCTCTGTAATTTTGTTGTTTGTAGCCTTTCTTTGGTTTGGAATAGTATTTCTTCGACTGATATCCTTTCTTTGATTTACTTTGTTCTGGTGGATAATAATATGGTTGATCATTTCTCCAGAAATCATACAAATCATCAGAACTGTTTGTTTCTGTTTGATTGTAATTATAAAAATCACTGCTTTGTATTTCTTTCTTTTCTTGTTCTATATCAAATGGATCTTTCTCAAATTCCCATTCTTTTTCTTTCTTTTCTGAATCTGATTTAGTTTCATTTTGTTTTTCTTCTGGTTTCTTTTCGATATCAAATTCAAAATCATCGAAATCATCTTTCTTTAATTTCTTTTCTTTTGATTCTTCTTCAGTTTTATTTTTATCTGATTTTTCTTCAGAAACCTTTTCATCTTTAGATTTCTTCTCTGATTCAGTGTCAAAATAATCTATTCCATCATCATCTTTCTTTGATTTCTTTTCTTCTTTAAATTCAAAATCATCTTGTTTTTGTTCTTCTTTTTTAGATTTTTTATCAGATTTGGAACTAAAATCATCTTGTTTCTCAGATTTCTTAGAGTCAGAACTTTTTGTTTCTTCTTGTTTTTCAACCTTCTTTTCTTCTGTAAATTCAAAATCTTCGAAATCATCTTGTTTTTGTTTCTTCTCTGATTTAGAGTCAGAATCTTTAATTTCTTCTGATTTTTCAGGTTTCTTTTCTTGTTTAAATTCGAAATCATCTTGTTTTTGTTTTGTTTCCTCTTGTTTCTTTTCAAATTTGTCTACTTTTGATTCAAATTTTTGTTTCTTTTCAGAATTGAAGTCGAAATCATCGAAATAATCAAATTTCTGTTCAGTTTCATCTTGTTTCTTTCCAAAATCAGCGAATTCATCTACTTTTGTCTTCTTATCATCGAACTGTTTTGTTTCTTCCTGTTTCTTATCAGATTTGAAGTCGAAATCATCGAAGTAATCAATTGTTTGGTCTTTTTCTTCATGTTTTTCATGTTTTTTATCATAATCTCCGAAGTAATCTTCAATTCCATATTTTCCTCTTCTGTGAAGATGTTTCCTCTTCTTTGATTTGTGTCTACTTCCTGAATAAGGATCATAACGGTCAAATCCAAATTCATCTGTTTGATCTCTTGTTTCTTTTGATTTATCCTTGGATAATTTGTATCTGTCTGTGTAGAAGAATGGTTCGTCATCTTTTGTTTCTGTTTCTGGTTCAGATTTTTTATCTGATTCTGATTCAGTTTCTTTTGACTCTGTAACTGGTTTCTCAATCATTTCTACCTTTGTATCAGTTGTATTTGCTATTGTTTTTGTTGTATTTTCCACTTTTTTGGTCGATATTGGTTTCTCAATTTTTTCTGTGTAATTTTGAGGTTTAGTATGATTTACAATCTTATTGTCTACTTTCTTTTCAGTGGAAATTGTAGTTTTGTTGATCGGTTTAGATTCTATTTTGGATTCAGTTTTCTCTTTCGTTTTTTCAGTTTTTGTTGTATCCTTTGTTGAATGCTTCGGCTTCTTTTCATCATCTATCTTACTAATGTCGACTTCGTTCACATCAATTCCTGATTCATCGAATAAATCATCGGATTTCTTCTCTTTAGGTGTAGTTTTTTCTGTCTTTGTTTCCTTTAAAGGTTGCTCAGGGAGTTTTGGCTTTTCGATGATTTTTTCTTTCTGAGATTTTTCTTTTTTGGTGGAATTTACGATTTGTGTAGAATCTATGGTCTTCGATTCCTTCTTTGCATCAGTTGTATCTATTTTCTTCACTTCTGTTGTGTTTGAAACAGATTTTTTGATGCTTTCTTTTGATTCCGTTGATTTGGAAATTTTTGGTTCGGCAGCGGATGAAGAGTTGCTAGGTTTGCTCTTTTTGCTCGAAGAAGCACTAATCGATGTAATATTTTCTTTTGGTGATACTTTTTCAGTTTTGTTTGTTGAAATTGGCAGAGGATTTTTCTTTTCAACAGAAATGGATTTTGTTTTATTAGAACTTTCAACGGGAAGAGTTGAATTCAACTTTTCAGATTTTAATTTTGAAGCTGAAGTTAAAGATTCTCCGGCATCAGAATGCTTTTTCTGAGTTGATATAGTTTTTCTTCCTTCTCCTCCATTTGAAATGCAGCATATTGTACAAAAGAGGAGAAAAATCATTTTACTGTCAGATTGGCAAAATTGATGTTCAGTTAGATTTTCTCAAAAACATTTTATTTCATATTCGTTGAATTTCTCCACTTGACAAGAATTTGCACCAAGATATTCAAGGTCAAATTTCAATATCCAGATTCTCACTTTTCTTCCAAATTGACATCCTTAGACTCGAAAAACAACAATTCAATTTGGGGTAATTAATAAAAATTTATTTTTAATTTTCCAAATTATCGAAAAAAATAACTTGAAATACAAATCTTTGAATAAAAATAATGATTGTTATAGATCAAAAATTTGATTTAATTCAAGAAATATCTAATGAAAAATAAATAGTACTTTTTCATTTGATTTTTTAATGATTTTGACCACGGAAATTATTTTCAATAAAGAATAACTCAATGATTTGCTTAGTAAATAATGTATGGCTGATCTTACTAGCTTTGAAAAGTTAAAAAATCATGAAATAAGAAAGAATTTTATTCAAATAAAAAATTTGTTTTCCTTATTTGAGACTTCTAATATATTTCTCTATATCCTTAGCACCAACTTTTCTTGCCATATCAAGGAGTGATATTTTGGCTGGTCCAGCTTTAACATTCTTGTCAGCACACTTGGAAATTAAATATTTTACATCATCCAGTCTTTTCTCAGCAACAGCGAAGAAGATTGGAGTTCCTCCCATTCTATCCTTTGCGTTTACATCAGCTCCAGCATTCAAAAGTACTTCCATGACTTCCTTTGAGCGGGCAAAGTGAATTGGCTTTGTTCCATCCTTGTTTTCCTTGTTAACATCAGCTTTGACCTCAAGAAGCAACTTAACAGCGTCGACAGCGTTGTTTTGTGCAGCAATACTCAAAATATTGACGCCATTTGGTAATACAGAGTTGGGATCGCCTCCACAAGCGAAAGCGACCTTTGCAGAAGCAAGACAGTTATTTCCAAGGCTGTCAACAATCAAAGGAATGCCTTCATCTGTCTTCATGTTCGGATCAACACCTAATTCGACCAAAACAGGGATCAAATAGCATCTGTCGTCATTGCAAAGTGCGATGGAATACTCCTCGATACCAACTTCGGCTCCAAGTTTAGCGAGATACTTTAATGCGCCTGGAATTCCGCCTTGTGCTGCAAGTCTCGTGGCTGTGATGCCCTGATCGTCATGTTTCTTGGCATCTGCACCGTGGTTGAGTGAGAAGAGCATGGCGCGGAAGTTGTATGAGTCGATTGTGTGGAAAAGATCTGGATAATTCGCTCCTTTTGATGATAACCACTCCATGGCTTCGATATTATGATATTTGGCGGCCATGAGCATGCTGTTATCAATTTTAACGATCTTGTCTTCGATTTGCTTTGCAAGATCGGTGCAATTTCCGGAAATTGCCATGATTACGGTTTTTTCATCGACTTTTGCGCCTTTTTCTAATAAAACCTTGAAGCAATTCTTAGATCCAAGAAAAGCAGCAAGATCTATTGGCTGTGGATTGTAAATAATCGGTAATCTTTTTGCATAAATCCAAATAAGAGGTTCATCGATGTTGAAGCCTTCCTTCTCCATCACTTTTTGAAGTACTTCAACATTATCGTGGTAGATTGCGTCACCAAATGAATCAGGAATGAATCCAGATTCAAGGAATTGTTTGTAGACTTTCCAGTTATCTGCAGCGTAAATTTCCTTTGGCAATGGAATGAATGATGAGAATCCAAGGTCTAATTCTGGGATGTTTGCAAGTTGTGGAGCAACCCAAAACAAAGCTTCCTGTTTCTTGACTTCATCAGCGGCTTTTACAAACATATTTAATGGAATGATATCATCTTTGAGTAATTCGTAGGGCAAGCGATTTTCTGAGCGGAAGATTGAAGTATAAGTAACAATAATAGCGACGTCTTTGTTTTTATTTATCAAATGTTTGAACATTTCAGCATATGCATGCACTTTCTTTGGTTGTGAGATGCAATATGATAAAATAAAGTCAACTGTGGAATTGATTCTATCATCATCGAAAAATTCAGATGAAATAATATAATCTGCTACTTCTTTTGCATTTTCCACTGAAATTGACATAATTTTGTCTTGCAATTCAATTGCTGTCTTGAGTTCTTCAGGGATTTCCATCCAACAATTTTGGGCGAACAAAATTTCGATGTAAACTATTCAAAAGTTTAGATAAATATTTGCTCTTTTTATATGGATATTTCTGACTATTTACAACTAAAACCTACCCCCTTAAATTTTTCAGCTTCATCTAAGAATTTAAAAAAATTGTTCGCAATTTAGACGGAGCTTGCCTCCGGCCAAATTGCAAACAATTTCTTTAATCGTTTGCAAATTCTAATTTTCATGAACGTTAAAAGTTCTGAAAATTTGAATGCATGCAAACGATTTAATTTTTTTTTTGAAATATGGATCAATCGAATGCATTCTCAGGAATGTATGTTTTGTTGAAATATATGATAGGCTACATATAATTCTTTAAAATATCTCCACATCTAATGGTTCAACGTTTCCTAACATGCCTAAGACATTTCGTGTGTTGTAGTGATGTGTAACTTCTTTGTTGACATTTGGCATTATAGGATAAATTGAAAGTTTGTTGAATGATCTAATAGAGTGTTACGGATGGTAGTTTTAGCAGCGAGTATTTTAACCTACCTTAAATTGTTTGAAACGTATATGATCTCGAATGATTCTGCAAGAACAGAGAAAACAATTTCTTCTGTAATATTTCTGATATATTTAATGTATTTTTGCTGGTAAAACAAAATTCTTTTTATCGTCGAAAACTTCGAATTTTGGAATAGACTAATTTGGTTTGTTCTTATATCCTTCAATATTTTCCTTCTTCATCTTTCCCATCTTTTCAGATATATATATATATTCGAACTCTTCTTGAATTTACCCTATCTTTTCTGAAGCATTTGTTATAATTTCACTTGGATTCGTTTCTTCTTTCTTTCCATCAGACTTAGTTTTTTTCTGTCATTTCTTCTATTTTTTTCCCTTCTGCGCAATATGAGATCTTTTCCTTATTTTGTTTGTAATAACTTTTTGGAATAAATATAAGGTTTTCTGTTCCATCATGATGAGAGTGAGTATTTCAGCGCACGTTCAAAGATGGTATTTAAAATATTTGCATTTCATGATAATACTAAAATCGAATTAAGATGTTTAGTGATGAAAGAAAAACACAAAGAGATGAAATATGCTTAGTATGTTGAATAGGAATATCTGCAAGACAATTAGCAGTTGAAAAATGAGAAAATTTATGAATAAATTCATTTGTGATGTTATTTATAAAGATAACTGTTCCTTCTTTTGTTTTTGGAGATTTGTTATCAATGAAACATCCATCTAATGTAATGTTACCAAAGAAATAATACTTATTATTATCATTGTTATTTATAAAACTGCAATTTTTGATATAAAATGGAGCAGATTCTGCCCAAAGAAGTATTCCAATGTTATTTAAAATGTTACAATTTCGAATTTCAAAATTTTCTTGAGAATTTAAATGACAAAATTTTGGATTTCCACTAATACCATTTGAATTAGAAAAAGTGGAAAATGAACAATTTGATCCTTTTGAAACCGAATCTATTTCATAAAAATCTCTACGCCATAATTTGGAAAATGAAATGTTGATTGATTTAATTTCGATTTGGCCGTTTATTAAATAAAGATTATTCCATCCAACATCTTTATGTTCATCTAAACTTTTACTAATAGAGGAATCATAAATATAATTTTTGTAGGTATTACTATTACTAACATCAATTTTACAGTAAACACCATGTGTATATAATGAGTTTACTTTAGAAGCGAAACTGCACACACGATCTTGAACAAATTCGCCTTCTTGTGAATAGAAAATACAGCCACCTGCTTGATTGTTACTACAATTATTAAATGTTGTAGTATCAATGAGGAATTTGATTGTATTTTTTTTAGTGTATAAGTAAATTGAACCTTTTGTGTTTACTTGAGTGAAAAAGCATGATGAAACATAATAACTGTTTTCTTTCACTTCAAGTTTGCTATTATTATTTGTATATTTTTCGTATGTTTGTGAGTTTGGATAAAATTCTGTCCAATCTCCGTGGATTTCAATTCGTGCTGCATTGACAAATTGATGTTTAATGAACATTGAATGATGTTCATTTCAAAAAATGTTCTATGAAATAGTTTTATCCCTTATAAAAGGGAATTTTGCTATTTCATAAAATTTTGGATAAAAAAAGTGCTCCGTTTGCAATTTTTTGAGAGCAGACCAAAATTTTGGATAAAAAAGTGCTCGAATTACATTTTTTGAGGGCGGACCATAATTTTAGTTACAGGCGTGACCGAGATCAAGATTTCACTATTTCTGACAAAATTTACTGGTCAATTGTTGGATAGCTTGAAAATCCTCCGATACTAATCATTATATCTTTTAACTTTGATATCATATGACCTGGCATATACTCTATCCTATTATACTTTCAAACACATATGTTAATAAAAAATATGTAATTAAATCGGATGATTCTCGTTGAATATGAGTGTATCAAATCGTTTATAATTGCGACAGCAAGCTATAGTATCAACTGAAGAAAGTTTAGCTGTGAATTCTTAAAAATGAACTATTCTGTATCGTATTCATTATATCAAATATAATATTGATGAATATATATCTTTGTTCATTACACATAATATACATATAATAAAGTTATGATATTAAAACATTTCATTTTCACCTGCAAATTTGCAAAGATGATTGTTAATATTTTGATTTAAAATATAATATGTGTTTGAAAGAAATTGAAACTGAAAATATATACTTGTCTGGTATCCTGTCGATATTGGAGTAAATAAGGAAGCTTTTAAATAAACATTTTAAAGTTTTTATATATAAACAACAAAATAATAAAAAAAGAATCGAATTAATCTTTTTTTGATTGCATAAACATGATATACAACATCAAAAAATTAACAAATAAAAATAATAAACATTAGATCCACCCAAATCCAGATTCCTGAGCTTTGATAGCATTTCCTGAGTTCTGGATCAAATGATCTAAAAGTAAGAATGGGAAGGGATTTTCTTCTTTGTCAGTATCTTCACCGACATTTGTTGCACAAACCTCTGCACGCTTCAAAACTACTGCGGATGCTTCATCAGGTTTTTGACATAATCCGCCCAAAATAACTCTAACTTTGTCACGTTTAGAATTAATTGATTCCATGATTGTCTGCCATGTTGCACTGAATATTCCCTTCAACGTGAACATTGGCAAAGCTCCACGGATTGTGTCAGTTAGAGGGAGATGGACGACGCGTTTTCCGAGCTTTGTAACATTAGGAATGAAACAGTTTTGTCTGTTGATGCTGAAAACAATATTTGGATACAAACTGTAATCATTTGTGAACAAAAACTTTAGAGCTGAAAGAGAAGCAATGAACGAAGCCAAACATTGTTTCATGTGCAAGAAATCAACAATGTTTCCTTTCGCTCCTTTAGAGATCCATATGAACAAACTATCATTCTTCTTGTTGATGTTTCTTCTGTCGAAAATATCCTTTGGAGAATGTTTTACTTCTCTATTTGGATTTCTTTTGAGAAGTTCCAAAACAATGTTTGTGTTTGAGATTGTTGGCAACGAACTGTTCTTTCCATTGATCAAAACAATGTCTTTGTGGAGATAATACACTTGTCCTGCATAAACAAATGCAGATCTCATTGCTGATGAAGGATGAGTCTCAAATATCTTCTGCAAACAGAAAATTAAAATGTCTTCACTGAAATTAGGAGGATAGAAATAGGACAAACTGATTGTATAAACAATCTGCAATCCTTTGTATGTAGTGAACGTCAACGTCGCTTCTTTATCGCCGGGAGCTTCAATATCTCCGTGATGGAAGTTTCCACGCATCGGGATCTTGAAACCACGTGGATATCCCATATCTAAGCTCTTCAAATTCGTCTTGAAATATGCAGGATGTTCTTTCAAAAATTGAGAAAGATCTTGGCCGTTTAAATACTTTGCAATTTCTTCATTTTGTTGGCGACACAAAGCGAGTTCTTCCAAAGTCTTTATCATAACGAAAGCTGCTTGTTTGTACTTATCAATGTCTTCTTCGCATTGTTGTGTCCATTTGAAGATCGAATCAAATTCAGTAATTTGATATTGAGCATTTTGACTTTCTTTGATAATTTTGTTATATTCTTCGACAATCAAATTCTTGTTTATTTGATTATTGTTGGAAGCATTGACATTCCTCAATATAGCTCTGAAGAATAATGGCTGCGCTTTGAGTAGTGGCGAAAGAACTTCTGTTGGAGGAGTTGTGAAAACAGTGAAGAAATGTGGAAGCCATCTCAACCAAACAGAAATTTTCTCTTTGTAATGTTTCTCCAAAGCTTTCAAGAAGCTTTTCTCTGAATCAGGGAATTTCTTAAGAATTGCAAAAGCCAATGTAGTAATGTAATAAGATTGTTCTGAGTTCTTTTGACCAGCAGAACCCAACAAAGCCTCATAAACATTCTCAGTTTTGATGCAATTTGGACAATGATTGTACATAAACGTGTAAACATCACTTAATGTGTTGGAATCAGTTTGTGACCTTGAATTAAGGAAACCACTGATATCTCTTACAACAAGGAAGTAGTTTTGTCTTGTAGCAAACAATGGTTTCACTTGTATATTGAAAGGAGAAGACAAAAACTTATAAACTCTTGCTAAATTGAGTTTATTCACAGGATATCCATTTGTTTGATCAATTGCTTGGTTAAAGAAATTAATAACTTGTTGTATTTGAGGCATTTGTTGAGTATTTTGGTTCATTTGTTGTTGGCTATAATGTAACTCTGCGTATTTAACAGAATTCGTGAAAACTCTCAATGCTCTTATGTTTGTTCCTGATTTTCCTAACAAAGCAGACAATTTGGAGTAATTAACAGATAACAAAGAATTATATGAAATAGGAGGAGCGTTTGGAGCTTGTTTCGTCGATCTAGCTTGTAAGAAATAAGTTCTAAATCCTAAAATACTCGAAACACAATTGGATAAATCCAAACTATTCACAGGAATCTGTTTGAGTTTTGTCAAACTTTTTCCGTCAACAATGTTTTTGGATATAATTTGTAACTCTCGTTCGTATTCAAACAAAGCCATTCTTCTTTGTATTGAAACTAACAATGGATGCAAAAACCTTGTTTGTGGATACTTAATCGAATTCAAAATCTGGTCTTTTTCATTGTTTGCAGCAAACATCTTGATGAAGGGCATATTCGTGTAACTAGAAGGATCAAAATATTTCAATGGCTCCATTGGATATTTTATGTTTGATTTTACAGGATAAAACAAACTGAACGCCAAAGAAAAGTTTTCATTCTTTTCACTCATTATATCCAAATAACATTGTGAAGCAGCTTCGTAATTATTCAACTGGTTGTATTTCACAGGTTTCATGAACTCTTTGTTTTGGAGTTCCGCAATTGCCAAAGCATCATCAAACATTGATAAATCACTCAAATACTGGATATTTGACATCACTCCTTTATGTGGCAAAGGAATGGAATCACTGTAACTAGAAGAGGTTCTAAAGAAAGAAGATAATGACGTGTCAGGACAAATATGTGTATAAAACATAACAAAGCGTTTGATACTAAAAGGCAAATTCAAAATTGTTTCCGTCATCATTTGACAGATACTTTCTTCAGAAATATAAAGAATGTAATGTGAAAGAGGGTCAGGAAGTAAAACACTCGCAAATGTATATAAATGAGTACTTCCTGGCATAGATAACCAATCTATTTCCCAAATTTTCTGTTTCAAGTCATTTGACATTTTCAGTTTTTTGTAAATTGTCATTGAACCCAAATTTTGTATTCTGTCATTGAAAGAAGGGAAACTTTGTATCAATTCAAGAATTATTTTTGTGAATTTAGGAGGAATCGGAAGAACAATATTATGCAGCTCTTTTATCAACATGGAAACAGTTTGTGGCTTCATTGCTTCAACTAAATTATCAATTACACAGATAGAATGTGTTTCTGTCGGTGAAACATCATTATACCACGTAATCAATGTCGAAAAAGGTGTCTGCAAAATTGGTGCCAAAAATATTTTTTTCTTTGAAAAGAAATTGGCAAAATCTGTCAAAACGGTTTGCCAAACATTTGGACCATATAAAACTGCTGATTTCAGTGCTTCTTTGTAAGATTTGACGAGTTCCATTGTTTGGTTTTCCAAGAAAGGACTGATATACAAAGGTTGAGGGAAATAATCTTTCTCTAACCATAGATATTTCGCCATTGATTTAATAGACATGTAAACGAACCCTAATTGGTACAAAACAACGTTTTTGTCCAATCCTTCGATTTTTTCTCTCAAATAATCTCTGAATTTGTTGAAATTGGACATTTGTATCTGTTTCATGTCCAATTCCTTAGCAATCACATCGAAAATAGGACACATGCTGACAATTACTGAACAGTAATCTTTTGGCTGAACATTTTCGAAATAATCCAAAATCAAACTTATCAAAGAATTAAACAAAGGTGTGTAATACTTTTTGTCCATTTGTGGAGCGGCAATTGACAAGTACTTAATAAATGGCAATATCTGTGGAGAATTCTGCCTCATTTTCTGGATAAAATAAATTCCAAAACCTGTCAAAAAACGAGAAATTTCAATGGAACAAGCTGATTCTGGAATATTTTGACATTCTCGCAATAAATGATAAGCCAATGAAGAGAAATACTGCAACGAATCAATACCTACTCTGAATTCATTAGATAAATCAATTGTTCCTCTGTAACAACTCTTAATGACTCTGCCAAGTGTAAAAATGTCACTTTTACTTTGTAAACCTTTCTTAATAAAAATGTCACTGATTACAGAGCTGTAAATATAAGAAGAAGTTTGTTTGATGTCATCTATAACAACTTTGTCGAATTGTAACAATTGTGAACTTGAATAATCGTAAATAAATTTCTCAAAAAGTGAAGTATCAGAAGTGATCTGACCAAAGTTAATTTTGACTTCATTTTCTGGAGGACACAACGTGAAATATTTGTATAAAACTTGTCTGAAGAAAGATAAAGATAAAAGTGAAGTCAAAGTATTTTGAATTTCAAGTAAACTATTCAAATTTTGAGAAACATAATTATTACAAACCGACAAAAACTTTGCCATTCTATCAACCATTACAGGATGGAAGAACAAGGTATATCTCTGCAATACAAAAGGAACAGAACCCGTGAAAATTGCTGAAATCAACGAATTGTCATTAGAATAATTTTCTACGTTTGGAGGAATCAAACAATCCATTAAAGAAGAAAAGAAAGTCGGATTAAAAGTATTCATGTCTGGATAAACAATACTAAATACTCTCAACGCGATCTTAACAACAGAGAATAAATTAGATGATGGTGTATCTTTGTTTCTCGAGATTTCTCCCAAACAATTGAAAAAGTGACTTGTGACATAAAAATGAAAAATTGGAGTTGCATTTTTCAACCAATTTTGCAATGGTCCAGAATTCTGGAAAACTTGTTGTATACAAGCCATTGCGAATGATTGACAATCTGGGTGTACAAACAATTCTTCCAATACAGATAAATATGTGAAATCATTATCAGTTGAAAAAGCAAGAGCCAAATTTTTGACAAACAAAGATTCAAATTGAGGAACTGTCACAATTTTTTCTAAAGGAACAAATATTGTATTTTTCTGATTTCTCCTCATTTTATATGTCAATCTAATAATAGCCTTAATTAAGGATTCCGCGTCCATGTCATCACCTTCTTGTTTTGCGCAACATGTCATTATTTCAAACATCAAATCCAAATCGCTAAAAATCCTTTCTTTCTTCAAATCTTGGAATCTTTTTTCCAAATAAACGCATTCCTGGAAACAAACATTCAAAACTGTTGCAGAACAATTTGTGAAATGTCCTGTTTTAGTGAAGAATAATAGCATTCTAAGAGAAGCTGTTGATGGCATATCCAAATCAATCCTTAATATTTGATTCATGTCTTTTGTCCATGCATCGTAATTTCCTAATCCCAAATTCACTGCTTCTTCAATTGATTTCAAGAAAAATGGTAAATATTGGCGATTCGCGTAATCATCGAATACATGGAAGGCAAGATTAACATTATGTTCAGCATTTGGCATATCCTTTGTGAAACCAATGACTGTGTGTGCCAATAATTTATAGACACCTCTCATTTTGAAGAAATTCATGAGTTTCATGTCTTTTTTAACTAATAAATCGAAATCAGAAGTAATTCCTTCCATAACTAAATAAAGAATATGATCTTGGTACTTTGATGATCTGTATAATGGTTTTGGATCTGTACCGCTTATCTTGTCTTCTTTGATCATGTCCATTGCCATTGTAAACACCTGATTTATTGTTTCCATTTCGGAAAACGGGAAATAAAAATATGGTGTTTGATATTCCGGACAAGAAATCTCCATGTATTTCTTTATCCTCTGTGGATCAATTGCTGACTTCTTTCTGTTCTTAAGAACAAAGGGATGTTTACCTAATTCGATACTTAAATGGCTTAAATATGGTGTAAAAGAGTCAGTTTGCGCTAAACGAATTGTTTTTTGCATTGTTACAAAAACTTTGTCGTTTTCTTCATTCTCTTCATATCTATCTATCAAATGATGTCTTATGACATCTATGGATTTCTCTGTATATCTCGATGATAAGTATATCATAGGAATTGAGAGCTTTACAATTTTTTCTGAATATGTAAACCTTTCAAATAATTTATCAACCAAATTCAAAAATTTTTCAACATGATCCTTTGATGAATAAAGAAAACTCGATTGGATTATGAAGTCTTCTGTTTTTTCCTCGGGTATTACTATTTCATCGAATAAATAGTATTTGTAGTAGTACCCGGAATAAGTGTCAGGAAGTTCACGAAGTTTTTCAATGTCATTATTTTTGATGTATGAAATTATTTTGTCAATCGTTTTGTTTGCACATGATTTCTTGTACGGTTGCTCTAATAAACACTGGTAGACACATTTAACAAGAAAATCTATGTCATATTCTTCCGAATTTTCCATCGCTTCTGAAATAATTTCTAATGAAACTTGGCGGTTTTCTATCGTCACAAAAGTTGACAAATTTTTATTTTTCTGGAGCTGCATACTTATGTCCTGAGAAATCTGCATGACGTGGTCGGATATAAGATTGAGAATATACGGCGCGACACTGCGATTTTTGTTCAAATACTTCGTAATCGCGGTAAAAAAACGGAGTTGCGTCGGACGCTGAAGTTTTGTGAAGTATTCGGTCAAGTTCTGTTGAACAGCGTTGTAAAGATATATAATGTCCTTCTTTTTATCGTCAACGGCTTCAATTGCGGGAATGAATAGGCTGAACCAAACATCTATGGTCTTGTCTTCAGGGGAAAGCTCAAGAATAGGGAATATCAAGATGGATAACCGTGAAAAAGTGAGTTCTGGCTGCAATTCTAAAAATCCAACACCCAAAATCGAGGAGTTGCTCTTTATAAGGGTTACGAAGTGGTCGAACTTGGTCTGTGATTGCTTCCGGAAGCGGTGGTAGCTGTATAAAAGCTCGATAAAGACATTATCCAAAATATTTATGTAAGATTTGTGGATAGAAAGGAGAAAGAGCTTGAATAGCTCTGTAAGTAAAGTCATTGGCTCGTTATCTTGTATTTTTGCGGCAGGATCTGCAAAGCAAAATTCGGATATTCCGCGTTGAAGGATTTGAAGCGTAAGATTCTGTACTGTATCGGGGTTTTTGATTACGTATTCGATCAGTGATATTAATAAGGCGGCGGGAGATTTTATTGTCTTCTGGATTTTGAATATGAAATTTACATTGTAAGCAAGTAAAGGAGATTTAGGTACAAGTAAGTAAATGTATCTGTTAAAAAATGCATAGCATCGCTGTACTGATAGATTGGCGATAATTTGAAGGAAATCTTCAAATACAAATTCTAAAAATTTTCTGAATGTATTTCGAGGGATTTTTTCGTATTTTTTGGGTATTTCAGGTTCTTTGTCTTTTAATTGACCGTATAATTCTGCATGAACATCGAGAGTTTTTGAGACGTATTTTGTATAACGAACAAGTAAATCGAATCTTGAATCTTTTTCATCTTCATTATTTTTAATGAAGTTAGATAACATCTCTTTTATCATTTTGGCAACCCAGTAGCTAATATCGCCCCATTGATTTGGATTTTCGAGGTAATAATCGGAGAATAATTCTAGTAATGACATCAACTGTTCTGGGAATTCTTGGTGAAGTTGTGCATTCGATGGATTTATCATTTTGTTGAGGAATTGTGCTGCAATTTTTGTATCGACCTTAATTAAGTTGAAAGCGAAGGATATTAAGTTTGTAATTAATTGCTTGTTACTAAAATCACTCATACCTGTTATACAGCTCGAGAAATAAAGAATAGTTCTTTTGGAACTAAGAAGAGGTTCGAATGAGAAAATTTGCATGATGTTGAGGACATCATTTCGTACGGTATTAACTATTTGAGGCTGTACTTTCTGCTCGCCAAAAGCAAAAATTACTGAACATAACAACAAATAATTTTGGTAAATATGGAAATAAGGGGGTTCTCTTGGGATTTTGGACTCGATTTCGGCAAGTAGATCGTCTCTTTGGAATCCGGGAACTTCTTTCGTGTTCTCAAGGAACCTTGTTAAAGCGCGAATTGATTTTGAACAAATTTGCTCGAGATTAGGGAAAAAATGACTGCTATCACGAAGGTTGAGACACTCGTTCGCTAGATTTAGTGGTATCTCGAAGTATGCGGGTAATTGAGAGCGATCTGTCGGAGGATTGTTTTTATAGCACGAAATGAGGAATAATAAAAAGTTATGGTCGTAGCTAAAGATATTTAGAACAGCATTTTTGAGAAATGTGTGATACCACTGCCTGAATTCAATCAATCGATCAGGAACTCCATGAGGAGCGCTTGTCATGTGATCAAATAGCGTGCTGAAGGCAGTGGTACGAAGTGGGGATTCGACTTTAAGAATTTGAAAGAGTGATTCTTCTATCTGTGTCGATAATCTTGGATTTAAATATAACGGATTTAACAAATGTAGTAATGAAAGCACACGCTTTTGCATGCGAATTTTATTTTTATCAAAATTCTCTGGAATTTTTGTGTAAGGAGGAAGCTGATGCACTAAATAATCAACAATTAGAGCAATTTTCGACTTGACAGCGTCGTCAAAGCCTGAAATTAAAAATCCTTCAATTGCATCAAAAACATCATCTGATGGATCGGGCAAGGACGGACTTTGGAACAAATAACCAAAGGGCGCGCTCTGGTCCATTCAGATGAGGATTATTGAATAGTTTACAAATTATCAAAGAAATAAAAATATCGAAAACAGAAAACAACAAAATTAAATCATAAATAACTAACATAATATAAATATGACATAAAATTACCAATATTTATATCATAATCATTGATTTTCTTCCATTTTATTATAATTAACATCATATTCACATTTTAATATGTTATCTAATATTAAACCTTACTTTAAAACCTTAATACCCTTATCAATAATTTCAATTTCATCAATCTTTTACTAATGTCCGAAATATCAAGTGAACTAATCATGTTTAATCTTAAACTTTCTATGTGATCGAAAATTTATTATTCATAATTAATGAGAAATCCAAGGAATCAGATTAGACGAAATTTTTTACCGATTGTTCTATCAATTCTTACAGTATTAACACTACTTACTTGCGTACTCTTCTTCGTAACTAAACCAAGTCCAAAAGTTGTTAATCATTTCGAAGATAATACAAAAGTTACTGAAAAAGCTAGCCTACAAGAAAATAAAACAGAAGAAGTAGAAAATAAGGACAATGTTACTCAAACTACTACACAAATTTTCCAAAATGATTTAGATCACAGTCTCGAAATCAAAAAAGTTTTCTACAATATATACATTACGTACAAAAACAAAAACAATGGTGCCTCAACATTTAATCCTATTACTGATGAATCAATTAATCATTTTAATGCAACACATTTCCTATACGAATCACTTTCTACAATGCTTGCATTTGGAGATTTCAACGAGCCATTAAACATAGCAAAAGACATTATGCGAAAGATATACAAGGAAAAAGTCATTGTTGGAGGAAATAAAGGTCCGAATTTAAACTCAGAGAACAATACGAAGTATGAAACTGAGGTAATCAAGTCATACTTTTCAGGACAAGAACAAACATCATACTTTATCCCTTCAGTTTTCGGAGCAGTTTTATCTGGATTTTCTTTCACTCATAATAACTTCTATCCATCTGTTATAGCTCATTTCCTTGAAATATTCCCTCAGATTAAGGACGACGTCTTCATAATGGACACAATGACTCAAGAAAATGGAAAATTAAAAATTTCAGGAGTACCTGAAGTACATACACATTCTCTCGGTAACTACATAACAGATTTCCTGTACCTAGCAGATCAAGCAAATCTTTCCTATCTTTTTGAAAAATCTGCAGGAATTTATAATTTATTATATAAAATGTCTCCAATTTCTGGCTTATTCTCTGATATGCTTACAGCGTTTACTGGTGAACCTATTGGAATAAATGGAAACCTCGAATATTCTTTACAAGTTAACGGATCAAGTATATACCATGATTTATTGTCATTAATAACGCTGACAAACCATTCTTCTAAGGTTGCATATCATATTTTCCAGAATTTCACTGAATCTTTTAAGAAATATTATCTGAAATCTGGAACAAAAGGATATTTCGTTCATAATAAGCTTTCTGTTAACCAAGACAATAAGATGGACATCAGATCAGCCTTCATTCCTGGTATGTTTGCGCGTGCAAGTACCGAATTCAACGATCCTGAGTTATTACAGCTTGCTAAGGACACATTTTCCGCATACAAGAGAATGATTGATATGAATGATCTCCCTCCACGTGTTGTAAGTGGCAGCGAAAACCAAGATCTCGTTATTGAAGACCCAACCTTTGATTTCGCACCTGATTTGTTCGAATCATTGTATTATTTGTGGAATGCTACTCGCAATCAAACATATAGAAACATTGCTTGGAACTTATTTGTGAAATTTAATACAACATGTAGAACAGAGTTCGGTTTGGCCGATTATAATACGATCACAAGACAGAAATTACCATCATTTAACTTATATCTGCTTTCACGAACTCTGAAATTCTTGTATCTTATGTACGATGATTCTTTCGTTAGAAACAAGCAATTCACATTTGATTCGCATGGAAATATGCTTAAGATTTGGGAACAGCCAATGAAAGATTTTGATGAACAATATTTTAACAGACTTCCAGAAATGTATGATCCCAACCCATACTTTGAAATCAAATAATCAAATCCTCGTATCTTGATTTCTCATTATTGATCTTATTTCTAATAATATTATACATTTTGTGTTTTTATTGTTAAATAGCATAATATCAATGATAAATACTAATTATTTATAACATACTTTATTTGTATTCTCATATTTACTCATAATTATAAAGAAAATACTCCATAAAAAAAATTATTAAGAAAATACAAACATTTATCATGATAATAACAAAATACATTATACTGTTTGGCTTGTCTGAGTTGTTTGCGTATTATTCCAATAATATGGATCAATTTTTGGTCTGGTTGGAACAAAGAACAAAAATATATTAGGATATATCTCCTTTATGTTATTAATGCAACCTGCATCATATCTTTTCATTTCATATGGATTTTGAAATGTTTCAATTGTTGGAGTATTTAATACTATTAAAGTAAAATAACCACATGAGTGCATAAATAAGCAGAGACATATGATAAGTATAACTGTACCTAATACAACCCTTAAATATAGAGTTTTCACATTCAATATGATAATTAGTGCCACTAGAAAAACAAGAATAGCCCCATAGAATGAAATCAGAATAAAAGCCTTGATATTGTTTAAGCCGACGCAATTTCCTATAACTGGACAATGATGATCAAACCTCACGACACATTTGTTACAAATAGAGCAATGATGAGTTCGCATTGGTTTTGGGAGTGAACATTTAGGACATGGTGGGGCATTTGGATATATTTGGCACAAGTTATTATTCTTTAATTCTTCTTCATGTCCTTTTTCAATATAATAATTCTCTATAAACCCGGGATCTAGCCAACATAGTACTACGTAAGTCCAAAGCCATATAATGCTGAGGAAATAGAAAATTCCGCTAAGAATTTGTGTGGAAAGAACATTATACTTAATATTTAAGTATATTGTAGCCCCACAGCCAATAACCCAGTAGAGTAATACACCGAGCCTGGCAAAAACTGTGTCAACACTGAAATAAGCAAATTTCATAATTTTGACGATATTTTTGTAAAGTTTTGAATTTAGTTTTTAGTTGTAAAGTACAATATCATGGCATTTGATCCAAATCAAATTGATCTAAAGCTTGTCAAAGAACTTTATAGCAGTAAGAAATGCTTCTATACTCGTCCAAAACCTGATGAATTCAAATTTAAACCTCAAAAGGCAAAATTAAGTCAGGAAGAACTTCAACAATTCCTCCATAGGATGGACACAACCAATAAGTTACACGATTCTGCAAATTAGTTAATTTATTGAAACTATGCTTTCATTACAAAAATTCATTTTCTTATTTATCTAAGTATTTCCATAAAATCAATAAAAAAGATAGTTAGAAATTGATTTTATACAATATTAATATGTGTCACCACTGAAAACACAAGTTAACGTATTTTTGCAATTTCAAAAATCATGCTTATCAAGCCATACAGATTTTACTGCTTTACCAAAAAGATCTCTCATTAGCAATAACACAAATTCATCCATATCATGAAATTGCGATTTCATATATTTATTGATTTCTCGAGGCTGTAAACTACTCTACCCAAATCTTAATTCTTAGTTTACCGAGTTTTATAAACGAATCTTGTTTAGCTATATTTTACAAATAATAAACAATTCATTAGAAATAAAATTGAGTTAAAATGGAGCTTAATGCTTCATCATCTCATCTAATTGTTTTTGAAGTGCAGACCGCGCCTTCTCTGCTTGTTGATACTTCTCTGTATACATTTTAACTATACTTTTCATAGCATCTGGGCGTTTTTTGAGTTCGCCTATTTCGACAGTTAAATCGTAGTTCTTCTGCTTCTCAGCTTCAAGTTCGGCTTGAAGTTGCTCATTTTGTTGTGTTAAATTATCAATTGTTTTCTGTTTACTTTCAAGAATTTCTTTATTGCAAAATTGATGTTCGGCTTCAAGTTGTTTAAGGCGCTCTTGATCAACAGATTGATTTCCATTCTTAGGAGAGTTCTTATTTAAGTTCTCTAGATAATTTAATTTATCTCTCATGTTTTCAATAACTTTCTCCAGAGTTTCAATACGTGATTCATAATCTTCTTCGTATCCAAAGTCCTTTTCTTCAATTTGATCTTGAAGTTCTGTAATTTTTGCCTGAAGTTGAGCATTTTCGTTTTGTAATGAGACGTTCTTTGTGGATAATTCGATTATTTTAGAACTCAAATCATTACTGTTTGTAGCCCCATCATTTTTAGGACTAGATTGTTTTAGTCTAGCAATTTCTTGAAGAAGCTGAGCATTTCTTGCGTTTAATTGATCTTTTTCTGACTTATCTTGCTCAATTTGTGTTTGGGCAATCCTCACTTGCGTTCCAAACAACTGAATTTGGCTAGCTTGCTGCTGATTTTTGAGAGCTAATTCCTTATTCTGTGCGAGGGCTTCTTCAAAATGTTTTTTAAGAATCTGAGCCTGACTACTTAAGCTATCTTCAGTTTCCTTTTGCTTTTCGAAAGAATCATCAAGTTGCTCTTGTAATTCCATCTTCTCTTTGATTAGCGATGTAATTTGATCTCTAAGATGATTCATATCATCATTCTCGCCTTCTTCTTCATATTGCTGTTCTTCAATACTGCTTATATGGTCTTTGAGCCTTCGAACTTCGATTTCAAGATTCGAATTTCGCTCAATTGTAATTCTTTGATTCTTTGCCATCTGTTGTATATTATCTTCGTATCTTTTTGCGATATTATCGCATTCGTTTTGTAGTGTTATCACTTCTTTGGCATTATTCGTTAATTTTTGATAAACCGATTCAAGCTCTTGTTCAAGAGCAGCAACTTTCCTCTTCTCCATTATATACAGTGTAACGTATTTCTTTGCTTCTCTGACAAGTTGGATAGATTCTTCTAACTCTGATTGCTCTTCCTCTTCATCAAAATCATTTGGCGATGATCTTAAGCCAATATTAGCTAATTCTTCATATTTCTCGCTATCTGTGCGAATCAATGAACTATTTCTTGAGCGCATTTTATTTTTTTCAATAAAAAATGAATTCCTTTTTTGACAATTTATCGTTTATTTTTTTATTTCCCAAAAATTGTATTTCTCTTATTCAACAATAATTCACAATCTTATGAATAAATCTTAATCAGATTGAAAGGATAACGATAATTTTTTTGAATGGATATAAAAAGCATTTTGATAAATTTTTTTCATAAACAGTCCGTATAGTATATCTTTATAAAATATAAAAAACAAAAAATAGTATATTACAAAATAATATATTTGACTTCTCCTTTTGGCGTCAAGAAAACTAATTTTCTAGATTTCATGAAAACCCACTCAGAATCCATTGAAGCCTTGATATCTCTCATTGCAATCTTGGATATCCAATCTTCTCCGTCCACTCTGTTATTCAAAGGATGTATCTTATCACTCTTAGAAAGAACAAAAGCAGGCATTTGAAAATCACGTAAAATCGAAGTCATTATTCCTATGATTTCGAATGGGAATTTCTCATTGTACAAAACATTTCCACATAGATCGAAAACGTTGACAACAGTTGATTTCAAGACTTCGCTGAAGCTTGAACCTATTATTTCTCCTCTTTCAGTAACATGCAAAGTAGAAACAGTCAAAGCCCGAGTTTCTAAAGAAAATGAATTTCTCAATCTTTTTTCTGTTGGAGAAGTAATGAAAATAGTATTTGAAATGTCAATACTCGCGACAACATCGTAATCAATGTTTCCACTTATTGACTGGATCGGGAACGAGTGGAATTGCATTGCTGCAATTTTATTGAAATTATTCGCATCCCAGACATATAAAGCTGAATCACTTCCACCTGTAACAATGTAATTCTCTCCAATACTCGTCAAACAATCGACAACACAGTTTTCATGTGTCATTTTACCTATTTCTTTCTTCTTTTCTATTGAGTAGCATTTAACAATTGTCATCTTCGGTTGACAATAGAATATCATAGTTTTCGCCACTTACAACACAAAAAGATTCATTTGGAATTTTGATAGATTGGTCATTCAAAATCAAAGGATTGTTATCTATTTCTTTGATGATTTGTCCTTTGTTTGTTACACAAACGCCATTCTCAAACAAAATTGGATTACCAATCAAAGAAAGAGGATTATTATCAAGTAAAGAAGAATTAATAACTTTTTCGGAAGTTGCCAAAGTTGGAAGTTTTTCTGTTGAACTTCTAATTGTTTTCTCTTTCTTTTGTTCACTCAAATCGAATGTGTTTCTTGATGTCAATGATTTCCTCAACCTTGGTGTTCTTTGAGCATGAAGTTGAGAAAACAATTTCATTGGCAAACAACCGAAATTTGCACAGTGATTTTGAAGCAAAGCAAGGGATTCTTCATCCAAATTATCAGTCAAACTTTCGTGGTAACTGAATGGATGATAAACATTTTTATGCTGTTCTGATCTTTGGAAGATTCCGAACACTAAATCAATCCATTCATTGATGTGTTGAGATACATAAGGACATTCCAAAGCGTACCTCATCTTCCAAATGAAATCTGTTGATGAGATACACCAATTAGGAAGTTCCACGTCGTCAACAACTTTTCCTTTCAAGTTCTTTCCGAGATCGAAATGATTTGAGTTCAAAAGGAAATATCTCGATGAATAGAACTGAGGAACTAATTCTCTGTAATCTCCTGCTAATCCAGAAACACTCTTCCATGCACTAATTATTGATCTGAACAATCTTCCTGGATGATCAAATTTTCCATCTTGCAAACGAATGTGCAAACTAGTGAATGGTTCTGTTCTTATCAAATATCCACAAACAGAACTTGGATTCGACATATTCGATCTGTAGAGACATTTCTGCATCGGATCATCAACAATTTCATAACTCCTTAGAAGGTTATTGAACCTTTTTTCGTTCATTGCTCCTAAAGGTTTCGAAAAGTCTCTGAAAAACGAAATGTCGTCAACATCGAAATTCTGTCTTTTGTAGTCAGAAATAACCCATGGAAACACAGGATATTGAGATATATCATTAAAAGATCTTCCTGCAACAATATTCAATAAATATAAATATTGATAATTCGAGAGATTTAAATCTCTCCAAAGATCAACAATTTTTGATTTTTTGACTAAATCTTCTGCAGAAATATTTTGTATCAAAGAGTTTGTTGCTTTTCTAAACAAAGAAAATGTCTTTTCATTTGGAAATTCGATCTTTAAGTTCTGCAATTCCTGTTCAAACTCTTCTCTGTCATTCATATCACTGAAATAAAACAAATAACTCCTCATCGTCGTCAAGAAAATTTCAATTCCTATCTCATTATGCATGTAAAATCTTCTGAAAATGTAACTGATTTTGTTGACATTTATTTCGATGTATTTCGTCTGTAAATCATAATTACTAGCAGGATCTACAGTAGCTCCAAATGTATCTGCTGTATAAACACCATCGAAAATTATCTTATCCGGAAATAACCTTAAATGACCTTTATAAAAACCGCTCAATTTTCTTAACGTTACACTGAAACTTGTCAAAGATTTCATGAGTTCTCCAAACTTAGGAACGAAAGAAAGAGCGGAAATCTTTTTAAGGGTGCACCCGTATGTACGTTTATTTGAGAGGAGGAGGATTACCCTCTCAATTTTGAGGGATTCGTTGGTTTATTTTCTCGATGAATATGCAATAAAATTCGATTTTTACCTTATCAATATACTTCATATAATATACACATGTTCATGTAAAAACTTTTTCCCAAAATCCTCAGGAATTAAGGGATTTTTGAATTTTAAGAATTTTTTTCGAATTTTTTCGAAAAAAAAAATATTTTCAGAACAGCCTTAACGGCTAAGATTTAGGAACAATGTTAAGTATCAAAAAGAAAGGAGGTCTGATATAGACAACATATATCGTTGAAGGTTGAAAAAATCTCTAATATTTGAGCCCAAAATTTCAAATTTTAATTTTTTGAAAAAAGAGGCCACCCGTATGTACGTTTATTTGAGAGGAGGAGGATTATATTTTTGAAAGGGTGAAACATTATGAATATGTTAATTATATAATAATATGTATTATTATAAAAAAGAAAAAATAAAGCACGATAAAATTTTTCTTTCTTGATTTTTTACAAAATCTACTTAGAATTATGCAAAATATGACTAAATAATTATAAATTTCAAGTTAAATTTTAATTTTGATAAATAATTTAAATTTCAAAATATCAAGTTCAGTTCGACTATGTATGTAGTAATTCCTCAATAAAGTACCAAAACCCTATTAAAATATATGAACATTTTCAACATTTTAATGTTTTTATTTAAAAATTTGATGGAATATGAGCTTCAAACAATTATTATGTAAATAAAAATAATTAAATATATGTATTTATTCGTATTACAACCGTAGTAAGTCGATTCTTCCTTTCTTCTACTGAGTTTTGAATTTGATTTCGAATTGTAAAGAGATTCAAAGGGAAAATACTAGCGGATAAAAACTACCTCCATGAAAGGGTCATAATGGACTCAAGTTGTATTTTTTGATATTTTTTGCTTTTCGAGCCTAAATAGGTAGCCAAGATAATGCCTAAAAATAAGGTTCTAAATTCTGAAGTTTACATGATCCTCTCGTGTGCACCCTTAACCTTAATTTCATCGAAGTTTTCCTCTTCTTCTTCGTTCTCGTTTTGCTGCGTCGAATCTCTCATGTTTGATGCTTTTTTGTGGTCATCAAAATTCAATTCTCTTCTCATGAAAACTGTTTCTCCGTTCAAATTAACTCTCGTTGAATATCTCCAGTGAACAATGTCTTCGTAAACATGTCATGGACCTCCATCTGTTTTAACAAGTCTTAAAAAGGAATAAAATATCTTCTTTTGTTGCAAAATTTTGCTTTCATATGATTTTTTGTTGAATTCTGTCAAATCATAAAAAGCGGTTTTGTTTTCAATCAAAACTAATTTTTCATCAGGTTTGAAAACGAAATCATCGAAATCAAACAAGTATTCAACAGGTTTAGATATCATTGCTTCTGCCAATTCAACTATAGCGCTTTCATTGTTTTTCGACATTATTTTTTCATAAATTTCTTTTGTTGCATTCGGATAAAGTCCAACAATATTCGTAAAAGCAGTTAAAACATTGATTTTCTTGTCATTTATCGAAATATTCAATGACATGTTCTTGTTGAATAAAAATCCTAAAATTTTGGCGGTTTTGCCAACAAATTCTTCATTTTTGTTTTTCTGCAAGAACATGCAAGAAATTTTACACAATCTCACTAGATACATTTCATTCTGTGCTTCTAAATCATCGATTTCTTCTATTAAAAGTGCCAAAATTGTTAAAATTTCAGTAGGATTCAAAATAGAAAACAAAATTTCATATTTTTCATCTTTTGTCATTAAACTTTGTTTCAAAAGTGTTGAAAACAGCTTTGGTTCATAATGGTAGTTCTTAATAAACAACGTGAAATAATACAACCAAGAAGCAACACCAAATATATTTGACAAAGAATTAGGAAATTCAATCATTGAATTAAATAATTTTGGCAAATAATTTTCAGGTAATTTGAAATCATTTGCGTATTTAAACAACATAACTAATATCTGCGGATAAACAATTTGGTGGCTGCCTGATTTAAGAAAGTCTTCATTAAAAATAGAAATATCAAAAATAATTGTTAATAACTGATTGATAAAATCAATTGTAATAAAGTCCATTTTCTGGTTTTCTAAGACTTCTTCATTGATTATTGTTGAAATTGACAAATTGTATTTCATTGTCATTTTTTCATCAACTGAATACAAAAGTGTCATTGCTTTCAATGTCAAAAACTTAATTTCACTTGATTCTGACTTTAAATAAAGAGAAGTAAAACCATCTAAAGCTTTTGCCAAATTAGAAAACGCGTATCTCATGAAATCATGTTCAATAAATAACCTTTGTAAAGTTTTCAAAATATTTTTCTGTATCATTTCGTTTTCGCAATGCAAACCATTTAAATAAAGGAATAACATACTTGGAAAGTTCGGAGATATCTTAAATATCATTGAGAAACAATTAAATATATGCGGATAAACATTGGATAAATCAGTTTCATTCATTTCTTCAAAATTGAAGGGAATATAATCGTCGAATTCAAATTTAAACGGTTTCAAAGAAATTTTTGAACAAATTTGGTAAATTAAACTATCTTGTGTTGAAAACTCGAAAACCTTTGGATCTTCTGATATCATTTGCGGCAAATTTTTGGAGTAAACGTAATAAGAAAATGAAAAACCCTTTTGTAATATCAAATTAAAATTCAAGAAAATATTTTGTACAAAATCTTTTTTCATATCACTTGTCAGACAATCATAAATTTCTTTTAATTTGTCAGCGAATTTTTCATTGAACAAAAGTGGATTTATATTTGTCATTATACTTGCAAACAAGCTGAATCCGCCTACATTTTGCCATAATTGCTTTAAATAATCATCTGATGAAATAACGTTCTTCGAAAGTGACAAAAATGAATTCAAAACATTTTGATTTTTTGCTTTCAAAAAAGTGGCAAAATCAAATTATAAGTTGAATCGAATTTCAACACGTCGACAATAGAATTAATAAAAGGAACAGCAACAGCAGTTATTTTTGCTCTTTTTCCAGAGTTTTTCGTTGTAGACATCAATCTTTGTATTTTGTTATTTACATTAGAAGGAATTGCAGAGAAAATGTAGTCAGAAGGAGGTTCATTTCTTTCTATCGCTTTGTTTGCCTTCTTCGTTGTTTTCTCTATATTCTTTGACGGCAAAATAAAAACAGGTCCAATGTCTCCAACGAAATATTTCTGTTCTCGTGACATTCCGATTCTTACTCGCATTTGATGCTGCTCTAAATGCGGCATATTAACATATAAAACCAAAAATAATTGTTATAATTTAAATGAAGAAGTAATTTAAAACGATTTTATTTATGATCAAATTTTATATATTTTTTTGGATCAAATCCATTTTAATAGAATTTATATACTATTCATCTATTAATAAACACTACCGTATATTATTTTTTAAGCTATCTTATTTTTTGAACTTTTATTCAAATCTTTGGTCGCAAGAAGAATTGCATGATAAATAAAAACATTTAATCAAAGTCAATTTTATTTTTCATATTCAAATGGACTGAGTGTTAACATTTAACATTTTTTGCTAATTGTCGTCAAAAATTAGGCGTAAAGCAAAAATTGATATTTCATATGGTTTTATGATAGATAAGCATTATATTCCCACTCATTATATTCGTAAATTTTGAGGTTTATCCTTCGCTTTTAAGATCATTGAATTTGATTTTTATATAAAATAGTTATATATTAGAAAATAATATGAGTTTATGTGATATTATTTTTCAGAAGATTTTGTGTTCTTCTTCAAAATTTTATTTTTTTATTAAAAAGAATCTTTACAAAATATACATTTACTTTAATTAATATTTAAAAACGTGCTCTATCAAAAGTTCCAAAAATTCAATATTTTAGCTTTTCTGAGGTGTCACTTTTGATGAATTTCTGTTTACAACATTGAAAAAATCAATATTGGAAAGGATAATAAACTGCGACATTTAATCATGAAATAATTGGTTACAGCAATATTGTCAAATTTTGCTGAGGTTAATCTGAAAAATGACACTAAAAATCTAATGTTGCTGATAATGTAGTTGAACTGTAATTTAATTCCAAAAATCTAACTCTCAATTTTTGAATGTGTTTTTATCGTTTTTCTATCCAATTATGACTTCGGCAAACAAATTGACGGTCGATGACGAGTAGTATCAATGTGTTATGTTGGTCGATGTGTTCTGAATTTTTGTAGTTTGGACACCATATTTATTCAGGGTGAATCGATACTTTTGAAATCAATTTCTCTATTTGCTTTAACTTTAATTATCTAATTTCTATGTACTATCTTGATACGTTTTAGCATGATTATATGGTAAGTTTTAAGATTGATGATGAATTTATATTTCAATACATTTTTAATATAAATTATGGCATTTTTACTATGGTAAGCATCTAAATATTTTCTGTTACTATTGAATAGATCGAGTTATGCTTTATTTAATGCAATATTGAGATCAATCGAATCTTCAGAGTATCTTAGTTGAAATCTGATAGATCTAGCTTCTTATCTGCCATAAATTGCTAGTCATCATCTTGGAAAGATATTTCAGGTTAATATTCCATTTCCTTTTCAATATACTTCAACCATAGCTCTTAAGAACATCAAATCAATATAATGGATTTGATGTGTTTCTGTCTTCTCTTACTCCATTAAACAAAGATAATTGAAAAATATTCAAACTGTAAAATATTCAATTTAAATAATGGTGAGTGTAACAAATAGCACGATGGTTAGCAGACAAATGTTCACAAATGTAACTCTCAATATATAATAATATGGAAATATGAAAATATATAATTTCAATATAAGATGCCTTTCTTTTCTAAATGCATATATTTTGAGCTCATAACTCGGATTTTGATGGTTTGCGACCGAGAAATAATGATTTCCATGGTGTGAAAAAAAGCATTTCGCAAACATTTTTTGAAAATGGATTCCTTGATGTCTGATCCGGAACAAATTATTTTTTTGTGTTTTTTCTTCCACCAACATCAAATTTAAGATGAATTCAGATACTGGTGAAACTCCTCAGAAAAAACTCTCCCTCACAATTTTCCCAGAAAAAATGCATGTATTCAATTTTGAAAGATTTACGTCTTCACAAAAAACATCTCCATTCAAATTCTAACTTTGAGAGCTCTCTTTATTTTCCCGAGATGCAAGCAGCATCAAGCACTCCATCAGGTCTTCTTCCACCAAAGACACTATGGACAAAGGAAGAAGATCAATTACTCACTACAGTTGTGAATCAATTTGGTGCAAAGAAATGGAATCAGCTTGCTCAGTTCATTCCTGGTAGAACTGGAAAGCAATGCAGAGAAAGATGGATGGCTCATATATCCCCAAATGTTAGAAATGATGATTTCAGTGTAGAAGAAATTAAACTATTGCTAGAACTTCATCAGAAGTATGGAAATACATGGTCACAGATATCCCAGTATTTTGATAGAAGACCACCCAATGTTATTAAGAACAAATTTAATTGTTTACTTAGAAAATCGAATACTCTTCAAAAGAGTAAGCCAACTGTTAAGCAAATTAAGCCAAAGACTGTCAGAAAATGTTATATGATTCCAATTCAATTTGAAAGAATCCCAATTGAAACAGTTCCAGAATATATCATTGAAGAAGAGCCAGTCTTTGACTATTTTGAGGAATTCTCCTCACAAGCGTTTTAATTTTTGTATGTTATTTTGTTATTTATATCTAAACTAAAAAATGTAGTTTAAATTCAATAATTTTTTTGCAAAGAAGGCCTGTCATTCAATGCATAAATAGGTATTTTAGAATTATACTATTTGGAAGAGTAATTAATCCTAATATTATAAGTTAATTAAGCATTCTCAAAAAATATGGTAAAATTTCTCAAAACCTGCGTTCAAAAAGGCAAAATTATATGCAATTTACATAATCGAACATTTGTTTACTAGTGAATGATCAAATCCAAATAAGAATCTTATTCAAAACTTTCAAAACTGACGAAGCACTCAAAAACATTGCGCATATACTTTTCAAATGAGGAGATAATCTAATGGTATTTGCATCGCTATTCTATAAGTTGATATCTGCCCAGATTCAAATTGGAAACTCTATTATTATATATTTATCGAATTTACTCTTGTGTGTTTCATCATTACATCTTCTTTATGCTATATTTTGAAATCTGGCCTCTAAAATTAAATCAATGTGCTTAGGAATGAAAGTTATTACAAAATGGAAAATTGACAAAAATTCCAAAAAAATGGAATCAATTGTTATTGAAGTTAATGACGAGTTTTCCATTAATAAATTCTATTCAATGGATATAATGAATGATGTTTGTGCTTTTCTTTCATCAGATTCCGTCGTTGTTTTCAATATTACTACAGAACGTCTAAAATTCAACAAAATTTATAAACGTCAACCTGAGGAACTAAAAAATAACGGCGATAATTCATGGGTTAATATCATTAACAAATCTAATATTGCATTTGGAACCGCAAAAGGTTCGATTTATCTTTACAACATCTATTCACAAAAATGCAAGTCAATTCATACGGGATTCACTATAACAGACACTTTTGTTTATAAAGATTCTGTTGGAATTTGCGTTGTCGGTCCAAAAATCGTTTTAATCTCAGCATCAGGAGATTCTATTCAAAGTATTAATTTCGAAGCACCATCCCCTTATATTAAGAATATTATCTCGTTTTCTGATACTGTCGCATTCTGCTGCAGTTCATTTTTATACTCAGGAAAATTATTGCCAAATTATGAACCAAAACAGATCTCCGAAAATGTTATGATGATTTCCTCAACGGAAGACTCTACTATATCAGCAGATTTCTTTGGAGAAATATCTAAAATAAATGAAACAAAGAAAGAAGAAATTGGAAAGACCGAAATGGGCGTCTTCGCTTTACTTAATACAAATCATGGACCAATTTACGTTGATATGGTCGGTGGAATACATTTAGGAAATAATTCGATCACAATTAAAGATATTTCTTCAGCTATGGATTACAGCTATGACTCTATCAATGACAGAATCATATTTATTGCTCGTAACTCTTTAATGGCAGCTTCTCTCAAGAATTTAGTAGAAAATGTTCCAAAAGTAGTCAGAGAACCAATTATTAAGCCATATTCAGAACCAGAGAATGAAGTTGAACCTGTTCAACAACCAGTTGTCCCAGAAAAACAACCAGAACCAGAGCCAATTACAAAAGAACCAGAAGAAAAGGCTCATGAAGTTGTTGAGCAACCAACAGTTGAACTCGAATCTGTTCTTGATGTATTCAGACCATTTACAGACTTAAATCCTGAAGAAAAAGTTGAATTTCTCATGACAGCTCCAGAAGAACAGTTTCTCAAGGCTTTACGTGAGAATTCCAAGGAAGTTTTGGAAGTTAAAGGCAAGAACCATATCGTTGAAAGCCTTATCGAGACAAAACAATGGATTAGAGCCTCTCATCTTTCGAATGCATTTGATGAGAACTTAAATGAACTTCTTCTTCAATATCCAGACTTAGGGAAGACAGAATTTCCAGAATGTGTCTCTTCGATATCATCTGATGCTAATAATTGGAAAGATAACGCAATAATTCTGAAATTACTTGCTTCAAACTTTATGATGACTGGTTTATTGCGCTGGAGCTTGGCAACATTTATTGTTGCTAATGATAAATCAAAAATTAGAGTACTTGTTGAAGACGATCATACCTTATTTGATGATGTAAGCGCATTTACAAGGGACTATGAAAATACAGATGCAACAAAATTGCTTAAGAGTCTTAATATCGGTTTTTAAGTAAATATTTGTTATGTGTTTTTTTGAAATTTCATAAAAAAAAGTTTTAATTTCACAAGTCAATCGTAAGATATGATAAATGGTTTGTTCCAAAATCATATATGGCAAGTACAGAGTAATATTCCATTCGATATTCTTATCGAATTGCAAATTTCACTTCCCACAATTATTGAGCTTTCAGAAACTTTTGATTTTTAGTTGTTCGAATGATTATTTTTATGCTGGAGATCTGTTTCTTCCGTATGACTTAGTAATATATAAACCATTGAAGAAATTTTTGAGAAATCTCCTTTCTGCCGATAAATTTCTCTCAATTTATATCTGATTTCAGAAATTTTATGATAGGTAGTACGATAAGATAATCACTTCATTTAGGAAATGCTCAGCAGCGTTGGTTTGTTCTCACGTGGCGACAAGGCTACAGCTAAGCTTATTCACGGCCTTGAGTGGTTCACTGTTAACAAAGACGGCAAGGGCTGTGTTATGACAACAGGCCCAGGCTCAGCTCCAACACCACCAGATTACTTGCTCATGGGTCTTGGTGCATGTGCAGGCAATGGTATCAAGTTCCTTCTTGACAAGAACGGCATCAAATACACAAAGCTCGAAATCGAAGTTAATTCTGACTGGGAATACAAACCACAGAAGCGCCTTGACAACATCCGCATTGGTGTTTCTACCGATGCAGAGTGCGACCACGAGAAACTCGAGAAGATTGTTCAGCAAGCAGAACAAGGAATCTGCCCAATTGCAGGCACACTCCTGCACACACCAAAGATCAAGAGTTTCCTCAAGTAAAATGTCATTTCGATTATTATAATTTTTCATATATTTTACTACTGATTTTGCAAGTTTTAGTTTTTGTTTATGAACTACAACTCATCTAGCCAATTTATGCTTTTTTTATTAAAGAAAGAAACATCTAATGCATATTTATTCTTTGCTAAACAAAATCCAATTCTTAACTCTGCAAGTACAATCACTATTATTCTTTGCTCTCGAAGATATTATTTATAAAATCATTACAATGTTGTTTTATTCCTACCAAAATATATTAAAATCCGATAATACACACGTATAAAAGAATATTTCATATTTAGATAGTGATGTGTTATAAAAGAGTAATTTCTAAGAAGACGTATAAGCAGATTTTTATGATGTTCATTTATTTCTAATATCTAGAGTAAGGCGTATAGGCATTATGTATATTTTTTTCCAATCGAAAATCACACTTTTTTAATTTTTCTCAAAGAGTTTACAATTTTGTATTATCCAATACAAATATATTGAAAGAAATGTCAAGGCACGATGGCCGAGTGGTTAAGGCGTGGGATTAGAGTCCCCATGGGCTTGTCCCGCATCAGTTCAAATCTGGTTCGTGTCGTTTTTTGCTTTTTATCTTGTTTGGGAAGCTTCACATGGAATGAGAACAACAAAGTCCATATTTTTTCCCTAAAGATTGCTTTAGCATTTACCAAAAGACATAAGACAAAATAGTTTTTAATCTTAATTATAATACTATTGCTTGTTTTGTATCAAGAAACATACATATTGAGCTATTTGAAAACTTATGATTACAGAACCAATAGAAGAAAGAGAACGTAAGCACAAACAAGTATGTCGACGAAGCAAAATGAGATATCCTATTATATATATTTGAGCTTACTTTTTTTAATCTTTCATCTCAGTTATTTAAGGGTGCACCCGTATGTACGTTTATTTGAGAGGAGGAGGATTACCCTCTCAATTTTGAGGGATTCGTTAGTTTATTTTCTCGATGAATATGCAATAAAATTTGATTTTTACCTTATCAATATACTTCATATAATATACACATGTTCATGTAAAAACTTTTTTCCAAAATCCTCAGGAATTAAGGGATTTTTGAATTTTAAGAATTTTTTCGAATTTTTTCGAAAAAAAAATATTTTCAGAACAGCCTTAACGGCTAAGATTTAGGAACAATGTTAAGTATCAAAAAGAAAGGAGGTCTGATATAGACAACATATATCGTTGAAGGTTGAAAAAATCTCTAATATTTGAGCCCAAAATTTCAAATTTTAATTTTTGAAAAAAGAGGCCACCCGTATGTACGTTTATTTGAGAGGAGGAGGATTATATTTTTGAAAGGGTGAAACATTATGAATATGTTAATTATATAATAATATGTATTATTATAAAAAAGAAAAAAATAAAGCACGTTAAAATTTTTCTTTCTTGATTTTTTACAAAATCTACTTAGAATTATGCAAAATATGACTAAATAATTATAAATTTCAAGTTAAATTTTAATTTTGATAAATAATTTAAATTTCAAAATATCAAGTTCAGTTCGACTATGTATGTAGTAATTCCTCAATAAAGTGCCAAAACCCTATTAAAATATATGAACATTTGCAACATTTTAATGTTTTTATTTAAAAATTTGTTGGAATATGAGCTTCAAACAATTATTATGTAAATAAAAATAATTAAATATATGTATTTATTCGTATTACAACCGTAGTAAGTCGATTCTTCCTTTCTTCTACTGAGTTTTGAATTTGATTTCGAATTGTAAAGAGATTCAAAGGGAAAATACTAGCGGATAAAAACTACCTCCATGAAAGGGTCATAATGGAGTCAAGTTGTATTTTTTGATATTTTTTGCTATTCGAGCCTAAATAAGGTAGCCAAGATAATGCCTAAAAATAAGGTTCTAAATTCTGAAGTTTACATGATCCTGTCGTGTCCACCCTTAACAAGAGATACAATGAAAAGTTAATAACAAATATAGATCATTATTTCCTGTATATAATATACTGCACTACTTCTATCAGACCTAATAGAATGCTTATTGTATCCACATTTAAAATGAAAGAAAAATTCTTTTGATCTGAACAAATTTCTACATAAATTGCTAAATATCTATGACTAAATTATATATTTTTAAGAGAATGTCAAGGCATGATGGCCGAGTGGTTAAGGCGTGGGATTAGAGTCCCCATGGGCTTGTCCCGCATCAGTTCAAATCTGGTTCGTGTCGTTTTTTGCTTACTTTGGATTTTTTAATATTTCAATACTTGAATGGTCAATTTTCTTCTCAAAGTTTAACAAATTTATTTTTCTAAATGAAATTGTTTTTGAGAAAAACATGTTGTAAACAGAAATTCATCAAAAGTGACACCTCAGAAAAGCTAAAATATTGAATTTTTGGAACTTTTGATAGAGCACGTTTTTAAATATTAATTAAAGTAAATGTATATTTTGTAAAGATTCTTTTTAATAAAAAAATAAAATTTTGAAGAAGAACACAAAATCTTCTGAAAAATAATATCACATAAACTCATATTATTTTCTAATATATAACTATTTTATATAAAAATCAAATTCAATGATCTTAAAAGCGAATGATAAACCTCAAAATTTACGAATATAATGAGTGGGAATATAATGCTTATCTATCATAAAACCATATGAAATATCAATTTTTGCTTTACGCCTAATTTTTGACGACAATTAGCAAAAAATGTTAAATGTTAACACTCAGTCCATTTGAATATGAAAAATAAAATTGACTTTGATTAAATGTTTTTATTTATCATGCAATTCTTCTTGCGACCAAAGATTTGAATAAAAGTTCAAAAAATAAGATAGCTTAAAAAATAATATACGGTAGTGTTTACTAATAGATGAATAGTATATAAATTCTATTAAAATGGATTTGATCCAAAAAAATATATAAAATTTGATCATAAATAAAATCGTTTTAAATTACTTCTTCATTTAAATTATAACAATTATTTTTGGTTTTATATTTTTTTGGATCAAATCCATTTTAATAGAATTTATATACTATTCATCTATTAGTAAACACTACCGTATATTATTTTTTAAGCTATCTTATTTTTTGAACTTTTATTCAAATCTTTGGTCGCAAGAAGAATTGCATGATAAATAAAAACATTTAATCAAAGTCAATTTTATTTTTCATATTCAAATGGACTGAGTGTTAACATTTAACATTTTTTGCTAATTGTCGTCAAAAATTAGGCGTAAAGCAAAAATTGATATTTCATATGGTTTTATGATAGATAAGCATTATATTCCCACTCATTATATTCGTAAATTTTGAGGTTTATCATTCGCTTTTAAGATCATTGAATTTGATTTTTATATAAAATAGTTATATATTAGAAAATAATATGAGTTTATGTGATATTATTTTTCAGAAGATTTCATTCTATATGCCTATGAAAAGTACTCTCAAAACTAACTTTTTCCTAATTCTAATTAAATCTAGAATATTGTATTATGCTTAGTATTATTTCATTTTTCTCATTCAATTTAGAATTTACAAATGTCAAAAAATTGAGAGCTGTCACTTTTGATGAATTTCTGTTTATTACATTTTTGAGAAAAACATATTACTTTTAAAATGCATAGTCATCGATAAACTAATTAATGATAATATGTTTAATTTCAATTAAGGATACCCTTACATTGCGTAGTTAGAAAGAGAATATGATATTGTCATGATTGCTAAAGTTTTAGGCTCCAGAAATGAATATACATCAAACTGAAACAATTGATAAATTGAATGAACTTTTGAGAGGTTCTCAAATAAAAAAAATTATCTAATTTTTTACAATATTACTATTATTTTATCCACATATGTATATATAGTAATTTGAGAAAACTTTTAGGAAAAAATAAGTTTAATAAAAATCTGAATTTTACTTGTTGTGGGATTGTTATTAATTGACACTCCAGACGTATTACTAATAGTTATGCGTATGCAATTAAAGTATTTCTGATGGACAAAATGTGAGATTTATATCAGATAATTCATTTCTACTATTAAGTTATTCATTTATGAGTTTGCACTTATTCGCACTAAATAAATAACTATTAAAAATTGTTTTAATTAATTGACACCATATAATAGAGTGAATTTTGTTTGATCAAACAACAATAGATGATAGATATAAAGCCAAGAAACTTGCTATTAATATGCTCTACTTGCTATTTCAATGTAAGTATGATATTTTCTAAATGTTTCGTTCAGATAACTTAGATATATTAGTCAAAATTTGAAATTTTAATAGCACATATATTAAAAATAATTATTATTCATAAAAGATTAATGAAATAGTAAAAAAAATCAATCAAATTATAAAAATACAACATTTAGAAGAATTCTTATTATCCTTCAAAAAGTCAGTATTTCTGCTGTAATTTTCTACAACATTGTAGTTATTGCACTTTGTCTATGGATTTGTATATATGTTATATATAAATTATATATCTAAACTGCCCATAAGTGCAATTTTTATATAAATTGTTTATTTCTTTAACAATTTCATATGAAATATGCTTTTTTAAGCATATCAAAGCTGTGTTCTTAATGTGCATGGATATATCAAGAAAAATGTCGAAAAAAAAATGTGAATTCACAAATTCACTGAATTTTCACCGTTTTTTGAATTTTGCTACAGCACTAATATTAAATAATACTAAAATCTTCTGTCTTTGTAAAAGAATAAATTCTGACAAAAAGTGCTCGTTTAAATTTAATGATCATCTGTATGACTAAGTGGTAAAAAGTGTTTATGACCAAAAAAGGGTTACATGCTTAGTCTATTTTTCTGACAGGATACTCTAGATTTACATGATCTCTATTTCATATCTCCGTTTTTAGATTCTTCGACAGATTTTATGATAGAAAACCAAGATTAACAAATTTCCGGCATGTTAATGAAGAAATCTGCAGCTACCCTCAATATTATTTCAATAATCAGTATCGTTTCTCTTACAATTTATTTTTTTCTCAATAATTTAACAAGAAATAACAATACACACTTGGTTTTACGTATAAAAGCTAAGTGTCGAACTTAATCAACTTTACTTACTTAGCAAATGAATATTTTTGTGGTTGCGAGTTCTGAATGCTGAAGTTTTAGATTTCTCTATAAATGATATCATTGCACTTACAATGTTGTTCCAGCCTATCGCATAAATCATAGAAAATCCAAAAAAAAATAATATAAAGAAAATTCATGTCATGAAGTTCAAAAAATACCGCGTAACATTAAAATTTGTTATGCATAATACATTTTAGCTATTATTGATTTTTTTTAATTTTCGAGAAATTGAATGGTGAGTCCGATAGAGAAATTTTTAAAAATCCTAGTCCCTCATAGAAGTAATTTCCCTCGTCTCCCGTACTTCCAAATGTATGCATATGACATAAACTTTTATGCATTACACAAATGGCCAATAATATCTATAGAGTAAAAAATTAGAAATTTAATTTTTTTTATATGATAGTTATATTTCAGATTTGCGAGCGTAACTTTTTTCTCCATGGCATACTTGTTTTAAGAGCAAATGATCAAAATCGTCCTTCAATTATTGAAGGAGCTGATATCTTTTGATAATTGAATTGAAAGGGTATTCAATTTTCAAATTTCCTCTCAATTTTGGAAACATATCAACTCTATGAATTAACAATTATGTGCCTTCACAGTTTATCAGTCATATAAGGTGCTTATAAAGAAAAAAGTTACGCTCGCAAAATATGTTTTTATATAGATTTCACATAAAATAATTATGTAATTTCTAAAAAGAATATTTTTGTTCTTGAATATTAAAGTGTATTGTAGTTTAAAAAGTTTTAAATATGTTGCTAAAATTTCAGGTTTATAGCTCATGTCTAGCATGACTTCTTCGTATGCGCAAAAAATCTGACACGTAAGGGTATCCTTAATTAATTAACACGCCTTATCAAAAACGACACGAACCAGATTTGAACTGATGCGGGACAAGCCCATGGGGACTCTAATCCCACGCCTTAACCACTCGGCCATCGTGCCTTGACATTCTCTTAAAAATATATAATTTAGTCATAGATATTTAGCAATTTATGTAGAAATTTGTTCAGATCAAAAGAATTTTTCTTTCATTTTAAATGTGGATACAATAAGCATTCTATTAGGTCTGATAGAAGTAGTGCAGTATATTATATACAGGAAATAATGATCTATATTTGTTATTAACTTTTCATTGTATCTCTTGTTAAATAACTGAGATGAAAGATTAAAAAAAAGTAAGCTCAAATATATATAATAGGATATCTTATTTTGCTTCGTCGACATACTTGTTTGTGCTTACGTTCTCTTTCTTCTATTGGTTCTGTAATCATAAGTTTTCAAATAGCTCAATATGTATGTTTCTTGATACAAAACAAGCAATAGTATTATAATTAAGATTAAAAACTATTTTGTCTTATGTCTTTTGGTAAATGCTAAAGCAATCTTTAGGGAAAAAATATGGACTTTGTTGTTCTCATTCCATGTGAAGCTTCCCAAACAAGATAAAAAGCAAAAAACGACACGAACCAGATTTGAACTGATGCGGGACAAGCCCATGGGGACTCTAATCCCACGCCTTAACCACTCGGCCATCGTGCCTTGACATTTCTTTCAATATATTTGTATTGGATAATACAAAATTGTAAACTCTTTGAGAAAAATTAAAAAAGTGTGATTTTCGATTGGAAAAAAATATACATAATGCCTATACGCCTTACTCTAGATATTAGAAATAAATGAACATCATAAAAATCTGCTTATACGTCTTCTTAGAAATTACTCTTTTATAACACATCACTATCTAAATATGAAATATTCTTTTATACGTGTGTATTATCGGATTTTAATATATTTTGGTAGGAATAAAACAACATTGTAATGATTTTATAAATAATATCTTCGAGAGCAAAGAATAATAGTGATTGTACTTGCAGAGTTAAGAATTGGATTTTGTTTAGCAAAGAATAAATATGCATTAGATGTTTCTTTCTTTAATAAAAAAAGCATAAATTGGCTAGATGAGTTGTAGTTCATAAACAAAAACTAAAACTTGCAAAATCAGTAGTAAAATATATGAAAAATTATAATAATCGAAATGACATTTTACTTGAGGAAACTCTTGATCTTTGGTGTGTGCAGGAGTGTGCCTGCAATTGGGCAGATTCCTTGTTCTGCTTGCTGAACAATCTTCTCGAGTTTCTCGTGGTCGCACTCTGCATCGGTAGAAACACCAATGCGGATGTTGTCAAGATATTTTGAATCTTATTAAAGATATTTTAATAAAGTAGTTGAATTTCATTGAATTTTAAGTGTTAGAATCTTAAGTGTTAGAAGATATCTTGAAAACCAGTACTGTGGTTTCTATATTCTAACTAAAGGAGTATTTATAAACTTTTTGATGGAACGGAAAACAACACAACAAAATACTTGTAACATTAAAGCACTAATAAAATTACATTATGTTAGGCATGTTAATGCATTCCAAATAGTCTTAATATTGAAATTTTCTTTTGCTCAATGATAAAATGATGTAAAATTTTGATTAAATTACATCTCTTCAATTTTATTAACGTCTTGAAAAGTCTGTAAAATGTCTTTTTCACGATCAGAAGAATATCAAGACGCCTACATCAAGGAGCTTGATGCTCGACTGGCTGCCCTCGAAAATAATGAATTCTTTCTTCCAACCCCTCCAAAAACATCAAAATCATCAGCAAGAAGACCGAGAAAGCAAAATAAAGATTCCGCAGAAAGAGATCTTAAAGCTGTAAGTGCTCCCACATCTGCTCGGCGGAATAGAGTTCGTAGACATAATCAATTTACCCAACAAGATATTCAAAAATTTTTAAATTGTGCGTATGAGAAAAAGCCTCTTTGGAATTTAGAACCTGAGCAATATGAACAAGTACTTTCTATATTAAAACAGCAAAAGAAAGATGCCGTTGCTAAAAAGAGATTTGTTGATAGTATGGAATCCCAAGAAGCTATTGAATATGTAAATAATCATTACAAGAACGCAATCAAAGAAGAAGGAGAGCAAGAAATAGATTCAGAATTCCAAGGAAAAATGGATACTTATTACGAAAGTTTGAAGAAGTTTGATGATGAGACAAAAGATCTCGAAGAGAAATTCTTAATCAAAAAGCGTAAAGCTAAAGATTTAATCGTTGAAAGTCAAAAAGATGATTTACTTGATTTGCAAGAATACTGGTCTTCTCCTGCAAAGCAACGTCTCTATAACCGCGCATCAAATCAACTTGTTAATCTAAGAAAACGACAAATTGACGAAGTTAATCTTAATAACCTTGCTGAAGCCGCAAGACTTCAAAAACACATTTCTAGACTCGAAAGAGAAGAATCCAGAACAAATTCTGAAGCATGGCAACTCGATTATAATCAAGCATTAGATAAATTACAACAAAAGCATAAGCGCGAGTTAGAAACATTTGAATTCCAAAGTAACATTCAATTTACTAGTTTAAAGCAGAAAAGAGAGACTTTAAGACGGCGTTTTCTCTATCGAAAAGCAAATCTCGAACATAAGAAGGAGCAAGATAAAGCAACAAGTCTTTTTGGCGCTTCTGCAACGAAAAGAATTCAGAGAAATATAAGCGCTTCTACTTCACTCAAAAAGACCGAAAAAATACTAGATCGTGCATTAGATAATGTTTATAAGGATATTTCTTCAATCAGATTGAAGCCTATTGTATTCAAAGTTCCCAAATGATCCAAATGTTATCTGTTTGGTATCTTATTTTGAATATATTTTATTTGAATTGCATTTTATGCGAATTTTATAGAGTTTATAAAGTTATTGTTTTGTTTTATTGATATAACCTTCCTTTTTCAATATAATGGACATCAAAGTTGGAACAATTTTTTCTGGAATGAAGCCTTTTGATTAATTGATAATATAGAGATCGCATCGAGATATATTAACGGTATCGAAAGTGCAGAATACTGATTATGAAAGAAGTTTAAATATTTGGATTCTATTTTAACATAGGACTAAATATAAGTTATGATTGGCATTTACAATGGAATTTTGGTACATTTACCTCTTTATAATTCTTAGATAGGCAATGATATTTTCCGGTTGTGAAAAATTATAAAGTTATTTCTCATGAACAGAATATATGAATGAGATCAATGTGCTTGGTGGATTGGTACTCATTGATGCATAGAATTCAATATAAAAACTCGATTATAACGACAAAAATGTTTTGGCGGGGATTATTTCAATGACTACATCAAAATTATCATCTCATCATACTCAGTGGTCATTCCTGAAGTTGAATTTCATAAAAATGGGCCTGAAGTAAAAAACGTTATTTTAGTAAAATGACTGAAGATTCCCTTTTTGTTACCGATACAAAACTTGCTGATGCCATGACTCAGATTGTCAGTAATGAGGAACCAGCTCCTGAGGAGCAAAAAGAGGAACAACAACCAGAAAATCCACCAGAACCACCACAATCAGCTCCAAGTCCCACTCCTGAACCAGTTATGGATGCAGCTTCAACAACATCTGCTGCAACAGAACAACCAAAAACAGAAATGACAAAGGAGGAGGTTGATGAGCTGATTAACGACGCAAAACAAGGAAAAGATTTATCACAATACAATTCTTCTCAGTTAAATCAAGCATGGAACGGATTAAACTCTCAGAAAACTGAATACACTCAACAAAGAAAATATGTTGAAGCTGATAAAGTTACAAAATTAATGAAAAAGATTCGTTTATTAGCAAATCAAAAAGCGGTGACAGAAAAAAGAGAAGCAAAGATCCAAGAACTTGTACAGAAGCGTGACGAGTGCCAAGCTGACCTCGACAAGCTTAGTAAATCTTGGGAGAACAAATTAGCGGACTTTGATGCACAAATTAAAGTAAAAGTACAACAATATTACGATCAGCAAGGAAAGGAATTAGCAGATTTCGATGCAAATACAGAAAAGGAAATTGATTCCTTACAAATTCGTGATACAAAAGAGCTTTTGAAGCTTAAATCTCGCGAAGAAGGATTGGTTAAAAATGAAATGTTCATTAAAGCTCAAGAAGTACGTTCAAAAATTGAACAACTCGAAGCTGAAGTTATTGAGTCCCAAAAATCACAGAAAAGAGATGAATTATCAGTTAAAAGGCAACAGATAATTAACCAGCAGATCCAGCAGCTCCGTGTTATTGAACAATGGGCAAATGAAAAAGTTATTGATTTAAGTCGCCAAATGTCTGGCGAAATCGGAGCAGCAGAGAAGCGTGTTCATAACTATGATGTCCAAATAGCTGCAGTAAAGACTGGGAAGGAGAAGGGATCAAAAGGAAAAAAAGCTGAAATTTTAGTTCCATCTGTTCAGAAAAACTCTCGATCTACCAGATCTGGATTCCGTTGATTATGAATTTTCTGTCTTTGTTGTTTATTATTTTAAAAATTAGATTGTTATTACCATATTTCAAAAGAAAAATCTTTATTTTACTTTTTCATTCATTTCTTTAGAAAGGAGACAATCATGAATTGTATGATATTCCTGATTTTAAACAATTTATCACATTTGTTGATACGCTCTATTCAAGACGTTATTCTAATATGTATTTCCCTTTTGGTGTTAAACATAAAATATCTAATATCAAAATGAATTCGATTTTGAGGAAAGAAAGTGTTTCACTGTTTGGTGTTTTGTTTCTTAAGAGAATTGGATAAACTTCGCATGGATCAATCGCAGATATATTTACTGATTGTTTCCGAAGTCTAAAATGCTGCTTTCCAATGCTGTTGAATTTTGAACAGCAGATAGATAACTTGGGTTATTTAATCATAATTTTGAAGAGAATAAGCTTTTGTAATATATCTTTTATTCTTTTGTTTAATATTTCATTGCCTATAATTTCATGTATTACCAATTCTGCTGAAAATTGTCTATGAAGCACTTGCTTATAATATATGATAATCTCTTTTCAATTAATGTGCTTCGATGTGTGTGTTGTGTGAATTTCAAAATTGAAACTTCAATTTAGAAATCATGGTTAAAAACTATATTTTTACATAACCCTTTGCAGGCTGTCAACAGTTAGTTATTGAGACTAATTTACTCAATGATATTATACATTGATACTTGTTTATTGATGAAGACAGTGGCTATTGTTATTGATCTTATATCAACTTCTTTTGGTTTAAATATTCATTGCTCTAGCATTAAAAGAAACCCTTACAGATCCAGTACCATTTAGCAAAATCGAAGAAAATGATATAGCTATTTATGTGTTTGAGATACTGCAAACAACATAATGATTTCAATGCAAATTCTATCTGTTTTAGCAAAATCATGAAAGAATGAATATGAGTAATTAAAAATGGTTTACTGTGAGTAAAATATAGCAGCCAGCTTTTACCAGGCTGAATAATTATATGAAATTAAAAATTGAAATTGAATCATGAGCTCTCAACATTTTAATTAGAATAAAGCATATACTCATTTATATAATGCATTAAGCATAAGATTTCACCATGTCAGCAATCCAATTTCATTATTTTTATGGAGCATCGCCTGTCTTGTCATGCTTATGGAAGCTATCCAGGAAAAACAGACGCAGAAAAGAATATAATTGGTCATGAACTTACATTTAACGATGAAGATGACCATGTTATCGATATTTCATGCTCTGATTCAACAATAATTTTAATTCATCAAAGCGGTAAATCTCAAGCATTTGGCGATAATTCAAAAGGCCAACTAGGTATTGGCTCATTTGAATCAACAGAATTGTATACTGAAATAAAATCAGATCAAAAATTTATTACTTCAAAGTGTTCTAACTATTTCACTTTCTGGATTAACGACAAATCGCAAATATACATGGCTGGTGGTAAAAATAAATTAAATCAACCTACATTAATTCAAGGAATAGAGTCGAAATCGATAAATGTATATGAAAAATCTGTATTAGTGCAAGTAAATGATAAAAAACTTATTTATTGGCCTGATTTTGATGAATACGAGCAAAAATACGAGCATGAATTTGAAGATAATATTTTAGAATTTTCATGTGGAAACAATTTTGCAATTTCACTTCTTGAAAACAATAGTTTATTCAAAATAGAGAAGGATCAGATTACTCCTGTTGTAATTCCACGAATTGCTCTCGATGGCGGCAACAGATTTTTATCCGCGTCTTGTTCTCGCGATTACATTGCTGTTGTTGACCTGAATGGAGGCGTTTGGGTAATCGGAAAAATGCATACATATGATGGTCAAGATGCAATTATTCCTATAATGGATGAAGCAGAAAAGATTGTTGCATTTCCAAGGCATTGTGTTATCTTTGATGGTCTTGGTCTTTGTTTCAGCTTCGGAGCTAACGAAGAAGGACAACTTGGGAATGGTTCTCAAGAAGACTGCGCTTCTCCATTTCCTATGGAGCAAAGTGATGCTGCATTCGCTGCTATTGGTGGTGATAAGTTCACTATCCTTGTTCCATTCAGTTATGATGAAGTTCATATGATGTATCATGAAGATGATATAATTCCAGGCTCTCTAGCTAAGACCATTCAAAATTCTTCAAATTTCATACCTCAGTAGAATAAAATTTTGTTTATTTTAAATGAAAAATCTCTAAACTGAATATAATTTAATTTTTACCGGTTAAAACACAATGTAAGCATGAATAAATGGATTAGTATTCCATTATATAATTAATGTAACCTCGGCCAAATGTGCTTCGCATTTCAATTCCCTATTGGATTTTCATTGATTTTATTGACTTAAGGCTATTGCTTAAAATAAGCCTTACTATAATGATTTATGCATAGTTGACTGATTTATTAACTACTGTATATGCCAGGTACAGTTTTGTTCGCGAACGTATTCAATATCTGATCTAAATTCGATGAAAAGACTGAGAAAAGTAATAGAATCTTGGTAAAATACCAATCTATACCATAAAATCGGCTAATCTTAAGCAAAGAAATTTGACCAATCAGCAAAAATTGAATAAAATGGAGATAATCCGAATTCTATGATATATGGTTAAGATCCTCTACAATTGTTGTCTATTTTGAATTGGTTTTATCTCCTTTGAAAATCGGCTTATCAAAATCGATTTTAAAATACATCAATTAAACTAGCAATCAACAACTTTATCAAAATGCGTATTAATTTTTATGGGGAAATTTCGATCAAATAGAAAGACGTTGCAAAGTCAGTTTTATTTCTTTGGATTGTAAATTGGTTTTATTTATGGTTAAATAAAATTTTATCTGATCGAGTTTAAGGGTATAGTCCACTAAAAATTTTTAAGTTTTGACAATGAAAATAAGCTCTGTGACCATGTAAATATATATCTATGCAAAACGAGAGGTTATGCCATAATTTTTTTTAGTTATCAAATTTCCCTTTTTTTGAGAGAAGTCTCTCAATAATTTGAGAAGAATCTTTGATATAAAGAGATACACATTTGTAGAACGAAGTAAGTGTTTTCCAAACATTTTATATGTTCATCCTGTATAACAATATAAAGCTGCATAGTGCCATCTTGTGCGTTTGCTATTTTATGTACTTTTCATTGAGATAATCCCTCTTCTCGGGTGATTTTAACAGTCAACTCAATTTTAAAATAAAGATTTCATCAAAATGATTTCGAAATTCGGATATTGATTATATAAATAGCACTGTTAACATATTTTGGATGAGTAAAAAATACCTTGTTTTGTATGCATTTAGTACACCTTTATTTTTGATTAAAACTATAAAATTTTTATTCCTTATATAATAAATAGTATATGTTACATAAACATGAAATTCAATAGCATTCAATTTTGGATTTTTTAGATTTGGTAAATTTTAGAAGAAATAAAATCAGCAATCAAAATAAAGAAACTTTTTTTGTATCTTCTATGATTACCTTTTGGTACTAAATTTTGCATTAATAAGTAAATTATCTGTATTATTCTGTGAGCACAAGCCCTCAGTTATGCTGGTAGTGATGAATCGTCATTTTGCGAAGAGAACGCGATTATTAAGGTAATTTTGAGAATTGTCTTGAATTATTTAAAATTAAAGTTAATTGAATAGGTAGGATAACTAGCCTTTGCTAAATTTGTATAATTTGACCTTATTCTAGTTGGATCTGAGAATATTTTGCTGAAATAATAAATTATATCGCCGATTTATGAAAATTTCTCTGATGGGACCGACTCGCTGAAACGTATTAGTGTTAATGGTAACTTGTCTGAATTTTCAAATTTTTTTCGAAATCCAAAAAATCACAAACAAAAGCATCAAAATTAGATTTGCATTTAAGGTTTTCATTTTTTTTGGAAAATAAAAATATTTTTTCCCCAATAAAGTTTATTTTTACTTTTGAGAGGAATAGAAACGTTATTTTGGAATTTTGAAACGACAGAAATGTTCCATTTTTAATGTAGATTCTAAAATGGGGTCAAATTTTTGATTGAACCGTTATCCATTGAAAAACCTCGATTTTAAAATGTTATTCCAAAATATTCATCTAATGATATAGTATATATTTATTAATTATTACTTTTTATTCAATTTTCACTTTTGGCGGGATTTCATTTTTTTGTTGTTGTATGGGCCATATTGTTCACCCAAAACGGAAAACAAAGGCAATGCATAACATTTTACTCCACGAACGTCGTCGACTCTCAGCGCGACAGATGCTTGGTGCTTGCATAATGACCGGAATGCCATATACAAAAGGTGCTCGCTTTCTTTCTCTTTGTGGAACTAAGCCCCCTGTGAAGAGTGGTGTCATGAGACAACAGAGATTTTGTGACGATAAGATTAGAAGACTTAAAAGTATTTCCCTAATGCTGTCGAGAAAGTCCTTCAGTGGTTACTTATCCATTGATGCAAGATGGACGCACAGGCGAAACTCGCCAAGTTGTACAGTAACTGCGCTCGATGCTGTCACAAAAAGAGTTCTTGCATGCGTGAACATCAACCATATTGGTGGAAACAGACAGCATGCTCAGTATTCCGGAGCTTCCAACAATATGGAAAGTGCTGGAACTCGAATCATCTTGAAGCAATTAAAGAAATACAATATCTTGAAAGATGTTAAAGAGATTATTAAAGACCGAGATAACAAAAGTGTCTCTGTCTTTAAAGAATTTGGCGTCTCTCATCTTGAAAGATTCGATCCAGGTCATGTATCAAAAAATATCTCAAAAGATTTTACAAAGTTCTCAGCTTCTCATAAGACAGTTGAAGTTTTCAACGACAAGACTCAGAAGATTGAAAAAATAGAGAGACCTTTCTGGGGTCTGAATGCAAGCCTAAGTATGTGGCTTTGGTCATGTTTTGCCGAAGAAAATATTGACAAACGTACGAAAATGTGGGAGAATTGTGTCTACCATTACGTAGGCAATCATTCTTTTTGCGAACCGCACAATTACAAATGCTTTGAATGGCAAAAAGGTGTCAATTCGATCCAACTTCAATTCATGCTCTATGACTGGGTTCACAAATGGACACCCATAGTTTCCAAAGTTTCTTCCATTGGATCTACCTGCATGAATGAAGCGTTTAACTCCAAAATTGCATGCTATTTGGACAAATCAAGAGCCTGGAAGAACATTAACATTAGAGTTAACGTTGCAATCTTAGAATGGAATGATCCAGAGCATTTTCTCGGAGATATACAAAAAGCATTACATCTTCCCCCACTTCCAGAAGATTGTGTCAAATCATTTGAAGAGAATTGTTACTCCAAAATGATATTGAAACAAAAAACTGTTACAAAAGGTTCTAAAAAACAGAACAAATACAAAAAATCCATTCAGAGTGTACCAGGAGGAGATTATCAAGTTTTCAAGTCCGAATGGGAATCAGAAGACGAAGACATTGATGACTTTGATTAACGAAAATTACATTTTATTTATTGTTTTTGTTTTTAATTAAATTATTATTATGCTCATTTTCTTATTTTGATTTTTTCTCATTATGACATAAATAATTTATTAATGCATTTATCCAATAATTATGCTATGATATTTTTATGCCTTATTTCATTTCTCTTATATTTGATAATCTGGTAAAATATAGTTCAGACTATAATCATTTTAGATTATTGATATATTTATATAGGTTAGAATAAAATTAGTTTCATTTTCTACTTTTATTTTGAATTAATAATTTATAATATCAAATATTATGGCGTAACCTCTCCTTTAAAATATAGATATATATAGGCCTATAGAGTTTATTGGCACTCTCAAAACTCTAGAATTTTGAGTTTACTATACCCTTAATAATCTCTCAAAATTGAAAAAGTATTCAAATGAGTAGGTGACAAAAGTGCATACTCTTAAACTTTGACCCTCTCTCGTATTCAAATGGTTCGAAATCTGAAATATGCCCTTTAGACAATAGAAAAAATATGTGATCAAACTTTCGGTGATTTTTCTTTACAATTTTTTTTCGAATTCAGATATAATATTCCTTATCTTATAAACAATTTAAATATCAGATTATCAAAATTAGAAGGTCTGGACGATAGATATCTTCAAAAGTATGGAAAGCAATTCAGATAGCTTTTCCTCCTCAGATCTCGATCCTTTAAATACGCAAGGAGGAGGTCATGGACAATTATGTAAAATTAAAAATTTAGACCATGGTATTGATTGCGTAGCTAAACCTCTTTTCGAGCACGAAAACAATTTTTATACAATCATGACAAAAACGCCACTTGCTGATTGCTTGCCTCGGTTTTTCGGAAACACACAAATTGACGGGCACGAATACTTGCTGATTGAAGATCTTACAGCTGGTATGACAAGTCCTTGTATTGCCGACTTAAAATTAGGAACTCGATCGTTCGAAATCGGCGTTTCAGAAAGTAAGGTGCGTAAGCAGATGCAGAATATGTCAAAGAGTACCACACCAAAATATGCAGTCCGAATTATTGACGTTTCTATGAGAAAAGATGGAAACTTAGTTAACCACTGGGATAGGAACTTCGGTAAGAAGGCTCCAATACAGTCATTCATTGATACAATGAACAAATTCATTCCTGTTAATCGCAAGCAAGAGTTTTTGGACAAGGTAGAAGATGTCATCACTAAGTTAACTCAAACCAAAGAAATTTATCCTGGTAGCAGGTTGTATAGCGCATCACTTTTGGTAGTTTATGACGGAGATCAAGATTTACCAATCAGAGTTGCGCTTATTGACTTCGCCCATGCTTATTCTGATATCACCCAATGCAGTGGCAAGATGGATAGTGAAGAATTTGAAGATAATACAATCTTAGGCCTCAGAAATATTATTCATCTTCTTACGGACCCCACAGAGCTTGAAAAACGTCAGATATAATCAAATTCGTTTTATATTATTTATACGACCAATGTTATTATTCTCGAATAAATTCCTTATTCTTTCATTAATAAATTAGCTTATTTTATTAATATTATTGTATGGAGTAGTACTATAAAGATCTGGAAAACAATCTTATCAAAAAGAGAAAAATTATATTATGATTTTTTATGAATTTGGACATAGAGTATTGATGTAATCAAATACTTCTTGATACCTATTATACTGATGTGAATAAATTATAGGGTTATCAGAACCTTTTGCAACGAGTTGGTTTTTAGAGTTAAATAACCGACTCTTATTCATACAATAGTTCATAGTTGTGAATCCACTAGAACAGTTCATTATATTAATATGATATGGGAAAGAATTATAGTTTTTCCACAAAATATAATTAAAATCTCCTTGATCTGAGCCTTTTTTCCAGCATTTCGGCCATTCTTCTGCAGAAACCATCATTTTTACGAATTTGTGAAAAGGATCCCTTCCTCCCGCCAAAGATCCACTGCATAAAATTTTATTTCTCAAAAACTCTTTTGTAACGTTTGGATGGCAATCTAAAAGCCATTGTTTGTTGTATGGACATGATTTGATTGCTTTATCTTCTGATTGGAAGTAGATTTCATCATTTTTTGGTATCAATGAAAATGGATCTCCAAAAAAGAAAGAATCGAAAGCGTCTGCATGAAAGATCCTATTTATTTGCAACGTTTTATTAGAAAGAAATGTATCGTACCATTCCCAACGGATTTTGTGTGGAGATTTTGATTTATTTTGCGGAATAATTGACATTTTAACAAAAATGACATCAAAATTAAGAAATTTAAATGGTATTTCAACATCCTCTGGAATGAAAATATAAATTGAAGCATTGCATTTTGCAGTTCTTAAAGATCTGATAGTTAAAGCAACTCTATCAGTAAATTTTGTTGTTGCAATGAAAATTGAATCGTATTTTGTAGATGAACTGTTTGTGGGGGTTTCAAATTTGCAGGGCTTATATGGTTTAATGAATTGAAAAATTGCTTTCTTCTTTGATTGTATATATAATGGTATGAATACAAATATTGTAACAGTGAATACATTAGCAATAGCTAATAATATATGTGTATTACTTTGTTTGTCTTTGGTTCTATATCTAAATTTTGGAATTATTCGAGAGAAACTGTAATAAAAGAGTCAAAAAGGTGTAATATTTGGTGTTTTTAATAGATTGGAATGGTTAGTCCAAATTGTTTACATAAGATATGAATGAAATCAAAATTCAAGTTTGAAAATGAAAAATATAATGAAAGAAATCAAAACAACCAAGTATAGAGAATATGTTAATTGCTGAGATATGAAAAAAAAAGTTAAAAAAAAAGAAATTTCGCAATCAATTAAATACGTTTAAACCTGTGGGACGAAAGCCATTGTAGCAACGCCGCACTTGTTGTTTTTATTGCGGACCATGCGGATGTAGCCGGACTCACCCCAAGATGTCCCCCATGAGTTACGAACAAGCCAGTAGTCCTTCTTGTCTGTGCCGTAGCCGATAAGGCCGACAGCGTGGTCAAGGTTGGAGGATGAGCAGAACCATGGATCATAGATGCCGGAGTGGTAGAGCTGGAATGTGAAGTGGGAAGCATCGATAGCGATAGCGATTGGGCCATATGTAGCGGAAGCAACCTTAAGAGCGTTCTCATCGCCCTGTGTAACCTGGAAATCGCCTGTAACCTTAGCATAGCCCTTTGAAACATCGAACTTGCATGTTCCGTCCTTAGCTGTGTATGGGTAGTCAACTTCAAGGTTGAAGAGACCCTGCTGGTTAGCGATAACATATTGGTAAGCCTCGTGCATTAAACCACCATTGCAGCCAGAGCATGATGTAACGCAGTCAACGAGGTTCTGCTCGGAGAGGGAGTAAAGGTTGCCGTGGTTCTTGGCGTAGACACCTTCCTGAGCCTGGATTGTGGAGAAAGCCCAGCAAGAGCCGCAGTTGCCCTGGTTCTTGATTGGGTTGACAAGTCCGGACTGGCGCCAGTCAACTGTGTCTGGAACATCGTCCTTAAGGTTCATAGCCTTGACTGTTTGGCCCTTGGAAACACCCTTGAAACCAAGGAGTGCCTTGTACTCAGCTTGTGTGAGGTGGGCAAGATGGTTCATTGAGAGCTGGAATTCGCCCTTGGCATTGTGCTGCTGGACGAAGCGCTTGTTGTTGATCCAGATACCAAGACGTGCGTGGTATTCATCGCCTGTGAAAAGCTGGTTTGTCTCGCGCATCCATGAGATGAAAGCCTTCTCCTCATGAGCCTGGAGGCGAGAATTAATGCCGGAAGCAAGTTGAAATCCTAACATCAAGAATTCTATCACCTTTAATTCAATTGATAAGCGAGCTGAATTTTTCAGGGTGGCAGTTGGAAAAAGTTCAGAAAAAAGGTTTATAAAGATTTCAGATTTTGGTTATTATAAAATGATTTATGTTTTAAAATATGGCCAAATATCAATCAAAAAAATTGAGAGGAATTTTAATCAAAAACTGACAACAAATCATCTAATATTGGTTATTTAGAAGTTATTATCGATAATGAATCTAAATTCGTTCTTGATCGTTGTCAAGTGTTAGTTTTTGGATTTTCATTGCACATTTTCATTATTTCTTAACCAGACTTTTCAATCAAACTTCTAATGCATTACATTGATCTAATGGCTCATTGGTGTACCAGTATACTTTAAAAGACTCATAATATGTTCATGTAGTTTCAAATTAATTTTAAAAATTCTAAGATTTTAGATTTTAATCTCTAGCAAGTTCTTTGTCATCACATGCTTAATTAGTATTTAACTTTTGGGCTCTTAGATATCAATATAAATTACAAAATTTCGAATTTAATACTTAAATCAATATCTATGATCACATCGATATCAAATTACTAAATAAAACTATTAAATTTTCAAATATATTACAATCTTTTGTTATAGATTAGACCTATTCTTCATTTATGAACCAAACTTCAGCTCCAATTTTGTCAAGTATCATACTGATCTAATGTATTACCGAAGCGCATTCATTTCACAACAAATTCTTAATAAATACTTTGCTTTCAATATTTCATTTGAAAAATCTCTAAAATCTCAAATTTTTCTCTAAATTACTTCGATTTGGCTAAAAGTCTATCTTATATTTTACATAATAATCTTTAAAATATAATATTAATCACTCACAAATAAATTTATTTGATTAAACTCATTTCCTATAATCATAATATATTTATTTTGTCGAAGTTGGCTAGGCTTGCCGGAAGGGCAAGCCTAGCCAACTGAGTCTCCAAATTATATTATATCAAATTTGATTTTTTACCTAAAGAATTGTAGCAGGTTTATACATTCACCCTACCGATTATTACACTTTATTTAAATCCTTCTTCTTCAGTGAATGAGATGAATTTTTCTATGTAATTAAACTTAAATGATCTCTATTGTGTATAATTTAAGCGTGTCATTTACCATTTTAAAAAAATTAATGTCCGAAAAAGACATTGATCCTAACAAATACAGTGAATTCCGAAGTGCATATAACTACTACATCGATTCATATAATACGTTGTATCGGTTAAAAACAGAAAATGAAGAAGAATTAAACAGGATTTACAAAATAATTAAAACAGAGTTGATTGATTCAAATAAACATTCTCCACAAAGGATTCTACAAAATATTTTGGATATCATTCCGTATAACAGCCGCTATACAAAGTCATACCTGAAACTTGCAGAACGTTTATATGATGAATATCATATAACAGAGGTCAACGATATTAAAGACATTTCTAACCACAATTTTTATAAAGAATATGAAATTCAATTAAACAAATATTCTGATTTCGATAAATTTGTATCAGAAAATACAATTTATGGAGCAATTATGTTTAATGACATAGAAAAATTCATCCCATTCACTGAAAGAGAAGGATTTAATAAAAATCAAGAACTTAAAAGCAAATTATATCCAGACTCTGACAAAGGTTATTCATTACTTGAATTATGTTGTTATCATGGATCTGTTGATTGTTTCAAGTTATTAAGAACGAAATTCAACTCAGAAATTACTCAAACATGTCTCAATTTATCATTTTTAGGAGGAAATCCAGAGATCATGAGTGAATGTTTGAAATATCAGAAACCACGTGATGAATGCATGAAGTATGCAATTATTTCACACAACATTGACTTTGTTACATTCTTAATGTATGAATACAATATAAAGATCGATGTAGAATATTGTGGATTATATAAAAATCTTGAATCATTTTTAGTTTATTTCGATAAAACTAATGATATTAACAAATGCTTTATTTATTCAGCAATGTTCGATGTTACATCCCTTTGTGAATACTTCCTTTCCCGCGGTGCAAATATGAATTTCAAAAATGAAGACAGGAAAACCGTTCTTCATTATGCGGCTCAATTTTGTAGAAAAGAAATAATGGAACTTTTTATTCCTCACGGTGCATATATCAATGAAAAAGATAAATATGGAAAAACAGCATTGTATTACGCATTAAGAAGTAGTAATAAAGAAATAGTCGCATTTCTTCTTTCATACGGCGCAACTATATTTCCAAAAAGGCGTAATGGGAAAAAAGCTCTTCATCTTGCAGTCAAATATAGCAGTAAAGAAATTGTCGAGCTTTTTCTTCATTTTGGTGCAAATATCAGTGAAGAAGATTTATTTAAAAAACCGCTCTCCATTATGCAGCAATATATAATAGAAAAGAAACAGCCGAACTTCTTATTTCACATGGTGCAAATATCAATGAAAAATCTTACTTAGAAAAAACCGCTCTCCATTACGCAGCAGAAAAAAATAGAAAAGAAATAGCCGAACTTCTTATTTCACATGGTGCAAATATCAATGAAAAAGATAATGATGGAAAAACCGCTCTTCATATTGCAGTAGAAAATAATAATAAAGAAATAGCCGAACTTCTTATTTCACATGGTGCAAATATCAATGAAAAAGATAATGATGGGAAAACCGCTCTTCATTATGCAATAGAATCTAATAGTAAAGAAATATTCGAACTTCTTATTTCACATGGTGCAAATATCAATGAAAAAGATAATGATGGGAAAACCCCTCTATCTTATTCATTAGCTAATGGTAAAATATATGATTTCCTTCATTCACATGGTGGGCATTTTTAGCTAAAGTAATAAAATATAATTATTATCATTCTCAATATTTTTATTTTACAAAGTTTACATTAGTAAAGTGTCAAATTTTTAACTAACGGCTAAAATTTTTTAATGTCTAATCAAGACATTCACCCAAACAACTACAGTGAACTGAGTAGTATCTTCAAAGACTACATAAATTTATATAATACATTGTATCAACTGAAAACGGAAAATGAAGAAGAATTAAACTCGATTTACAAAATGATCAAAACCAAATTTATTGATTCAATGAAATATCGCACTAAAACTATTATAAAAGACATTTCAAATATCATCCAATATAATAATCGCTATGCAAAGTCATATTTATCTCTTATTAAACACATATCTGATGATTATCATGTCAAAGAGGTCAGCAATATCAGACGTATTTTAAACTCCCTGTTTTATAAAGAATATGCAATTAAATTAGACAATTCTTATGATATGGAAGAATTGTGCTCAGAAAACCTTGAAATTCATACAGAAAATACAATTTACAGAGCGATTATGAAAAATAACTTAGAAAGATTCATCCAATTCACAGAATTAGATGGATTTGATAAAAATCAAACACTTAAAAGTGAAATATATCCATATTATCATAAAGGATATTCATTACTTGAAATATGTTGTTATCATGGATCTGTTGATTGTTTTAAGTTATTAAGAACGAAATTCAACTCAGAAATTACTCAAAAATGCCTAGAATTTTCATTTTTAGGAGGAAATCCAGAGATCATCAGTGAATGCTTGAAATATCTAACACCAAAAGAATATTACATGAAATGTGCAATTATTTCACACAACATTGATTTTGTTACATTCTTAATGAATGAATACAACATAGAGATCGATTTAAATTATTGCTGAATGTATAATAATCTTGATGCATTATTAGTTTATTTCGATCAAACAAATGATGTTAACAGGTGCTTTATTTATTCAACAATGATTGATATTCCATCTATTTACGAATACTTCCTTTCACATGGTGCAAATATCGATGAAAAAAATGAAAATGGGTACGCAGCTCTTCATATTGCATCACGTGATAATAATAAAGAAACAGTCGAATTCCTTCTTTCACATGGTGCAAATATTGATGAAAAAGATGAATGTGGACACACAGTTCTTCATCATGCAGCAACAAATAATTCTAAAGAAACAACTGAAGTTCTTCTTTCACATGGTGCAAATATCGATGAAAAGGATGAAAGTGGATTCAAAGCTCTTCATAATGCAACAACAAATAATTCTAAAGAAACAGTCGAAATTCTTCTTTCATATGGTGCAAAATAATACACCCTCGACTTTTTGATGGAAATCATACAATTAATTATATGAGTCCATCTCAAAAAGTCGATTTTTACCACGTCCATCTTCTGAAAGAAACAGTAGAACTCTCAATAATAGAGAATGGAATTTTAAGCCTCCCGTTTTCTTAGTTGATTTAATTTTATCTGATTCAAAGCAGATATGCAATTCAGCGGCTGTTTTAATAGTTAGATTAGTTGAATATGCAGAAAGGATCGTTCCATTCCTTTTAAAAGCAAAACTTCTTGAAAATACTTGCGAAATAATTTTTAATAACAAGACCTCTCAAAAAGTAGACTGGATTCATATACTTTTATCACTTGTACTTGGTTGCTGAATTTACTTGATAACATTGTGAGATGAATGCACCAAATCACTATTTCTTAAGGGTCCACGGTCCGGCCACGCGAAGGCTATCGTTAATGTTCAAAATTTATATGGAAAGGCCCATATCTATTTATAGATTCTGATTTGATATCATATTTGTATACTATTTTTAATATAATTTTTGGATTTTGTTAGCCAAGAAGCTCCAAAAAATCGATTCAAGTTAAAGACGATAACGATAATGTACCGTGGACCCTTAAAAATGCCGAATTTTTTAAAAAGAAATAATGGGTTCAATAGATTTGTTCATTTATTTACCCGAATCTTCACAAAAATTGAATGCATTTCAATAGTCAAAAGGAATAAAAATTGGAAATCAATGAAAGAGAATTTTTTATAAAAAAATTTTTAAAACATTTTATTAACTGGGCAGCTGAGTACCTCCTTGTGATCTTCTAAGAGGCAGAATGTGTGTTCATGCTGTGAAACATAAGATCCAACAACATCAGAAAGCGGTGGATATGGATCAACAACCTTTTCTTTGACGAGTTCATTAAGAGTCAATGTGTAACTTCTGTCTCCGGCTCTTTCGATGAATCTCTGGCAGAAAGCCATTGTCTTGTAGTTGTCCTGTAACAATGTAAGGAGCTTCTGAGCAGAGCCATTCTTTGGTTTCGGTGGTTTCTTGTTTGTCATGAAGTGGCTTGTGACGCCATCATCGAAAACGATGCCATTTCCTGTTGTTGCGAATGTTTCGCATGCGAAAACTTCGCCAGGAAGCATTTTATCTGTAGATCCGCTGTTCTTGCAGATTGGGATGGACTTTCCGCAGTGGATGACGTACTGGCCGAGTTGGTGACCTGTAAGATTGTAGACTGGCTTGAGAGGAATTGTCTTTCCGTTGAGTTCTAATGAATATGATGTAATAACTTCTTCAATAGCGTCAGCGATCTCGGAAATACGGGCTTCTGGGCCGGCCATCTTGACGGCTGTCTCTGTGGCCTTCTTTGATGCTTCAATAAGTGAATCAAATCTTGGATCGAAGCAAACTGTGAAAGCGCTATCGATAATGTATCCATTGATGGCTACACCGTAATCAATCTTCATGACATCATCCTTCTGAAGAACTCTTGTGTCTCCTGGGAGTGGAGAATAGTGTGCAGCGCAGTTGTTGATGGAGCAGCCGCATGGGAAGGCCAAACCACGGACTGGTGGTTCGAAGTTAACCATTCTACGTACACCTTCTTCGATTCTAGCGCACATATCGTTCAAATTGACACCTGGAGCGATGATTCCGCTGTTAAGAGCCCATTCACTGACGGAATTGTGGACAATACCACCCTCACGGAAGTATGGAAGTGTTTCCTTGAGCTCAGTAAGTCTTTCTTCGGCAGCATGATCTATTTGTATCTTTGCGAGCATTTCATCTGGGTATTTAATAGTATATCTCTCTTCGAATGGCTTATCCTTGTGAGTATTCATTGGTGGTTCGGGTAAATCTTTGAAGACTTCATCTGGAATCTGTGATTCTTTGATCTTTTCTTCGATTTTTGCCTTGTTAGCTGCTGCAGCGGCCATGAGGAAAGCCATTTGTTCATCATCGTCTTCCATTTGTGGCTTTTGGCCCTTCTTACCTCCTTTCTTAGACATAAGATTAAAATGAAAAGCGATCAACTGTTTGTAAACCTTTGAATTCGGAGATCAATTTGAAGAGGTCCTGTAATGTCTCAAATTTTTAAAAGTTTACAAATAAGGACGATAGAAATTGATGAATACTTGGTTTTGGTTGTTCACAACTTCAAAGAAGCATAGATTTGTAAATAAAAACAGCATTTATTATTATTGTCACTTTTTAAGAATATAAAAAAAGAAAGAAAATGTTTATTTGCTGTTAATTCATCTTGAAACAAGAATTAAGAGCTCACAATTAGAGACTAATCACTACATAAAATGCTAATATGTATATATAGAGCCCAAAATACTATTTCCTTGGGCTATTTCAAGATTCTGCTAATTCTATATTTGTAAAATACAATTTAAAATTTGTGGTTGCATAACATTATGTCATATTACTCACGTAAAAAATTATTACAGCTTTAAATCCTTTGAAGCCATAATGTTATTTAAGCTTTATACATAGGTATTTCTTTTGACTTATTCACATTATAAAAATATTTCATTGTAGGTATAAGGAATATCAATGAATGTGTAAAATTCAATATAAGAAAATCTATGATGCTTTCATCATTCATATTTTTGAAATATATTGCAGTGGAAAACAGTAGCTCTGAGTGATAAAGTTGTTGAATCAAAAAAACGAATTTTTTTTATTGTAAAAATTGAATTTTCACAAAACAAAACTTTTCCATCTCAAGTATTATTAGTAACAGTGTAAAGATGTGTCAAATATTCTATCTATTACAGCAATAGCTCCTTTTCATGCTAATGCTTGAAAATTTTTTATGATTTATTATCTATAGATGGGAGTATAATTTTTATAAATAATATTGATGGAAATGTTTATTCAAATATTTGAAAGAAACACATGTTGAAAATTTCAAATAATTCTTTTATTTTAAGAGATCAATTGGAGTATAAGTAATTTCACATATCATTGATATCCTGATATTTCAATAATGCTTCTGGTTTCAAGCTCATTCCGCCTCCAAGAGATTCCAGATATTCTCTTACTTGACCTTCTGAAACCATTTCTGGAGTCCATCCCTTATTATTTTCAATAAAATAATCAGCTCCAGCTGAGACAAGATATTTAACAACTTCAAGATGACCATTATTTGCTGCCCAAATGAGTGGAGTATTTCCATCTTCATCCTTTGCATCTTTATTAGCTCCAACTGAGATAAGATATTGAACAACTTCAAGATGATCTTCTCTTGATGCTAAAAAGAGTGGAGTAAAGTCATCATTACTCCTTGTTTCCTTATCACACATGCATATGATGAGTGATTTAACAAGTTTGAGATTTCCGTTTTGACTTGCCATATGAAAAACATTCTTTCCATACTGTCCCTTCGTTTCCCAAAGTCCTTCTTCACATGCTTGTGAAATAATTAGTTGATTCCCTTTCGAAGAAAGTTCTTCAAAGAACTTATAAACACTATCAAAATCACTAGATTTCTTAAGTTCTGAGATTTTAGTTAAATACTTTCCAAAAGGATTTTGATTTTCAGTCGTTTGATTTTGAAGCTTTTGGATTTTTCAGTAAAATCACGTATTTGTTTATCTGTATTATTTAAAATATCAATGATACCATCAAATATATTAAATTTCATGTATCGTTTGACAGAATTAAGAATTGAAACTGCTTCTCCAGCGTTTTGGACAGTAACTTTTGCTTTTCGTGTACAGAAATATAATTGCTTGGCATCGAGAGTGGTAGTTGATTGTTTGAGAAGAGAAATGTACTGTTGTGTTGTCAATTTTGAATGTTTCATGATTGTTTTGATATCTTCGATCTCAAATGTATCGAAGAAATTTTCATTATTAATATAATCGCTGATATGAGCAGCAATATATTCGAAATTCAGATTCATTTCCTGATTTGATTTTTACGACTACACAACTTTACAAAAATTCTGAAAAAAATTTCGGATAAATCCATTGGCCAGTTTCATGGAAGTGGCTTTATTAAGTTGTGTTGTAAACAGAAATTCATCAAAAGTGACACCTCAGAAAAGCTAAAATATTGAATTTTTGGAACTTTTGATAGAGCACGTTTTTAAATATTAATTAAAGTAAATGTATATTTTGTAAAGATTCTTTTTAATAAAAAAATAAAATTTTGAAGAAGAACACAAAATCTTCTGAAAAATAATATCACATAAACTCATATTATTTTCTAATATATAACTATTTTATATAAAAATCAAATTCAATGATCTTAAAAGCGAAGGATAAACCTCAAAATTTACGAATATAATGAGTGGGAATATTATTTTTCAGAAGATTTCATTCTATATGCCTATGAAAAGTACTCTCAAAACTAACTTTTTCCTAATTATAATTAAATCTAGAATATTGTATTATGCTTAGTATTATTTCATTTTTCTCATTCAATTTAGAATTTACAAATCTCAAAAAATTGAGAGCTGTCACTTTTGATGAATTTCTGTTTATTACAGTTGAAATCTGCAAATTCCTCACTACAATATATCAAGATTGAAATTTCAAAAATATGAAAAATCTACAAAACTTCCAATGGTTCCTACTACATTTTACTAATTTGTTTTATTTGCAAATATATCAAACTCAAAATAGCCATGAATTAAATCTTAATGATGAAATTAATTTTTAGATGAATTACTTTAAATCACACCTTAACTTAGTATATAAGAATAGAAATTTCACTCCAAATTTACTGTTCATCGAATATTATGTTGTTGAATATAACGAGGTATGATTAGCTTTGGGAAAAGCAATCCCGAAGTTAAAAAAAAACTTACCTTAGTAATTTAAATATGTTTACGATAAATAAGAACATTTATTCATCTTTCAAGAGATCCTTGAAAGCCTTTTTAGCCTTCTTGCCGAGCTTCTTTCCGAATCTCTTGAGTTCCTTCTTAGCCTTGTGCTTGATTTCCTTTGAGTCTTTCTTGAGCTTTTCTGCAAACTCATCAATCTTCTCGTTAACCTTTTCATCGAATTCCTCCATGATCTTAGTTGTGTTAAGGCCGGAATCGGAGAGATCAACCTTGTCAGAAACCAACTTGGAAATAGCCTTGATATAAGGATCAACTTTCTTCTTTAAATCTTCCTTAACATCCTTGTCCTTATTGAAGAATTTTGGTTGTTCTTCCTGTTTCTGGGCTGGAGCTGGAGCTGCAGCCTGAGCTTCTTGAGAAAGTGCAACTGCAAGAAGAAGGGTAAACATTTGACTGTGGTAAACTTTTGAATAGAAAATAATCGTTAAATTTTAAGATTTTGTTATCGTTACAATCCGAAACAATAATCTTGAATATGAAAACATCATGATAATCAAAAAGAAATTGCGAAATGAATAAACTTGGAGAAATTCCAATTCAGCATTCAGCAATTATCCTCACAGGTCATAGAAATAGATATGTTGTCTTAGGTGTTCACTCTTTGGTTTCACTCATACCAATAGAATATATCATTTTGACCATATCTTTGGGAAATGAATCCACAAAAACTATAAAAGCTTCATTAATAGATGCTCCAAATTCCAAATTTCAGAGATTTTATATTTTGGCTCTTCTATTGCTCAAAATTATTGTTTTTTAAATCAATCATTCAATATTATGCTGAACATATTAAAATTTTTGGTCTATGAAAAAAGATAATGATATAATTAACATGAAAAAACATAATATCTTTATTTTTTAATAAACATGGTGATTACTTGGTTAGATCTTTCAGAGTTAATATTCTGAATCTGGTTATAGAACTGTTCTTCGATTTTAAATGGTCCAAACAATATTCCAAACCTCTCTGATAGCCTCTGTCTGAAAATATACAGGTTATGAAGGTATTTTATACTGTAATTCTTTGCCTGGCTGGTTACATCGATGATATCAGAGATGTTGTGTATCCATACGTTGTAATTCGGACCATGGAAGAACTTTTTATGTGTAATTAAAAACAACATTGGGGAAGAAATGGAAAGAGGACAATTTGACCAAAGAAGAATGATATCAATGGCATCATCCGGTCCAATAAATGCTGGAACACCTTTCTTCTTATCAAAGAAAGGCTCATAAACATAAGATAAATCTGATATAAATTTTTCTGGGTTGTCAACAACGGAATTCACTTGCATCTTAAGTATTGTTGCTGCTTTTCCTGGTTCAGATGAGTTTTGGAGGCAAAAACAAAGTAATTCCGCTGCTTTTTGACATTGATCTTCAAATCTTGAAAATTTTGTGACAAAACCACTTGGAATTGCAAAAGAAATTGCATCAATGATCGAATACGTCAATATTGCGAATGAAAAAAGCAAATCCAACAATCTTGATGCTGTTTCTCCTTCACTTTGTATGGCAAAGTTGATTAGTTCTGTTGGAAACGCTGGATTTTGTTGGTATTCACTGCCAAGGATTCTTAAGAAGCTGTTTCCGTTTGAATGTGTGTTTGAGAAGAATCTTGTGTGGAATCTGGTGTTAAATACCAAAAGGAAGTCGCAGAGGGAGTAGAAATATACAGTTGTGACTTCAGGTGTCTTATGGAGACAATAATCTACAATTTTTGTGTAAATAATTAAATATAATTGTTTTTGAATGAAATTATCAATTAAATCTGGATAATTCTCAAGTATTAATGTACAAATAACAATGAAATATAAGGATGGGTTCTGTATTTCCTTATCTATCAACAAATAACTCATAATATTTTGAGATTGTCCAATAATTTGAACATTATTCTTAAGTCTTGAGTATATAGTGATACTAATGTTCTCGTCATGTAAAAGCAGACATAATGTCTTCATATAAGTAGAATCCAAGAATTTGACAAAATCTGACTGTGGAACGATCTTTGCCAAGAAAAGTGATATGAGCAATTGTGTATCTGGATCTTCTATGGTTATTTCGTTGAATAAATTTAAGATATAACCAAACTTAAATTTATCAAAGAATTTCTGATAGAATTCGGCCGATCCTGAGAAAATATCATCTAAGAATAATGTTAACTGGTGTAAAAACACCTTTGGAAGGCTAATGAACGATAAAATTGATTCAATATTTGATGTCAAAAGATCTTCGAAGTGATCAAGGGAATAAAGCTTTCTAAGTAACTCAAAATAGATAATAGTCAATGCTGTTTGTCCCTTTTCGCATAACTCAAACACTCTTTGTATGTTATACAGAGCAATCTTAAAAATTTCCTTTGTTTCCTTCATGTAAGGAAAAAGGTCAAACAAAGAATTCTTAACTATCGTTCTTTTTTGATCGTTCAGCAGATTTACCAAAGCATTGAACCAGTTTTGGTATCTGCGCTCTAGATTATCAGGGAATTTCTCTTTGCAGAGTGCAACAAAACGGTCAGCGAACTCTTGTGCTTTTTCATTTTTCAAATTAAAAATCATTGTTTCGACGTAATCGATGTCCTTCAAATTCCCTTTAAGTAGCATATCATAATATTGCTTTGCGAAGTCCATTTTGTCAGAATTCCGTTTGATATCATCTTTCGAACTTTCAAACGTACTTTTCGTTGGAGCTGGGTAGAATTTGACCTCATGTTTGGTATATTTCTTAATAGTGGTCATCAATTCTGAAAATTTTGAGAACTTGTAGAGAATTTCTAATTTTGCTTTGCAAATTCTATCGGCGCACCTTGAAATTGAGTGGCAATTGTCACTATTTATGAGCTTTAATACTAAATCAATGACTGTATCGCTAATCGGGAAAGTTTTCAATTCCGAAAATAAAATTTTGTTTCCGAAAAACTCCAAAACAGTCTGTTTCGCATTCTCTATGAATTGGTCTTGCACATCGTCGAGGATTTTGTCCAATGTGATGACGAACAATTCGACAAAGTGCTCTGTTGGCGGACGATAAGCGTCAGATTTATTAGCGGGGTCAGGAATAAATTTATACATATACGTCAGCATCATATTCAACAGGAATTTCGGATTTTCTGTCAAAAAGCTGATATATGGCAAAAGAAGAGAAAGAAAAGTTGCATCCTTAATCATGCATTGCTCCATGTTGATAAAGCAATAGTCGATTGCTGGGGCTATTATTTGTAAATTACTTATCTCTGTCAAGATATTAATAATTTTTGGTCGGTCATCTGACGTTTCGTACAAAAAGAAGTCAAGAAATGAACCGTATTGGCATAAGTTTGATGGTCTTGCTGCCTTTATGATGTTTAAAAGATGATAAACTATATTTTCATTTTCTCTTTTTTGGTAAATCAGATCTGCAAGCTCTCTAGCGTTATCTTCGATAAGGATTCTTGCTGTTGTATTCGGATCTGATAGTAATATAACTCTTTCTGCAACTAAAATAGCTAATAATATATCATCATTGTTTTTTGAAAATTTTGCTCTAAGAGCAAGCCTTACCATGTATGAATCCCACAACCTCTTTGATAGTTCCATGATATCATCAGGTCTATGTTGTAATTGCAAGCCGAGAAAGTTCAATCTGTAAAGAATTAATGCTTTGTTTGTTTCTGGGAAGAGATCGTTGTATGATTTGCATGCACTCATGGCTTTAATTTCATCTTCAACTGTTGGTAATTTGTTTAATATATGATAGGCGTTTTCATTTCCTTGTTTCATGAAAGCATATAATTTATTTAGTTTGTCTTTGTCTAAATAAAGTGAATTTGCAATATTCGGAAGTTCAGTTATTGGCTTGATATATGGAGGAGATATTTGATTGATTTTATAATCTATTTGAGGAAATAAAGAAACATTCTTATTTAAATCAATGTCTTTTCCGGCTAATGATAATGCGATTTGCATTGGATTACATTTGGAAACAGTAGCAATGAAATCTAATACGTTGAAAAGAGTGGCCGTCGAAGGAAATTTGATTTGGTTGTAGTTTTGAATCGTTGTTGAAACAGAAAACTCGTCGAACAGGCAGCAATTTTTAACTCCATTCCAAAATATTCCGTCTTCAAGCCTTTCGATAAGTAATTTAAGTTTGAAAATATTTTTGTCATCAAGTTTTTTGAAGCAGTCATTAATAAATCCATTGAGCGGAGTTAGGTCACTTTTGTAGTACGAATCAACGCATTCTTGAATTCTCCTATTAATCATAAAAACATCAGACATCTTAAAAATTTTTACAAAATTGAATAATGATTATCTGAAAAGTTAAAAAATTAGATGATATGTGACTCTAAGAATGGTATGATAATAAGCGATCTTTGCCACTCTCAAATTTTAGCAACCTCAAAAAGTTTGAAGTGAATTAAAATATGATGTATGATACAATTTCTATCAGAAATTTCGGCATGTAAAAAATGGTTCAAAAAAAAATAAACGTAAAATTCGAGAAATGTTGTCTATTAGAGATATCCTAAAAAGATTCACATTTTAGCATTTTAAATTTTGAATACAAAATTTGTGAACTTTTAATTTTGGAAGTGATAAATAGTTTTGTAATTGGTGGTTATGAATTTATATCTAATAGTTTTTCAAAACTTTCAGAACATTTTTATAAGGTTTCTTTCACATCTATAATTAACACCTATGAAAGATTTATGTACCATTTTTTCATAACTTTTATCGGAAATGTATATTTTTGAAAGAAAATTTACGATACCATACATGTCATATGAAAAAAAAAATTACTGGTCTTTCCCAGCACTGTTAGTTTAATTTATCATTCACATAGATGTATAGTATCATATATGAAATTCTCATCTCTTAAAAGGCTGATTTTCAAAAACTATACCAGACAAAGTAACTATACGTAAGAATTTAATTAATTAAATGTGTTTTGGATAAAATAGTTCTTCTGTCAATGCTTAAATCCTTTTTTGGGTGGAATACCTTGATGGATTTTATAATGTTTGGGATTTATTACATTGCTAAACTATTTTTCAATTCAAAAAAAAAATTTGACAAATTTATAAATTAAAAAAATTATTGTCTGATTAAATCTATATTCATCACAAATTAAATTAATAAGGAAGATAGAGTTGTATTTATGAAAAAGAATGAGAGATAATATATTTTAAAATTCAATAGAAAAATAAGGAAGTAATTAAGGATTAATACACATTTGAAAGGAATGTCAAGGCACGATGGCCGAGTGGTTAAGGCGTGGGATTAGAGTCCCCATGGGCTTGTCCCGCATCAGTTCAAATCTGGTTCGTGTCGTTTTTTGCTTACTTTGAATTTTTTAATATTTCAATACTTGAATGGTCAATTGTCTTCTCAAAGTTAACAAGTTTATTTTTTCTGAATGAAATTGTTTTTGAGAAAAACATATTGATTTTAAAATGCATAGTTTGCTATAAATTAATGAATGAGAATATGTTTAATTTCAATCAACTAACAAAAAAAATATTGAACAGCTGGCAAAAACGACACGAACCAGATTTGAACTGATGCGGGACAAGCCCATGGGGACTCTAATCCCACGCCTTAACCACTCGGCCATCGTGCCTTGACATTCCTTTCAAATGTGTATTAATCCTTAATTACTTCCTTATTTTTCTATTGAATTTTAAAATATATTATCTCTCATTCTTTTTCATAAATACAACTCTATCTTCCAAATTTCACTGCTATGAATATGAAAGATAAAAAACTTCAAATAGAATAACTTTTTTTTTCGTAATGTTTTCTTTCTTTTATAAAATCTATAATTCAATATTTTCAAATAAGAACTATTCGTATATAGAACATGTAATAACTCAAAAACAAAGCTCAAAGAATGATTCAACCTGATATCACTTGATAACCATTAAAGTTGTCGCCCCAAAAATATATGTTTACAGAGTTCAATATTCGCTTATCAGTTTTATGTTTGATAACAAGCAAAAGCAATACCAACTTGATTTGAACTATTTTTTTCTGAATAGGAAAAGATAAAACATCAAAAGGCAGTGGATGGAGGATATACTTTTGAAAGGATTTATATGTGGAAAGATGTGATGCGCAAAGCATGCTTTGGATAATGTGTAAGGTGATTTGCTTGTTGTGGTATTTTGCGAACCATTGTTTATGATTAGTTGGAGGTTTACTTCTTCTTATCAATAAACTGATTAGTTACTTTATATTCTTTAATGTTTTGATATTGATTTGTGTGTTATTTTGTTCTCTGAAAATACCTCGCTTATTTTGTGTGATTTTTGTATTTTCAGCATTCGATTCATTCTACATAATAATAACATGAAATTTTGTTCGATAATATTCGAGTTTTGTTATTAATGTTTCTACTTGATCCTCATTTTTTAGATTCCATTGTGTGTTGTGTTCATATGCATTGGATTTTAAGACTGTTCCTTCCTGTTTAACATGTTAATAATGTTGTTGAATTAACTCGCTTATTTTGATTAGACTAAATCATTTTTGTCTTATGCATTTTGGTAAATACAAAACAATCCCTAGAAAAAATATAGATTTAGGTGTGCGAATTCTATCTCAAGTGTTGCCAACTTGATAAAAAGCAAAAAAACGACACAAACTAGATTTGAAATATTTATTAAGAAAAAAGAAAAGATAATGAGAGTTGCGGGGAAGGAGATATGCTTGAAAAAGGTCTTTAGGAGGGATAATTTGACGCTACGGCTAGATTAGGACTGTTCTGTGGTGACTTATTTGAGGTTTTCTTGATTAAAATGTTTGCAACCTTTTGTTTGATAAATGTTATGTGTGATGTGTTGTTGCTGTATTTTATATGTCAGTTTTACATCTTCGTATTTCTAACATTTTCCACTGTATGTTGGTTAATGTTTTTGATTATCCGCAGTGAGTAGTGTTTTGTTTCTTCTTCGAAACTTTACTACATTCATTTGTGTTTTAGTGTCAAGAATAATTTGTTTTGATATTGACTGTTACAGTCAACAGTTTTCGTTTTGGTTCCATTGTACTAATTTTCTTAGTTGTTGTCATTTGAAGTTTTCTTCTAAACAAATATCATAAGTTTTCAAATAGCTCAATATGTATGTTTCTTGATACAAAACAAGCAACAGTATTATAATTAAGATTAAAAACTATTTTGTCTTATGTCTTTTGGTAAATGCTAAAACAATCTTTAGGGGAAAAAATATGGACTTTGTTGTTCTCATTCTATGTGAAGCTTCCCAAACAAGATAAAAAGCAAAAAACGACACGAACCAGATTTGAACTGATGCGGGACAAGCCCATGGGGACTCTAATCCCACGCCTTAACCACTCGGCCATCGTGCCTTGACATTTCTTTCAATATATTTGTATTGGATAATACAAAATTGTAAATTTATTTGAGAAATGATAAAAAAAGGAAACTTTTTGACTGGAGAAAACAATGGATTATATTTATGAATTCAATCCGATATAATATATTACTAGCAAAATCTCATATAAGCCTTTTAAATTGTATTTGCGAAATTTCGGTAATACTTGCAAAAGGCTGTTATATCTCTTTACACTTATATTAATTCCATGGATATATAATATTTGAATACCAATTAAATTCTTTTTTAGATATATAATACAATAAATATATGAAAATTATTCGATATTAACTTAATTACATAGTATGTTTATTTATTGCAAAGTAATTTTAATAAAATATGCATTGTCAACTTGTTAATTTTATATTCAATTTGTAAAAAATCAAACAACTGAACGTGAAAACCATAAAATTATAATTTTTGAGACTATTTTCAGATTTTATCAAATAAGTTTTTTGTATACTACTAATGGGATCTATAATTAATTAAGTTTGGATGGAGGATTTTTAATTCATCATTATTTTTCTCAACAGCATGTACAAAAGATGGTAATTTCTATTATAATTATAGCAAATTGAAGTTACACTTATTTAGGTTAATCTAACCAAATTTATTATTACATTTTTCCAGAAATCAAAGGTATCGTTTGAAAATAATAATGTGTTCATAGTGTACATTCGTATTTTCCTTCAATATTTCATCTGATTTCGCGTGGAAAAACAGCAAAAAATTGTCAAAATTTCAGAATTTCAATTCAAATAAATATTTATTTTGTTTCAGGCACTATGTATATTGAGCATCATTTTATAAATTTGTCCACGAGAGAGGGTCAAAGTTGCTATTTGTCACTTTTCCACAAGAATATAATGGGGAAAAAGTTATCATATAGATGATCTCATTCACTGAAGTGAGAGATGCATGTAGTGTAATGGGATAAACAGTGGGATTGCTGCTCTAAGTCCTAGGTTCGAGACACATTGGCTTCATTTTTTTCTTTTTTATTGACGTAAACTATTCAATTTTTGTGTTATCCATTCAAATTTCAGAATTTTTTTTGCAGATTTCACGCTACATTCGAAGTTACCTTTTGTAACAACCACCACCGCCTACGAAAGACGAAAGTGTGTCACGATTTCACCCGGAAATCCGACGGTTGTTTAAGAGTAAGCACTTTTGGCACCTACTCATTTGTCCACTTGAAAAATTGACATTCAAAAAAGTACATGTGAATTATCTACTGACGATATAAATTAATTAGCCGATATCAGTACTGTGATATTTTGCTATAAATTAATGGGAAATTATGATTGGCAACAAAAAATTGATTTTACGCCACGGATTTAAAATGCGAAATTTAAATGATATGATGATATATGAACTAGATTTTTTCTTTGTATTTATATTCAATAATATTTGAAAATCGACATAAATCAATTTCACGAATATAAATATTTCTTTAAAATTATATAAAACTAGCAATATTTGCGCAATCAAGTTTTAAAAATTGAGAATTTCGATATTCATTTGAATTCTCAATATTTCTGAATTCTTAAAGAACATTGTTCTCAAAATTGTATTGTTTTCAAATATCAACCTCTGGGTTTCAGGATAATTGTACAGAAATGATGAGGAGTAATGAAACATGTTCAATATAATTGAATTTAATTATGGGAAAGTCATTAATTCTAACCTCAATACCTGAAAATTAAATAGGCTTATTTCACAAAAGTTTATTTTTTCAATGACCATATTTTCTGATGTCACGAGATGCCTTTGAGAAATACCGTGGTGAAAGGAGACACGATTCATTTGCTAATTCTACCCTTAAACTCATTCATCGCTGTGCAAGCGATAAAAACATGATCTTCAATTTAAGTAAATTATCATCAAGACTTGGCTTTCATCAGCGTCGATTCTATGATGTAATCAATGTTCTTAATACAATTGGATATTGTACCAAGTTAGATTCCTCAAGATTACAGTGGAACGGAGTTTCCAATGTTAAAGACGCAATATCCAAATTAATTATGAATTATCATCTATTAGATAAACATTCTTCTATAGAAAGCATACTTCCGAGTGATGGAACAGTTTCTATTTCAAGAATTACAGAATCATTTTTAATGTTATTTATATACCTTGGATCACAGTCACTTAATATAAAAGAAACAAGTATGCTTCTGGCAATGCATAGTGGAAGATCCAAAACCACCCTTTGTAAATTATATCAAATTGCTCAAATATTAGAAGTTGCAGGTGTCCTTTCAAGAACAGCGCAAATTAGTGAAATCAAAATGAATGATCCATTCTTTATTAAAATCCAAGTTAATGAAGAAGATCAGAAGGACCCCCTTAACTTACCATTTTTACTCAACAGACCTTTTCAAAATTTACCACAGCATCCATTGAATCTAAGAAGAATGGAATTTAGAAAATGTATTTTGAACATCAAATCGGTGGATTCGCCAATTAAGCAGTAAAAATTTATGTATATTAATTGTAAATTTATTAATTGTTTAACTGTTATCTGTTGTTTTTGTTTATTAAATAAATTATAAAAAATGATGTAATTTAGATATATAATTCAATTATTCCCATATGACATCTTCTGAAATGACGAAAAACACCTTCAATAATAATCTATATGAGTTGCATTATAAGTATTTTCAGTATCATAGGTAAATTAGTATCCACAAGAATTATCATACTGTTTTTATTTTTCATTTCCTATATCTTATTGTATGTGAGTCAACAAATATTCAAAATTATCAAGAAGTTTAGATGATATTTTAAAAAAATCATCAATTCTTTCAATGATTATACCAATAGGAACTTTCATATCGGTAATCAAATGTACAAAAACTTCTAATCTTATCCGATCGGATAATAAGAATCTGACATCATTCAATGATCTGAACTCTGAAAATTCATATTCATATTTTTTTCTATTAATTCATTTGGATTTAGCACATCTATCCACATCTGATATTATTTATATGCATATGAATCGAGATAAATCTGAGATGAGGTAAAGTTGTCACATTTATTATTGTCAGTATCAGAAAAATGGAATCTGTCATTGATATTCCCGTATTTAAAGTTGCATTAATAGGCAGGCATTCGTCTGGGAAGACCTCAATAATTACTTCGTATCATCGAGGAGAGTTTTTAGATCGTACAGAACCTACAATTGGCGCAAACTTTGTTTCTCATTTAGTAAACTTCAACGACAAAAAAGCAGAACTTCAACTTTGGGATACTGCAGGTCAAGATAAATATCGTTCAATTTGTCCTTTATTCTATCGAGATGCTTTATGTTGCATAGTTGTTTATGATTGCACAGTACAAGCTAGTTTTGATTCTTTAGATGATTATATAAATGATTACCATGAATATGCAATAAGCCCTGGTCTAATTTATATTGCTGCAAATAAATCTGATTTAGCCGAAAACGATACCCTAATTGAAAATGGAAGAGAGTATGCACTTAAAAATAATTACCCTTTCTTTGTTACTTCAGCAAAAACAAAAGAAGGAATCAAGGAACTCTTTGAAGACATTGCAGAGCAATTGTTTTTAAGGAACGATGAAGTAGAAAGGAAAGAAAGAAGACCAAAGGCTAGTTCGAAGAATTGTTGTTAGAAAATTATTTTTATGTTATCGAATTCATTTTGTATTTTATATTTTAGTAAATAATTTGTCATAGCTACGTTGTGGATTTATTCCCGTAATACTAATACGAAATAATTTCAGTAATCAAGAAATAATTCAAATAATTCAATAAAATTAATGGTATTTTCTTAGCATGATTCGGACATTTCCCTTTAAGCTATGAAAAATGCAAAATACTTGAGAACTATAATGAGAAAACAAACATTTTATTACATACAAAAACATCAATAAAAAAATAAATATTGCTCAAGAGTTTTTTGGCATATTAGCTTCTGTTAGATATTTCTTAAGTTGAGAAACCGCTATTGGATTCATATCTTTGAAATTAATAGTATAATCCATTGAAGCGAGAGATTCCACTTCGCAGTTCTTTTTTAGAACTTCCACTAGCCCTTGTATTTGGTCGTCTGTTTTAAGCTCGAGGATTCCTTTGTATATAAAATCTCTACATTCCTGATTGTAAACCTCGCCTTGAACACGTTCAACGACAGGATCATATGTAGGGAGGGTGTTTCCTTCTTGGCTTGGAAGATTATAAAGCTCTTGTAAACTATCTGGAAGGAGATTCCAATATTCATTAAATTCTCTATCCAAATCATTTAAAATATCTTTTAGTGTGCGTATTTTGTTTTGATTCTGTGATTTTTCTTTAATTCCTTTGGAAAATTGAAGGAAGCCATACGAAATTGGTGAATCACCTATATTATGAGCAATATTCTTGCAAAATAGTATAATGTCATCTGCTAATTTTGAAGTGTCTTTATATTTATTGTTTCGAGCATCTTCTTCGATTTGATTGAAAGTATTTAAGTATATTTTTGGACAGTTCTGGGATTTGATAAAGGATATCAAACATCTTCCAATATCATCATTAAAGAATGCATTGAATTTCTCCAAATCAGACAATTCACTCATAAATGATTGTCACTTTTTGCCTTGCAAATTCTCAAAAAAATTGTAATTTCATTTTGATATTGGCAACAAGGATCCTCAATGTCAGGATGCAATCTAATAAGAAACTTGTGTTTCAGAGGATAATAATTTGGAATGAACACATTTCTAATCAAATAAAGCTCAAATGAAGTAATTAAGCATAAGATTCAAAAATGGTTTCACAAAGTGACTTTAGAAATCAAAGAATTACCCTCCAATTAATGAGCATAAAATGAATGAATATTGTCACTTTTTATTACTTTTATGAGCAGAACTTGCACTATTACTAAAACGTGTACAACAAACAGATATTGGGGAGATAAGAAGAGTCAAAAGCAAATTGAAAAAGAAAAGAAAGAGAAGCAAAAAAAGGAAAATGAAAATTTATTTAAAGGAAAACCTCATAGAATTTGCGATACGCCGTCAACATCACAACCTCCGCAAAGTAATGCTCCAAAATAGCATAACTTTTTTATATTTTTATATTTTTTTTTTTATTTAATCCAAAATATGAAGCCGCCACAACGATAGAAAGGCGATTAACTACATGTTTTCATCCATTTTTTGTTGTTTTTTAATTATTAAAAATAAATTACTTCATCAAAAAAAAATTGGTTGCAATATTTACTTCAAAATGATTGATTTCATTTCAAAACTACTTTTGTTAGTTGTATTATAAAAAAATATCAGGTTTTTTCTCATGTTATTGATTTTATATCATGTTTCAAAAAAAATTTGAGACCATTCAATTCAAATTTGAATAATATTAACTGCGTGTTTGCTTGGTCAGATTGTAGTTATGATTACTTCATCAAAATATGTTGAAAATATTTCTAACAAATTTTGGTAAAAGTGGAACAAAGAATTCACTTTTGGCCCGAGTGAACGGTTTCTTAGTTTTTGGTGAAATGAACCTTCCAAATGGACAGACTGATCACCGCGATAAGATTTCTCGAAGTATCACCGATCACAAAGCACAAATCGAGAAAACCGACGCAAGCAGGTTTGCTAAAAGGTATTCGCTACCAGAGTTGAAAGTTATCTTTGTTCGCATCATGAAACTCGAAGGCCTTACCTTACATTCTTATCAGTATAGATCAATTCTTTCAATGACGTTGATTATGCATCGTTATTGGGAACGTTTCAAGAAGTACCTTGATAGGAATGAACGTCTTACTTGCATACAAAAAGTCATGCGGGATGGAAAGGAGCAAGATGCTATTGTTACATTCGATCCAATTCATCAAGATCAGGATGGTGAAGGTTTGTCATTCTTCAAAAACAACGTTGGTGGTTTATTTCCGGATCATTCTCGAGAACAGAAGCACTCGCGTGCCGATGATCTTAAGGATCTGGATAAAGCCCTCGTTAGGCTGTCCGAACCCTCTCCGGAGGAGCCTTCTCAACCCTCTCCCTTCTGGGAAGAGGATCCCTCGGACTCCTTTTTTGAGGAGTTCATTCCCTTCTAAGATTCGGAGGAAGGGAAGTCTACTTATTAGACTTCATCTTACTTTCTCGTGGTGTCCATTTGCACCCCTGAAATTAATGTGATTTCTAGTAGTAGCATCTTTCAAAGTCAATAGATTAGATCTAGAGAAAGAAGACTTTTATTCTACTTTATAACTTACGGTTATTTAGAAAAAAAAGTTCTAATCTACTCTACTCTAATGTCTATCTAGAAATATTGACGCTTAAAACAAAAGTAGTTTTTGAATGCTAACGCACTCATATTAATCTTCATATTTTCTTAATGGTCTAAAGATTTTCTTTTGCCTTTGAAATCAAATTAACTTCTTTTTACTTCTTTATGATATGTTTTGCAAGTTATAATTGCTTTCCAAGTTCAAATTGGATGCAATAATATAACATTAAAGAATAAAATACCTTTGTAAGCTTAGAAATATGATGAGTGTCAACAAATTTGAGCTTAATTCATGTTAATTTTGAGTATTCATCTCCTAGAAATCTCCAAAAAAAATTCGAATTAAAAAATTTGCTATAAAAAATTGTTGAATTTATTATCATTTTTTGAATTTTCTGAAAAATTTGGAAATTTTATTATAAATTTAAAAGGACAAATATCTTTATTAATAAATTTTATTTACTTTTCTCACTGAAATATCATGCAACGTATGAAATTGTAATAATAATATTTTTTCCTAAAATAAAATCATATCAACAACCATAATCCAATATGAAATTGGAAAAAATAGATTCAATTTCAAACAAATTCATCTATAAGATAGATTCTTTATTAATTTATAAACTCTATATAACAAACAAACAATAAATATATACAAAACAATTGATTAATTATGCTCTATGTATTCTCATATTATACATAAACATATGATTCTTCTCTGACTTCTGTTTCATTAATTTTGTAGTCACTGGTTTTACGATTTTTTGAACTTGTGACATGGATCTAACACATACTTTTCTTGGTCTTGTAACAGGAGCGGCTGTGAATCTTGCGAAATAAGGAAGTTCGAGTAATTCGTCAACTGTAGCTCTATATTCTGGCTCTATAACGAGGCAATGCTCAATAACGTCTCTCAAATATATGTCAGATATCTTTTCAGTGGGTATTTCGCCACTGTTGATCATTCTGACGTAATTCAAATATGAGGTAGCGTTGAAAGGATAGTTGCCCGTTGCCATAAAGTAGAAAGTGGCACCAATGGCCCAAACATCAGCTTTCAGGAGGTTGTAAGGTTTTCCTTTGAAAGCTTCTGGAGGAAGGAAGAGAAGTGTTCCTTTGTAATCAGACTTGGAAGATTGATCGTTTTGATAGGAAGAAAGTCCGAAATCACAGACTTTGATTCTTCCGTAGTTATCGATCAGTAAATTACTTGGCTTGATGTCACTATGTGCAATATTCAGATCATGGCAAGCTTTGATGGCTTTGAGAATTTCATAGCAGTACTTGGCCATATACTTGTCTTCAACGCATCTGTTCTTTTTGATATACCTTGATAAATCCCATGGGCAGTATTCCATCAACATATAAACGTACCCGTTGAACTTATAATAGTCATAGAGATTGATGATAATGGGTTGAATAGACCATATATATGTTGCCAAATGAACCCTTACCAATGAGGGCCTTATATATGATTCCTTGTTCACTGAAATACGCTAATTCTTTGTCTTCCATATTATTTATGAAGTTTGAGGCTGAGCTTTTCAATTCAGGAAACTTCAGAAAACTTCGTTGAGTTTTCTGATATAATATATAATAATATGAGTGTAATACATTATCATTCATGCATATAACGAAGAGATTTATATGCCATATATCAATAATAAATCATCAGATTTCCATAATTTTATTGACAACAATACTCGAAGAAGATTTAGTGAAATTTAGTATGTGCACACAATCGACATCAGATTTATAAACAAATGGATATGATTAAACAGTTTTTTAAAAGAGTATTTTTAAAAATAATATCAAATAAAAAAATATCTATAAAAAAATATGAAGTATAATTAATTACCGAGGAAAGAAGATAAGACCGATCTGTGGTTCTCCTTCCATTTCCTCATTACATCCTGAACTTGGTCTTCATCGAGTCCAATGAACTCCAATATGATTGGAGCCATCTTTTCTTGTGTCTTTTGGTCCTGGCTGAAGAATTGAAGTAAGGTTGCTCTGAGATATTCAATTCTGAACGTATCAATTTGAAGTTTCTTCGTTTCAGACTGATTCTGGGCCTCAGCTGTTTGCTTCTGTTGCTCGTCGTATTCTATTTGGGCGGCCAATTGGTTTCTTTGCTGTTCAACAACTCTGAATTTCTTTCTTAAGTCGTTGAACTCTTTGGCTGCTTTGGCCAACTTGGCATCCAAATCCTTTTGGAATTCTATCTTAAGATTATCAATATCCTTCCTAAGAGACAATACATTTGCAGTTTTCTGGTCTAATTGAGTTTCAAGCTCTTTGTTCTTAGAGGCAACGTTTCTAAGTGACATATTCTCTTCGTTGGCCTTAATAAACCTTTCTTGCATCTGGGCAAATTCTTTATTCTGTTTTTCGATTTCGTTCTTCATCAAAACAATTTGTTTCATCATTTCATCGTTCTTCTTTACGAGTTCTTCCTTCTCTGACTCAAGTTTGGCCTTTTCATCTTCATTTGGAGTCGAAACAGCTTCTTCGCTTGGTTTGACTTCATTAGCAACTGGAGTCTCAGCAGGAACAACATTTTCTTGAGCAGTTGGCTGAAATTTGAGGTTAGAAATTTCATTTGTCAATTTCTCAACATTAGATGAGAGATTTGAGTTATCCTGAGTTAATTTCTCGATGTTTGCATTCAGTTCTGTCTTTTCTTCTGTTAATTTCGTAATTTCTTGCTTTGAATTTTCTGAATCCTTCTTCAAATCTTCATTTTGAGACTTCAGATCAGAAACTAAAGCCTTCAATTCGTCGAACTGAGCCTTATACATGTTTTCTGCAGCTGAAGTATCGTTCTGATCAATGATAGTCTTCAATTCTTTGTTAATTGTTTCGGATTCTTCGATCTTTTGCGTTAATTCATCCACTTCTTCGCGGAGAACTTGGTATTCCTTCTCACTGTCCTTTAATTTGGCCAATTCAGCCTTCAGAGACTTAAGTTCACTTTCAGCGTCACTTTTTTCGTGATTTTCAGTTTCATTTTGTTCAACTAATTCATCGATTTGTTGAAGGAGTTCTTCATTATCCTTCTCGGCCTTCTTAAGCTTAAGCTTCAATTCTTCGACGTTTTGAAGCTCTTTTTCGTAATCATTTCGTTGAACAACATTTTCTAACTGGGAAACCAAGAAATTCTTTTCTTCTTCTAATTTCTTCGTCAATTCCGACAGTTTCTTGTTCTCATTGGCCAGTCTTTCCACTTCATCTCTAATTTCCATCGACTCAGATTGATTAATCTTCGGTAATCCTGCGATAGAATTGTTCAACTCGAACTGCAAAGTGTTCAAATCGTCATGAAGCTTCTGGTTTTCCTCTTCTTTTTCTTTTAATTTCTTTTCAAGGGTCTTGAGCTCATTTGTATCGATACTTTGCTTGAGCTGTTCTCTGAGCTTGTTGTTTTCTTCGTTTACATTACCTAATTCTGCGTTCTGACGTAAAGCTTGGTCTAATTCTTCCTTTAGCTTCTTGTTTTCCTGTTTAACCTCAGTAGGATCTTCGAATTGACTGATTTCCTCTTCGAGTTTCTCGATTTCTGAGTTTTTGTCCTCAATTTCGGATTTCAATTTTTCAATAATTTCAGTCAATGTTTCTTTGTGCTTCTCATTGTCATCATCATCGCCCCAGATATTCTCTTTGCCGTTCTCCAGTTCGAATTTGAGGTTACTTACCTCAGCATTTAATCGATCAATTTCAGCTTGGTCGATTTTAGCTTTTTGAAGGGAATCCTTTCTTAGCTGTTGGAGTTCGTCCTTAAGGTCTTCATGTTCTGCTTCTTTCTCACCTAATTCATCGATTTCTGCATTCAAATTATCAATGATTTCTTTTTGTTTTTGAATTTCATTTTGAAGTTTTTCGATTTCTTCTTGGTCTTGTTTAGCCTTGGTGATGGAGTCTTTCCTGAGCTGCTCAAGTTCTTCAGTTATTTCTTCTATATCTGCTTCTTTTTCTTCGATTTGTTTCTTGAGATTTTCAATTTCTTCTTGATCTTGTTTTGACTTAGTTATTGCGTCTCTTCTCAACTGTTCTAGTTGTTCCTTGAGGTCTTCTATGTTTTCTTCTTCTTCATCTTTGTTGTTTTGTGATTCTTGAAGTTTTTGCTCTAATTCTTCAATCTTCTTCTGTTTCTCATCATTTGATTTAGATAATTCATTCAGTTTCTTATTTAATTCTTCAATTTCGGATTTAAGATTTTCAATGTTTTCTGTTTCTGTGTTTTCGTCACCCCAGCCATTGTTTTCTTCTTCTTTATTTTGTTCACTTGATTCAAGTTTCTTCTTTAATTCTTCAATTTCGGATTTGAGTTTATGAATTTCGTCTTCTTTTTCTTGGTTGTTGTTTTCGTTCGTTTCGCCACCTTCAAACAGTTGATTTTGTAATTCTTCGTTTTCTTGTTTCAAATCTTCTATTTCTTTCTTAAGTTTGTTGATCTCATCTGAGTCATTATTGTCTTCATGATCAAATGGTTTTTGTTGTTGTTGTTTAAGTTCTTCAAGTTGTTGTTTCAATAATGAAATCTTTTCTTCATAAATAGATTGGTCAGAATGAACATTAGAATTATTATTTTCATTATTATTAACATTATTATTATTATTCTTAGTTTGTTCAAGTTCTTGTTCACGAAGAACAAGTTCAGAGCGAAGATGTTCAATTTCTGAGCGAAGTTCGTTACTTGTAGAAATTGTTTCTTCTTCGAGTTCTTCAACTTGTTCACGCAATGTTGAAACTTCGTCGGAAAGTGTTTTGTTTTCCGAAACAAGTTTGTTGTTTTGTTTCTGAAGAGTCTTCTTTTCTTCACTAAGACTTTCGTTGTTGCGACGAAGTTCTTCGTTTTCGAACTCTAACTCTGTAATCTTTTCTTCTGTTTCATTAAATTCAACGGAAATATCTTTGGAATTATCATTTGTAGAATTATTAGAATTGATATCTTTCAGTTGTTGTTCGAGTTTCTCGTTCTTGCTCTTGAGTGTTTTAAGACCATTGGCAAGATCTTTGATCTTCTTGTTCAATGTTCGTTTCTCATTCTCTAATGCTGAAATTTGTGACTTATAATCTTCTGTTTCATTTTCATCGCCCCATCCATTTTCTTCTTGACCTTGATCTTCCTTTTGCTTCAACTGTTCTTTCAATTCTTCTATTTGTTTCTTGAGAGATTCATTTTCTGATTTAAGTTCTTCTGATTCGTTTTCTTCACCCCATCCATTTTCTTCTTCTTCCTTCGATTGCTGTTGATGGAGTGATTTATTTTCTTGTTGTAATTCAGAATTTTGTTTCTTCAATTGTTCATTATCGGATTCCAATCGTTTGATTTCTTCCTTTAGTGTTTCATTTTCTGATTTAAGATTATCAATGTTTTCTTCTTCTTTATTTTGTTCGGATTCTTCAAGTTTCTTCTTTAATTCTTCAATTTCTGATTTGAGTTTATGAATTTCTTCTTCTTTTTCTTGGTTGTTTCCAATTTCAAATAGTTGTGTTTGTAGTTCTTCGTTTTCTTTCTTCAAATCATCAATTTCATTCTTTTGTTTCTCATTTTCTGATTTGATTTCTGAAACATTTTGAAGTTGAGATTTGAGATCATTTATTTCTTCGTTTTGTTTCTCTTTCTCTGTTTGAAGTTCGTCAATTTGTTTGGCCAATTGTTCGATGTCTTCATCATTCTTTTCATTTGTTTGTTTCAATACTTCTATTTGTTTCTGCAAATCACTTCCATTTTCTTCTTCTTTTTGTTGCAACTGAGAAATTTCATTCTTCAAATCTGAAATTTCTTTTTGAAGTTTTTCGTTTTCTTCTTCTTTTTGTTTCTTCAAATCATCAATTTCATTGTTTTGTTTCTCTGTTTGTGATTGAAGTTCTTCATTCTTTTGATTTGATTCTTGTAGTTTTTGTGTTAATTCTTCAACTTGTGATTTGAATTTATTGATTTCTTCTTCAGAGTTATTTTCAAACAATTGTGTTTGTAACTCTTCATTTTCTTGCTTCATTTCTTCAATCTTCTTCTGTTTCTCATCATTTGATTTAATTGATTCATCCAGTTTCTTATTTAATTCTTCAATTTCTGATTTAAGATTATCAATGTTTTCTGTTTCTGTGTTTTCGTCACCCCAGCCATTGTTTTCTTCTTCTTTATTTTGTTCACTTGATTCAAGTTTCTTCTTTAATTCTTCAATTTCGGATTTGAGTTTATGAATTTCGTCTTCTTTTTCTTGGTTGTTGTTTTCGTTAGTTTCGCCACCTTCAAACAGTTGATTTTGTAATCCTTCGTTTTCTTGTTTCAAATCTTCTATTTCTTTCTTGAGTGAAATGTTTTCTTTCTCAAGTTCTTCATTGTTATTGTTACTGCTTTGACTCTGTTTAAGTTCTTCAAGTTGTTGTTTCAATAATGAAATCTTTTCTTCATAAATAGATTGGTCAGAATGAACATTAGAATTATTATTTTCATTATTATTAACATTATTATTATTATTCTTAGTTTGTTCAAGTTCTTGTTCACGAACAACAAGTTCAGAGCGAAGATGTTCAATTTCTGAGCGAAGTTCGTTACTTGTAGAAATTGTTTCTTCTTCGAGTTCTTCAACTTGTTCACGCAATGTTGAAACTTCGTCGGAAAGTGTTTTGTTTTCCGAAACAAGTTTGTTGTTTTGTTTATGAAGAGTCTTCTTTTCTTCACTAAGACTTTCGTTGTTACGACGAAGTTCTTCGTTTTCGAACTCTAACTCTGTAATCTTTTCTTCTGTTTCATTAAATTCAACGGAAATATCTTTGGAATTATCATTATTTCCATTATTTGCGTTCTCTTTCAGTTGTTGTTCGAGTTTCTCGTTCTTGCTCTTGAGTGTTTTAAGACCATTGGCAAGATCTTTGATCTTCTTGTTCAATGTTCGTTTCTCATTCTCTAATGCTGAAATTTGTGACTTATAATCTTCTGTTTCATTTTCTTCTCCCCATCCATTTTCTTCTTGACCTTGATCTTCCTTTTGCTTCAACTGTTCTTTCAATTCTTCAATTTGTTTCTTGAGAGATTCTGTTTCGTTGTTTTGTTTAAGTGTTTCGTTTTCTTTCTTCAATTGTTCGATTTCTGATTTAAGATCTTCTGTTTCATTTTCATTACACCATCCATTTTCTTCTTGACCTTGGTCTTCTTTTTGATTCAATTGTTCTTTAAGTTCTTCAATTTGTTTCTTAAGATTTTCATTCTCTGATTTAAGTTCTTCTGATTCGTTTTCTTCCCCCCATCCGTTCTCATCTTGCTCGGATTGATGTTTCTCAAGTTCTTCTTTCAATTCTTCAACTTGTGACTTATAATTATTATTTTGTTGTGACAAATCAGAGATTTCCTTCTGTAAAGATTGAATTTGAGTCTTCAACTTCTCGATTTCTTCATCGTTGGAGTTGTTTTCGTTGTTCTGGAATAATTCTTCATTTAATTCTTGGTTTTCTTTCTTAATCTGTTCAATTTCCTTGTTCAAATTCTCTATTTCATCATTCTTGGCCTGAATTTCGGATGATTTCGAAGATATCTCTTTTTGAAGTTCCGAAATTTGTTTCTTCTGTTGTTCAATTTCTTCACTCTTGTTGTTTTCGAACATTTCCTGCTGCAAATGTTCATTCTCTGTTTTAATATCGTCATTTTGGATTTGCAAATCTTGGAGTTGTTTCTTGAGATTTTGGATCTCTGCTTCATAGCTTGCATTATTTGCAGTTTGTTGCTTAAGTTCCTCTATCTGCTTCTGCAATGAAGAATTTTCTTCATTAAGCTTAGAAATCGTTGCTTGGTCGTTGTCATTCTTGGTTTTGAGCTTTCTAAGGGCATTAGCAACATCAACAAGCTTCTTGTCCAGCTGTTGCTTCTCAGTTTGGAGTTTTGCAAGTTGAGAATCTGAATTTCCTTCATGATCTTGAGCTTCAGCAAGTTTTTGCTTGAGGTCTTCAATTTGTTTGCTATCATCATCAATGATTTGCTTCAATTGTTCGGTTTCTTCAGAATAAGATTTCTTATTTTCTTCTAATTGCTTTTGAAGCTCAGTAATCTGATTTTGAAGCTCTTCTTCATTGTTGTTGTCATTCCATCCATCTTCATTTTCTTGAATTTGGTTTTGGAGCTCAGAATTTTCTTGTTTTAATTTTTCGATCTCAGATTGAAGTTTATCAACAGTATTTGTATTCTCTGTTTGAAGTTTGGCATTTTCTGCTTTCAAACTTTCAATAATCTTCTGGAATTCGATAATTTGAGATTTGTATTTTTCAATTTCGACGTTTTGAGTTTCATTGTTGAAATTTTGTAATTGCATGTTGCTTGTCTTAAGATCGTTGATCTCTTGGTCTTTCTGAGCAATTTGTTTCTTTAATTGAACGACTGCTTTCTTTAATCTTGAAAGATCAGAGTTTTTATCGTCTGAACTGGCATCTTTTTGACTTTCTGCTTTCAATTGTTCGTTTTCTTCGGATGATTTCGAATTATTTTGGTTGAGTTCGGCAATTTGAGCTTTTAATGAAGCAATTTCATCAGATAATGAATCTTTAGCAGCTAATTGATTCTTTAAGTCTGTAATTTGGGCGTTTAACTCTTGTTCTTTTTGAGCAAAAGCATTTGTATTTTGTTCTGAGGAATTTGCGGCTAATTTGGCTTGTTCAAGCTCTTCTTTTAATTTGTTGATCTGAATATCTTGATCGGAAATTGTTTGGAGAAGAGTTTCTTCGGCCGATTTATCTTCGGACTTAATATTCTCCATTTTTTGTTGTAACTCTGTAGATTCAGTAGAAAGCTTATCAGTTAACTCCTTATATTGTTGAATTTGTTGTTGAAGCTCTGAATTCTGATCTTTCATAGTTTTATTTTCAGATTCAAGAGTTTCGATTTTCTGCTCAAATTCTTGAACGACTTCTTCTAGTCCAGAATCATTTTGCGATGCTGTACTTGTAGTGTTTTTCATGTTTTCGATTTCTTTTGCAAGATCTTCAATAAGCTTTTCTTTTTCCTCGATCTTTTTATCGCATTCTGCTAACTCATTAGTAAGAGTTGCAGTGGTTTCTCTTTCTTCGATTAATGCATCAGAACATTTCTGAATTTGTGCTTGATACTCTGCCTGAGTGCGTTTTAGTATATCATTTTCTTTTGAAAGAGATTTATTCTTCGCAACATACTTTGCGAGAACCGCCTTCACTTGCTGAATATCTTCAGACGCAGGAAGGGGAGTCTCCTCCATTTTTAAATTTTAAACTTCTATAAAATTTTAGGGTTCGAAATCTTCTCTCCATATAGATCTTTATTTATTGCTCAATAAAAATATTCAGCCTTTTTTTTCAGCTAATTTTTATCGCACCATACCTAATGAACTTTCGCACTGTCATCTTCTCTGGAGAGGCCATTACACTGTGAAGCCTTTTCATAGACGTATTCCTTACAGTGAGAGAGACAGACATTAGTCTAGGGTTTGTTTTCAAAACCAAGAAATGTCTTCTGAGTTCATATTTCAAATTAAGAGGCTTACAAGATATTCCGGAAGAAAGATCAAGCAATACTGATATTCATCAACATTTTTTAGCAAATTTCATGAGCAATTCATACGGATCTCCACATATTAATCAATCGGGAAAAAAAGTAATCCGACCAGCCGGATTTGAACCAATGACTCCGGGATAACCACAATTCTACAGTCCAATGCTCTAACCAACTGAGCTATGGTCGGTTTACATTTTTTAGCCTTTATTAGCTTTTATAATAATAAATAAGTACTTTTTCAAAATTTTTGGTAAAAAATTATATTACAGCAGACGAATTATGACATCATATCCAGCTATTGAAGCTATATACATTGATCTTAAATGTAAATCCTTCATTAAGTAAGAATCTTGAAAATTGTTTTCAAATCTTTCTTTTATAATACCTTATAGACAAACATCATCTGATTTTCATCTATATAATTCCAAATAAAACATGATTATCTGCGCTTAATAAGTTCATTTCATTATATACAAGGATGTTTTTATAATAATTTACAATCAAATGCATATAGATATAAATTATAGAAACCAATACACTATATATTGATATTCATCAACATTTTTTAGCTAATTTCATGAGCAGTTCATACGGGTCTGCACATATTAATCAAAAAAAATAAAAAAGTAATCCGACCAACCGGATTTGAACCAGTGACCCCGGGATAACCACAATTCTACAGTCCCATGCTCTTCCAACTGAGCTATGGTCGGTTACATTTCTATTGAAATATTTTTAATTAATGAGGAAAATTTGATAAATATGAATTCTTCTATTCATGTTCTTGTTTGATATTAAGGGTCCACTCTCCGGCCAAGCGAAACCTATCCTAAAGGTACATTCACTATTTTTGACAAAATTTTAAATTTTCATGGGGTTGTAAATCTTATAATAACTAGATGAATAAGGAATGAATCCCAGTATAATGTGCATCATTATATTAAACACTATATGTAAGGCTAATGATTCTATTAACACTTATGAAGATCTATAGTATTTGAGCAGATAAATTTGATAATTTCCAAAAGTCTTATATTTCAAAATTAAAGTGTGCGAATGCATTTAAATGAGAGCAAAAAGAGATTGATGCTGTTAAAACTAGGTGTTAATTTGCAATTATTTCGCATCACAAGAACTACCCAGTAAATTCGGCTATCTTTCTTTGCAATTATTCTCCATTATACATATAATATAATGGTTAGGGTTTGAAGAAAAGTTACTAGAGAATTATTGACTTTTGAAATAATGCAGAATTTTACTTGAAGAAATCATTAATTTATGAGTTCCAAATTGCTAAGCATGACGAAGGATCATTAAATTTGCTACAATTAAATACACTTATTGCAGAATTAAGATTTTTGAAATTAAAAGTTTGAAATATTGCCTTTTTGAATAAAATTTAAATTTTATTATATAATCATGATAATATCTTATAAAAATTAAAAGAAAATTTTTAAACCATTCAAATATTTTGAATGTCTTATCAATTTAAAATATTAAAAGATAGCTTGATTTTATCATCATTAGTTGTTATCAAAGTTTTCTTCTTTTGATGAACAACAGTAAATGATTTGTTAATTACTTGTCTTCCTTTTTCGCAGCAAAATCAAAAGTTATGATGATAATCTTGCTCTCAATTTTTGAAACTCTCTGATTTACAAGTAAGCATTCCTTTGGAAAAGCAGTCCTATTCTGTTTTCAAGATATTTTAAAGCCTCTATTTCATACAATGCGCAGATCTATTCGAAATTGCAAGAACTCTCAAGAAAAATGCAGCAGCAAAGAAGATTCCATAGTTTCTAGCATCAAAAATTTACAACCTTAATACAACAGTTAAAGAGAAGCTCGAAAAGAAAATATTTAACCATAAAGCTGGAAACCATTCGATATCTACTATTGGATCTAATAAAAAGTTAATTATAACATATTTAACATGCTATTTGTTGACTTTGTTCCATTATATTACCATATATATCTTTTTGAAATCTAAAATATTTTTACGATTTTAACCATGTGTTGTTGAAACCATATATCCATCTTAGCTAAAGTATAGTTTATGAGTCTGTCACCATCTAACGTATGAATTTTCAAAAATGTCAAATATGTTCATTTTTTCTGTAGATTCAGCCATAATTTCACGTTGTTATACTATTCAACTATTATCTAATATTTTTATCGATTTAAATATATGATAAGATGCTTAGTTCTCCTGGAAATCGATTTTTAATCGCAATTTTAACTTTCCAAAAAATTCAAAAATAAAAATCCCTCTCAATTTTCTAAGTTTTCTAACTCGCCAAATCTCTAGCCAAATTTTTTTTGGCCCGTATAAATATTGTTAGGCACTATATAGGGATGCTATTTATCCTATTTTCATCCCATTTTACTGTTATCGCCTAGTGAATGTACCTTTCCTATCCTTTAATTTCAATATCAAATTTCAAAACTAAGATCAAAATTCTCCAAAATAGTTCATGATATTAATATTTTCAAATAGTATTGACGGCTAAAAAAAATTTAAAATGTTATACTCTCTCAATTTTCTGAGAATGAAAAAAAATCTCATTTTAAGTGATTTTAAACATAAAATTCTTTATTTTAAGCATGGGGATAACACCTTTTGTTGTGTTATCAATAATGAATTGGTATTCATTGCGTAAAATTGGGAAATTCTTCCTTCAAAATATTATCTTATAAGATTAATTTCGAGTTGGACAGCCAAATGGTTATAAGTGGGATCATTGGGGATAGATGGTGCATTTATCCTTCTGCGTTCAAGAATCGATGGCGTGTTTTTTCCATGAGTTGAAGCTCACTAAAGCACTTTTATTTTATGCATTTTATTTTTTATTCATTCTCAAAAATATGAGAGATTATAAACATTTAAATTTTATTTTGCAGTCAATACTATGCTAAAATGATATTCAGCAATTTTTGGGGTAGGGATTTTGGGGGGCTCCCTTCGGTCGCTCCCCCCAAAATCCCTACCCCAAAAGTGAATAACATTTTGCAAAAATTAGTATATCTCAATTACCCTATAATTTTATGAATATGGCACTTTTCGTCGATTTTCAAAGAATTAAATCGCTTCTATCTCAATAACTAATAAACATATAAGATTTTTGAAAGTATATATATAGTGTACTACATCTCAAGATATTATTAATATGTATTAGAAAGAATAATATATTGGATTTTGATATCACAAAATGACTTTTCAATTTATTGTAGTTCCTCACAGAGTTGAGATTCTACGGAAAAATATAACATTTATCTATAAAGTGAAAATTTAGAGGTATATTTCGTAAGATATTTCCTCTCTGATTACAAGAACTATTGTGAGCTATCAATCTAATGAAAGAGAGCAGATTTGGCCGTAATGAAAATGCAATACTTCGAAAATCAATGCAAAAAAGATTAATTTGTTAGAAACAATCGACTATGACACTGAATTCTAAGAGCAAACGTTTACATTAGGATATTTTGATCATTTCCAAATATTGCAAAATTGCATTTAAACAAGTTAAGGAGAATACTATATTAACCGTGTTGTGAGGAAATATAACAATTTTAAAGATTTTGCGACAGAATTTGAAAAAATATGAAAATCAGATATATAAAAATTGAATAAAATAACATTATGATGGAATATAAGTAGATGAGCTATTAATGCTGCTATGATTTAAAATTGAGTAGTAATGAAATAGAATTTCGAAAAAAATTAATGTAATCGTATGAAAGCTTTGATCCAAATAATTAATATTCGCAAATATTTTAACCTACTAATAAAATTCTGATTATATTAAGATATTTTAAAAATGAGATTCCAAATTGAATGGTGATGGAGATGAAAATTTTTAAAAATATAAATAAGAGGATAAATTGATTGAGATATTAACTAGTAAATATTTGAAAAAGTAAATTATTTGAAATCCTTTAAAAATGTTACGGATAAAAGCTATATAAATAAAATGACTGGTGTGGTTGGTTAGCTTAATGTGTAATATCAAAAAGAATTAATGGGTGTTGTGAAGTGAGCAACTTTGAGAAGAATCATTTGTGATTCTTGTCAAAGTTGAATCAAAGACAACAATTGATAGACAATTGTTGTCTTTGTGTACAACATTCACTTGAATTATAAACAATAACAAGTGTTTGTTGTTCACTGAGCAACTTTGAGAAGAATCATTTGTGATTCTTGTCAAAGTTGAATCAAAGACAACAATTGATAGACAATGGTTGTCTTGTGTTCGATAAACACGTGTTATTTATGAATATACACGTGTTTGTTGTTCACTGAGCAACTTTAGAAGAATCATTTTGTAATACTTTGAAACACAAAATAGCATATTATGCTTTTATTTATCTATATGTGTCATTTTGGGAGACATTGTCTATGCAAGTCTCCCAGAATGACACATTCATACACAATCTTCTTCTGATTGTGTATCTTTTGTCAACAAAGTGCAACAGTGCACTGTTATTGTGTGCTATGTGTCATTGTGGGAGACATTGTCTATGCAAGTCTCAGAATGACACATTCATACACAATCTTCTTCTGATTGTGTATCTTTTGTCAACAAAGTGCAACAGTGCACTGTTATTGTGTGCTATGTGTCATTGTGGGAGACATTGTCTATGAAGTCTCCAGAAACAACATGCACATTCTTTCTCAACATGTTCTTACACTCTATTAAAACTATT